GTCTTGCCCGTCAGATGTCATCAACCCATTGGCGCAGACTGCGAATCGCAGGACGGATATGTACGATGACCCTGGGCCAGGAGGGTCGGCCTCGGCCGGGTCGCTGGCTGAGCTGACGCGGTAGGCGATGATTGGAGTTGGGGGTGGGAGTGAATCAGGGGACGAGTCCGATCGGTGGTCAATTGACTCTGCATGTGGAGGAGGGAAACGTGGGTGTAGCAGGAAAAGCCACGGAGCTAACTCGTGGTGTGGTTGAGCGTGCGTGTGTGTATGTGAGTGTGACAGGTGCGTTGAAGGAGTTGACATGTGAAAAGGAGAAACAGTGACTATGAGCGAGTGAAGAGAGAGAGAGGGAGAGAATCGAAGCGTTGCGTGCTACCGCTGCCGCTGTATCCTGCAACGAACGCACGGAAATAGCACCAAGTGTCACTCACGACTGTCACCAGCATCCAATGAGGCGCACGGCTTGGGCGACTTGACGTGGTGCCTGTCCAACCGGTCCAAGTCTCCCGTTCGGCCGTCCATGTTCCAGACAAGACCATTGACATAACGCCCAAGACACTTGTGGCTCGCTGCCTGCGCTGCGGTCTCTCAGATGACTGAACTACACGAACTACATGGCACGTCCAGTCGCCGTGACTGCTCGGTGTTCAGCAGTAGGCAGCTGGGAACTTGGGTGGCCATTTGGCTTGTGATACGTGACTTTTCGCAATGCTACTGCATCGGCTTGTTTTGAAGCTTTAAGGCTGCAGAGCTGCTGCCTCTCACATTGCCGTTGGTGGAGAGGTCACATAATAACACCCTCTCTTATGATTTGAAGGATCATCATCAACAGCCAACTCAACTCGCAGAACTGGGCTCGCCGATTCTCTCGCTAGCACGGCAAAATATCGAATTACCGAATGCCCACAGCAAATCAGGGCATTTAGCGATTTCCCCTCGTCTCTCTTGCCAGACCAAAACGCTGTGCAGGGACATCCGTCCACAGGAGAGGGGAACCCGATGATTGACTCGAGTTGCACACACCACCACTCTTTGCGCGCCCTCGTCCAGCCCTCTCTAGCGACATCGGCGGTTACGCGGGGACACATCCAGTGAGGGGACGCCGGACCAGCGAACAGGGGGAGGCCCTGCAGCGCGTCTCGCCTTGACTTTGTGTGGTTCCTCTTGGCTTTTTGATGCTCGCTGCCAATCATCCACTCGAGACGAGACACACACGAAGAAGACGGGGTAATAATAAAAGTAACATTCGAAGGATCGCGGTCTGAAAAGTTATTCCCCAGGAAGCTGAAGATTGAGACAAGACGCCGGTGGGACGAAACGACGACAAGGAACACCACCGAGACAAGCGACCGTTAAAACAAAACAACAACAAACACTTGCCAGCTGAGCTTTCAGTCACAGCTAGATAGACAAGCCGAAAGAGCGCCGGGCAAGACAAGAGAAGACGGTGACGACGTTGCGAAAGATACTGTATCCAGGCCGCCGCTATCCCGTTCCCGTCCGCCCGTCCTCCTCCGCAAGCCAGAGAGCTAAGAGGCACCTTTACCGTCACCGCGGAGCTTCCAGACGGACTCGTTCTCAATAGTGACGACTTAGCTCTCATCCCACATCAACGAAGCGTCGAACAGCGCATCACACTCACAAGAAAAAGGTGGAGCAGGATATCAACAAGGCCATCCTCGTCTCCAAGCTTTACCGTCTCGCCTCTTTCGCCTCTATCTCATCATTCAATTCAACGGCACGGCGGAATTCGACCTTTCGTCTCATCTCGCCTGCTGTTCGTCACTCATGTTCGCGTTCCCCTCACCACAATCTTTCGTAATCTCTCTCCGAACTTTGCCCATCTCGCCAATTCCCTGATTCGGCGTCACCGCTGTTCTCCAGTCTTACTCTCAAGGACCTCCTCCCCTTGAGAATAGACCCAACAAAATCTCGGCTGTCGAGCCTATCCTGCAACAACCGCAACTTACGCAATACTCGCAGCAGCCAGGCCAGGCCAGGCACCGCTCCAGTTCTCCCAGGATTCGCCTCAGTGCATGCACACTATTCGTACATTAGGTACACTACGTGCTGCTGCGTTCACTCACCTCACCACGCAACAAACACACACAGCGTGCATGCAACTCGCATGCCACCAACCCTGTTGAAGACGCAGGCTAGCCCGCATACAGGCCGAGTACGTACAGGCTACAGGCTACACCACGCCTCTCTCAGTTAGCTGCATGGAAGGGCCGTATTGCAGCTTCGCAACACAAACTTGAGACGACAAGACGGCAAAAAACAGAGGGAAAAGGTAAAACCAAAGAAGAGCCGACGAATCTCCAGCGCCCCTTCGCCAACTGCGGCGAAAGAAGGCCGCGAACCCAACGCCAAAAACGCCTGCGTTCCTGAGTGGATAACAGCCACCCGCCGTGTTTCTTGTGTTTCTTACCTCTCTCCACCGCGGCGCATCAAACAGCGACACACCGCGGTCTAGAATCCGAAGGAGGGGTTGAACACCGCAAGACTCTGTCTGTCACTGTCGGCTCTCAAGCAACAGTCACGTCAGTTCCTGTTCAAGTGTGCGCTGGAGCGGAGCACTGCCCGCCTAGCGTGTAGCAACACGACAATCGTCCATCATCGTCCCAACTTTCGAAACTCTGCGACACGAAAGGCCCTTTTCCCATCATCGCCTTTTTGGCTTTCTTGGCCCGTTCAAGCAACGAGCAAGTCAGTGCCTTGCAGGCTTCCACCCCCTTCCACCCTGTCTTGTCTTTTGTCGTTCGCTCTGGCGTCTGAACTTGATCGGGCTTGGTCCGGTGCAGAGTCGAACTGTCTTGGCCCAATTCGCAGGATCCTATTGAGCCTTTTTTGATATATCACCGCCATTTCCTCTCGATAGCCAGCGCGGGCATCCACCACGACTTACGCAGCTTGTTTTCCTGTGCGAGGTTGAGACATACATATGCGACTGTGCCCCGTCCCCATCCCCCTTGTATTCTAACCCCGGGCAACTACTCACGTCGGCGGCTTGTCGTCTCATCCACGACGCACTCTTTGCCTGGCCATTCTCTTCTGCTGTTGTGCAGCTGCAGTCCAGGCCCAGTCTGGTCCATCCTGCCCGCAACCCCCCACCTCGTCCTCGTCCTGCAGCAGCCATAGCCGCAGGTGTAGTTGACAAGTCGAAGTCGAAGCCCCTCCTCTCGTCCGATCTCACAGCCCGTTATTGGTGTTGCTCTGCACTGCGGCTGCGACTCTCCTCGATATCCTCTCCGATTCCTCCCATCGAGGTCCCCTCTTCACCAGTTGATCCCAGCTCATTCAAAAGAGGAAAAAGGCCTGGGTACCTCGCCCTAACCAGTCAAGTCCAGCCACCGCACCGCAACGCCGCACCGGCGCCATCCAGCCATCGACCGGAACTCTTTACTGAGGCCATCCCTTCCCCTTATCCGCTGCCAACACACTGATTGACATTTTGTCACCGTCGCAGAGTCCAACTTGGGCTCTCCCGCATAAAATCAACCTGCACCCCTAACCCACCACACCGCACCACACTTCAAAAAGCATATCGAACCGGGGAATAACCTCGCGGCCTATCCCAGCACCGCATAAGGTCGAGAGAGGAGAGAAGTGAGGAGCAGCAGCCACCTCATCAGTCCACGCATAAGTGTCCCCGGCGATCAACCATCAAACCTGCCTTCGCGACAGGCGGTGTCTCTGCCATTTGCATCTGTACCTACATATTCTCATCCCGCCTCTTCCCTCACTCATCGCACACACTCACCCGCGCCTCTCATCGCCCTCCGCTCTGAGACCTTGACGTCTGATCACCCCACGCGCTCCAACATCAAGAGCCCAGGCACAAGAAGAACACCAAAAAGAAAAATTACAACAACCCAGCAGGGCTTTGTGCGTGCAGCAGCAAGCACCTTCATCCCACCCCGCCTCGAAAGGAGCTCCAACATCCATCAAACACGCCCCCATTCCTCAGCAAGACATCCCAGGTCCCAGCTGCAGCACCACGAGACCCCCCCATCGCGGCGCCTCACCGCAACATCCTGATCCAATCACGGCCCCCTAGCCCGCCCACGACGACAACCTCCCCTGCCACCCGCGAACCGGGGGGTGTCAAGTCAAGCAAACACACGCGAACCAGCAGGCCCTGTCCGATAGTGGAGGGCGCTCCGATTCCTGTCGATTTCATCGTCCCTTTTTAAGTTGCTTGCCCCGTCTAGCCCTGCACCACCGCAGAGAGGGGCCCTGTCACGACATTATTTTTTTTGTGTTCTCTCGCAGCTTGCTTCCAAAGCCAGAGGGAAAAGATCCAATCCCCTCTTCTGTTGTTCAACATCGTCCTCCACCGGCGAAGAGTCACAAAAGGCAGGGATTCCCAAATCGTCAAGACGAAGGCACACAAAAAATCAAAACCAACCACACGGGAAGAAGAATCCACTCTGCGACACACTATCGTCGTCAGATCAACGCGAATTCGGAATCGTGGACCCTCAACCGGAGAGGGGTGCTCGTCTCGTCTCTTTATTTTCCTCAGACCGCAACTTCTGATACCACTCCGTCCTTCATCTCCGCCTTTTGACGAGAAAATCTCGTCTACGATCTCGTTAATACATATTCCCCCGGGAGGCCTGCTACACACAATCAATCGGTTTCCGGCCCCCTTTCTCCAGACGTCTCGTTTCCCACCAAAAACCCATCGCGGCTCGCAGCTTGGTTACTAAAAGCTCGCTCGTTGGCGCCCAGTCCACCAACACATCCGCACCCACTCACTCCTCGATCGTCGGCTTCACTGCATTCATCGAGTTGAGGGGGGAAATCCTCCAATGGCTTTATAGCGAGGATTCAAAACAACCTGTTCAACGTTCTGCAATACTCGCCCTTTGATTTTACACCTTTAACATCAACCCTCTTCGCCTGTGCCTCCAACAGTGAGAGCAACTGCAACTCTTGACGATACTGCACATACATACTACAACTTCCTCAACACCAACACCACCGCAACCATGTCTCGCCTCTCACCCTTCCCCTCCAACCTGGCAACCTTTCGCACCGAGTCCCGCGCAAGTGTCGCCGCCTCCGACACGACCTACCACACCTGCGCATACCAATCCTTCCACGACGTAGAGCTCTACGCCCCGAGCTCCCCGCCCTCCAAAGCCCCCGCTCCGGCACCGGCCACCACCACCGTCCGGGCCCCGGCGCCGCTCTCCTCCGCACACCATCAAAAACACCACCACAAGGAGCCAGAACCCGCCGAGATGCGCCGTCAAGACTCCGGCTACGAGTCCCTCCCGCCACGCAACTCCCTCTCTTACGCCCGCCGCACATCCACCGCCTCCTCGTCGCAGTCCTCCTCAAACCAACAACAGCCCCGATCCCGCGGCCGCCCCACGATCCGCCGCGCCCCGAAAACGAGCCCCTACCCGACCACGGCGCGCACCAGCGGCAGCAGCCTCTACCACCCCTCCTCGCGCTCCTCGCACGCGCACGCCCAGCCCGCGACGTTCTTCCACTTCCCCGCGCACCCGACGGACCTCGAGCTCGCCAACCGCCGCCGCTCGTCCCCGCGCGGCGAGGACCTCGAGCTCGACCAGCGCGGCCTGCTTTCACCAACGCAGCAGCAGCAGCAGCCCGAAAGCAGCGAGGCCGCCGGCGAGGTCGCGACGCTGCCGCCGCAGGCGACGCACTACTGGACCAGCGACCGGACGCGGCGGCTCGAGTACGCGGCCATCGACGCCGCCAGCCGCGGCGTGAAGGGCTGGTGCAGGCGGCACCTCGTACCGGACTGCTTCGTCCCGAAGGAGAAGCACGTCGCCTTCGACGACGACACGGGCAGTGTGCGACGGTACAGGCTCGAGCTGGACGAGGAGACGCCCGAGAAGTGCGACTTCAACTCGCGCAAGAGGGGCTGGTTTGGCTGGCGCCGATCCAAGACGGCTTAAATTGCCAACCCATTTTTTACTGATTTTCTGCCTCGACGCTGGTGTTGAAACTGCTTTACCGAAATACGGGCACTGGGGGACACAGATTCGCATGCATTAATCTTGGCATTTGCACACGCGGCTGGGCAGGCTGCATTGGCGTTCTATACCCAGCATTTTGACACTTTTGTTCTTTCTTTTCTGTCCTTTTTTTTCGTTTTTGCGATACTGCCTAATTCGTTTTTTGTAATGTTTGTTGTTGAGAAGTTTTGTTTCCTGGCATGAAGGAATGAGGCATGAACAGATTTGGTCGAATATCAGACTGGCATAGCGAAACACATAGATGATAGAATGACGCGATGAGAGTTGCGGCAAGTTCTTTTGAGGAGAGAAGATGGCGGAGGATGTATCTGGAGACTACGAGACCCGCACACAATATGGAGAAAGTATTGATAGGTTTTCAATCGAAACACGTTAAATCAAGTAACACACTCGTGTCTTCACTGTGAAATCTTTCAATTCGTCTTGATGTAGTCGATTCTCATTCAATTGCGGCTCACTGTTCATCTGATCTTGAGAGCCTAAACGAAATCTAGCACCAACCCACGATGCTACTGCAACTTGAATGTAAAAGGGGGCGGTGGACACCGCTAGACCCCGGACCCGTCCTTCACCAAAGACACAAAGAAGGGCGGTGTCCTGGACCTGAAGCCCGGGCCTTCCGCCCGGATCCGGTGGCCGACGAACGGACCGGCCCGAATCGGCTGGGCTTCCGGTGGAAGAGGCGGTGAAGATTCAAAGGTCAGATGACGGATCGCAATGTCCAATTCTGGTACGGGGACGAGTCAGGCGGTCTTGATGGACATGAGGCACGAGAATTGTGATGTGTTCGCTGTTGTGTATTAACATCGTGAGATCTGCAGACATTATGGTGTTGCAACGCTGCGCACAAAAAAAATCGAACTCCGCTTCAACATGTCAAAAGCCCTTGGCGAGCAGTGGATCTGACCGTGAACGTGGAAACGCCTCCTGTCGATCCGGGTTCCCCGTCCCACCAGTTCGCTCATGCTCCGCTCAACCAACGCCGCTTAGGCTTAGTCTTCGAATAATTTCAACAATCCTTCTCACCGCTCGTTGAACATCGAGTCCTGATGGGCAACAGTCAAATCACCGCCGCAACGCGCTGCGTCATGCAGGCTGGGCGCGCACCTCTCAACCGATTGAACCCCCAACCCAGCCCGATCCTCACAACGAGTCTCACTTCTGCCCAGCCTTGACGCACTCGATCACGGCCAGATGCCTCCACGGCCCCTGGCCCTTCGCCACACTGCGAATCTCCAGCCCCGCGCGGCCCAGGACGTCGGTCCAGCACTCGAGCGTGCGCTGCTTGCCGCCGAACGTCAACATCATGAAGTCCAGCATCGTGGAGGTGTAATGCGGCGGGTTGCCCATCACGTCCTCCTGGATCAGCAGCCGGCTGTCCGCGGCCATGGCGTCCGCGATGAGGCGGAGCATGTTGACGGCGAGCTCGTCGCCGTAGTTGTGCAGACACCGCCTGATCCAGTATGTAAGAGCGCCTGCAGCAGTCAGCATCAATGTCTCACATCTCCCGATCGCGAGTGCAGAGGGGGGATCGCGTACCTTTTTCGGGTTGTTCCTTGTGGAAATCTATGACCTGCTTCCTGACGAGTCTCATGTCGGCGTCATCGAGCTGCTTCACGGCCTCCACCACCTCCGGCCGGTCCTGCAGCACGCACCGGTCTAGCGGCAGCTCCGGGTTCTCCTTGTGGATCGCCTTGATGGACTGGCCCCGCCCGGCGCCGACGTCGACGAACACCGCCCGGTCCGTCAGGTTCGCCTTGGCGTAGTCGACAACCCACGTGAAGTCGTAGATGCCCGAGATGGGCATCTTCTCTTCGATGGGACCCATGGCGCGCAGGAAGCGCTGCATGCGTGGCGGGTCGTGCTGCAGCATTTCGTACCAGCCGTACTCTGGCACGCCGTAGGCGAAGGTGCCTGGGACGTGGTTGAGCGTTTGCGGTTCTTTGCGGCCGTACTTCTCAAAGTATGCTGGCATTTGGACGTACGGCACCATGCCATTTTCCCAGCTGGCAAGCGTCAGTATGTGTAACAATAGCGAAGAAGAGCGCAGACGTACGCCATGCCGACGATTTGGCCAGCGGGTTGACCGTCGGTGTAGATGCGCGAGCGCTTTGTGTGAGCAACAGCGTCATCGCCCACTTGCGCCAGAATACCCATCGACGTGAGCACACCTCCGATTCTCCCTGGCAAGTGTCAGTCTGCTGTGCCTCACAAGCTTTCCCAACGGTCGCTTCGCTTACGTATCAAAGACCCCTCGGCGTCAACCTTCTTGGCGAGCTCTACATATGAGATACTCCCCTCAGGTGGGATGTGGTCGTAGGCCTTCCACTCCCAAAACAGCCTGTTCGCACCCATCTGCGCAACCTGCGCCGTCGCATCGAACCACTCATCGCCCGGGTCCTTGACCGCAGAGATCAGCTTTTGCGCGGCGTCGACGATGCGCCGCCGCTGGCCCTTGTCGAGGTCACTCCCGGCCGTTCCGGGTTCCTTGAGGAATGTCTGGAGGGCCGCGGTGACTTCGTCCGCGGCGGCGGTCGCCTCCACCCGGACCTGATCGCCGACGTCTCCCGACATTAGGAACAAGCTTGTAAACTCTTTCCTAAAAGGATGGAGTCTGGCTATTTTGTGGGGAATTGACTGGTAGAAATCAAGCAAGTGGCTTGTTACACGACTCCTTCTTTTGGGTCTCGTATGTGTGTTGGAGAATGCGGTGATAGATTGCTGCTGCACGTCTGTCGATCAAAACGGCCTGATTGCATACGCAGACGTCACACCCGCACCAAAAGTACAGTGACCGGGCACACGGGACGGCTCGCGAAGGAAGACAATAGAGAGGCACGGAATGTGGGCAGAATGGGATGAAAGGTTCAAGCTTATCCGTGCTGACATCAATCGATACCAAGCGGGTTGAGATCAAGGAGGGGCACGCAACAGGTCAACAGCGGAAGAGGAGAAGAGAAGCGAAGGAATGATAAACAGCCAGCAGGGCCTCTGCCTCCATCCATCCCGTCCGTCCAAGACCCAAAGTCCCCTTCTTCCCGATTGCAGTGAAGCGAGGTTCAGCTGAAGGAGCGCTATTAGCTCGATGCGGCAGCTCGGTGTGTAGCCACCCATGTGTCGGCGACAACGTGCCGCGCACGTCCAATATTGTGCTGTTGGGTGAAAGTCCTCCCCCGCCCTCTCCCCTCTTCACTGCTCTTCAAAGAGAGGAGATATCGCCGTCCAGCCAATGGGGACATACCAGACTAAAATTCGGACTAGACGCAAATGACCAGGAAGAGGCGGGCTAATTAGGAGTTGGATGAGGGGTTAATAACGAGGGGAGGGGCAGGTATCTCAAAGGAAGCGGCGGCAATGGGGGGGAGCATGAATATGACTTGACGGATCAGAGACACGGGCGGAAACGCCACCGCGTGCAAATGGGTTCCAGGCCGGCCTCTTTTGGTGCACCGCATCGGCGGCGTCCCGGCTATCCTGCTCCTGGCCACGTTCACCTCCTAGGAGTTAAAGCGTCCCCTCGCGGAGAGACAAATCCGCCGCGGAACTAGCAGGAATGGAGGCTGGTGCCAGCGCCGCCGCTCCGACCAAAGCCGGCTAAGACGTCAGGTAGCGCGGCGTGATAGGCTGTGCTCTCTTTGAGGCAGGATGGGCGCAGGGGTGGCATCTTTTGGTGGTGGCATTGATTTTCCCCTTGAGTGTCTTGACACTTGATCTCAGTGAAGGTAGCTTACTCTGTTCGCGCACTTGAGGCCGGTGTTGGCTGATGCATTGCTGACACGACACCACGCAGGAGCCGCTTCGTAGTTTAAACCAGTCCAACGGCTTTTTCTTCTTTGGCCCCTTGTCAAATTTCTCTTTGCTTCCTTCTTCTTGCTGAATCGCCCCGAGCAACTAACGATTGTCCCATCGATCTGGCTGACTCGACCGAATCTCGTCCGCCGAGACTGCGCATCCGGGCTCCCGCGATTGGCTTTTAAGATTTCTTGAGGGCATTTAATACACCGAGCTGCCCCTCAGTGACAGTTCGTGCTGCCGCCGATCTCCAACGTCTGGGTTCCCCATCAGTTCCAAGGGCAGATCCCTGGTCGAGCGCTCGTGCCCTCAGCGCGACATCTGACGACTGTTACGGCCGAGATCACGCGTCCCTCTTCTCATCACTGAGACAACATCAGACTCATTGAAGATTCGACACATCATTAACATATATCTGGGTCTTGGCTCGTGTCAGCTGAAGCAGCCATGGCGGACACAGCAGCAGCCCCCGCAACGACAGCGCCACCAGCCTCTGAGCCGCAGGAATCGCGACCTGGGGCACAGTCGCCGCAACAACCCTTCGAAGCCGAGAACACAGTCGAGGCCGACACAGATGACGGCGCGTCATCACGGGCGGACGAGACGTGGGACGAGGGCTTCGACTCGGCAAGCTCTCATTCGGCATCGACGTCGATGTCGGCCAGCGTGCGCGATTATGTCTTCGAGAACACGCGGCGGTATCACAAGTACATGGAAGGGCGGTACCTCCTTCCGAACGATGAGCCCGAGCAGGACCGTGAGGACATGAAGCATGCGATGTGTGTCAATGTGATGGATGGCAAGCTACACAGCGCGCCGTTGGAGAATCCGCAGAAGATTGTTGATATTGGCACGGGGACGGGGATCTGGGCGATCGACAGTAGGTTTTCCATCTCCCTCTTACCTTGTTCGCGCACATCTTGTTGTCTCTTCTCATCCCTTGTGTCTCTCGATCCGATGCTTGGCGTGTTTTTGCTCATCCTCGCGATGGAATGTCGTCGCATGGCCAAGCGGTTTTGTACCCACTTCCCAGCCCCTATCCGGCCATCGAGCCAACACATGAGCCAAGGCTAACATGCCCAAAGTCGGCGACGAATACCCGGAAGCAGACGTGCTTGGCATCGATCTGTCCCCGATCCAACCAGATTGGGTTCCCCCCAATGTTCGCTTCATGATCGATGACGCCGAGGCAGACTGGGTTTGGCCCGAGAACTCACTCGATTTTGTGCACGCGCGGCACATGTGCATGGCTATCAAGAACTGGCCTGGACTCCTCTCAGAAGCCTACAAGTCTCTAAAGCCTGGCGGCTGGGTCGAGCTGCAAGAACTTCGCTTTCATCTTCAATGTGACGACGGGACGATGCCAGGACCTGAGCAGTACGGTTACGGCAAATTTGTGGACCTCTGCATGTCCGGGTTCCGAAGCTTCGGTATCGATCCGTTGATGATGGAGCGCAACCCTGAACTGTTGAGAAACTGCGGATTCCAAAATGTGACCGAAAAGGTGTGGAAGGTGCCTATTGGAGTGTGGCCGAGGGACCAGAAGCTGAAGACTATCGGGCTGTACAACCGCAGCATGCTCATTGATGCATTGCAAGCCGTCAGTATGGCGCCCTTGACCAGAGGTCTGAAGTGGAGCGCGAGCGAGGTTGAGATTTTCTTGATTGACGTGAGGAAAAGCTTGATGAATACGTCGATACACTCGTATTTGACGTTTCATGTTGTGTATGGGCAGAAACCAGGAGGCCAGTTGTAGCAGTTTCATGAGGCATTGCTCGTCTTTTACGTTGATACCATGGGCGGAGTGGCGAATCACGGCAACGGCAGTCCACGAGATGAGCCAATTTCCATTCTGCCATCTTGCCTACTATCTACAGACACCTGTAGAGTGCTCCAGCAGTCTCGATCTTGTGATCAACAATACGGTGAAATGTCATATTGGTCATAATTCGGCGAATGTATGAACATTTTCTTAGTCCAGCCCATTTATGTTGCTACTATAACCTCCACCATTATCAAAGCTCACGGGAAAGCAGTCCCACTTTGACCGCTCCTCCAGATGCTACAACTTTTATTCTCGCCCAAGTATTCGGTCTTCGTACTGCAAATTCCTCTCGTAGTGTTTTTGGCTAACAAAAGAACGCACATAGATGTTGTTGCAGTGCCATAAGAGCTCGTAACAAAGGGTGCTAAAATAGGGCCAAGTGGTGGAAAGGCAAGTGCACCGACTTCTCTTCCTACTGCCCCGCAAGAGCAAGCAAAAGCCGCAACCGCCCCATACGTTGTGTCTTTGAAAGGTGACGACAGGTCCAGCTGCCCCACGTATTGCACAGTATATCTTCTCGCTTCGGGGTCCTGGGCCAAATAAGCTGTACTCAACGAGATTTTATCTGAGTGGTGAAGAGGTCCGGATGTGTGTGAAGTTGAAACAAAAGATACAAGGAGTATAGCAGTAGGAGGATTATGGCTGTGCCCCGTGACAGAATTAGAATGGAGTGCTCTTTGTCGTCCGAGTCCGCTTCTGAAAGGGCTGCATAAAGCTGTCCAGATCATTAGCTCGTTCCCAGAACTATTCTCAACTGATTAAATTACCCTGACTTACTGAAGCAGGAATAGCCAAACATGCTAGAGACATCATCATGAATGAGCGAGTGGTTTGTGCTGTAGCGGAGGCAAAGTTTTGTTCAACCCCCTCGCCGTTTTGATCGCACATATTGAAGATACCAACAAGGAAGAACGATGATCCCGTAACGAGGAGTAGATTCAAGAGAAGGGAGCCAAGTATGGTTGATTGTACCACTTCAATTTGGCCCTCATTGAGCGCAATAATGCCAATTATGATCTCAACCACGTTCCCGGATGTTGCCATCAAGAGGTTCCCGAAGCTGTCATTCAGGCTCATCGACATTTGCTCAATGGCAAATTCCAACGGAGTAGCGAGCGGTGCCACAGCAATCAGATTCAGGGCGAATATGGCGGCTGGGCTCCATGAACTGAATTCACCCGCCATGACAGCAAGGGGCACCAAGACGAGAAGGAAGTTGGCATAGTCTGGGTGACAGGTGGTTAGTCCTCGAAGACATACGAGAAGACAGCTTGGGAATTGGGGGGGAAAAAAAGACAAAAAAAGAAAAAACAGCTTACTGCTCATGATAGTGAGTTTGATGACGGCACAGACGTGCGAGAAACATCTTCCGAAAATGGTTTCGTTCCATTCTGGGACCAATTCATACGCCGATACCATGAGTGTTTTGAGAATATTGCGAGACGAGCTAGTGCTGATCACGCAATTGTCGTCATAGTTTGCCAACCCACTGCCATTCTCCAGAAGATGTGAGTTCTCGTCAGCAGCGGATCGATGACGGCCTGGTTCATAGTCCATATTCTTTTGATGTTTGTCCCTGGGAACCATAGTATCAAGCCATGCTGGTCTTTTGTGAAGATCATAAAGGTAGCAAGGAGAATGAGAGCTCGGGGGATCCCAAATGTAGGGATGCCCAAAGCTGTCTTGTGGTATGAAATGACGTAAGTTGAAGGCACGTACGAGGGAGGCTGAGAATCACGTTTGATGATACGTGGCGACTGCGGCACGCCGTCTAATTACGGAGCGCTGCTGCCTAGCCAAGGCTGACTGGAAGGGAGCCTGTTATGAATGCGTCGAATTCCATGCGCTTGCCACGAGTGGCGCGCGAAAAGTAACACCAAGAGCCCGAATTTGGAGTCTTCGTAAGGGTCTGACTTATTCCGGATTTTTCTTGTCGCACACATCTTCATGTCGACAGGGCTCAACACGCCCCAATTGATTGCGTGTATGTAATGACCTGAAAGGTTCTACCTATGATGCTGAATTCCAAGTACATGTATCTCAGGAAATATATCCTCCAGCATCTGTGAATTAAGAATCTTGACGCTACGTACATTTGACATCACAGTTTACCTACTCCCCCAAGCTTGAATTTGTTGCAAGCACATGTGTATAAGCATTTGATACGGCTTCGCGACCTTCCAGTCTGGAAAGCAGCCCCGACAAGCAGACGTGGTATGTGGTAACATCCGCATCATCGCAGCGGCTCTCCAACTTTGCGTGGAACCTCGCCACATATGCAGAGCTTTTGCGGACGCCACGATGTAGGACCATCATCTTAGCATTAATGAATTGAACCTCCATGGCTTGAAACCGAGGAGTTGATAAAACGGTTGACAGGGCATTCTCGAAGATGTCCTGTCTTCCGTGACCCCAGTCAACGTCATCCCCTAAAAGATCTGGAAAGTCTGCGGGTAGCACGTCTCGGACAGCCCCTGTTGCGGTATCTGGAGATTCTATGGCGCCGTATAGGACTGTGAAAGGCTTCTGGAGTGTCCTTGTCCAGCCGAGTATGAGTACCAAGGGGAAATCCTCACTGAAATTCCCATCAGTCCCACGGATGGTGATGTTGAGCCTTGCTGCCGAGGACTTGCTAGAATCATTGCTGAGGAAGGTGGAATGAAAGCTGTCCCATAAGTATTCAAGATCCGGCACAACCCTCGCTAGTTTAAGAGATGTTGGGAGTTCGAAGGCAATTCGAAATGACCTGTGCATCCTCTCGCGAAGGGCTGAATCTTCTTGAGGACTGATGTCTTTGTGTATGTGTATGGTGAACAATTCTCGAGTGGTATCCGCAGTTGTCACAGCCCGCTCAAATTCCACCGACCAAGGCTCGTTGCGAACAAATCCGTCAGTGGTTCGAGTAAGAGAGATGCAGACAGGGACTCCGGTTGCCAATGTGAGGCCAAGAGACATGAAGTAGGCATTGTCCGCATGCTTGAAGAGTTTCGTTTGGATTCGAACACCCTTATTGGTGAGAGAAAACTCTTGCTGGGTATCATGCCTGGCAACTGACTTTGTAATGGTGGCACAGGAGCTGAACTCGCTCGGAGACGTTGCAAAAAGCCCTCTGAATATCTGTGATTTGCCTTCAGTAAGAGGGCATGCCCTCCACGCGAACAGAGATAAGTCGTTGGTTTCTCTAGCGATTTCCTCTTGAAGGCAGCGGAAGGCTTTATGTCCTTCGCCGTAAATCATTGGCATGTTGATATCAAATATGCCGAGAAGAGAGTATGCTCGGTCCTCAACCCGCGTTGTATCTCGAGTTGCGGCCCAGGACATCTTCACCGCCACTGGAGTATGTCGTAGACTTGATGAATCTTGTAAAACCGCATACGATATTCCTGTGATATTCGATAGGATATCGAGGCAATCGGTCTTTCGAGAAAATTGCTTCCATTCGCAATTGTAGAACTCGATGTTGTCAGGCGCGATGAGCTCTTGCAGGGTCCACCCGCGAGTGAACCAATGGCAACGACTAAACGTTTCTTCAGTATATGGAAAACTCGTCTTTGGGGCCACATCCTTGCTATCGCACGGCTCCAGGTCAGAGAGAAAAGCGAAGCAGACTTTCGACTGTTGATACCACGCGAACATGGAGTTGATAGCTTCACTGAGCTCTGCACTGCTTGACTTGTCGATGCAACAGCTGTCGATCCAAGCATACTTAAGGCCTCGTTGGCGTGCAATCTTACAGGTGCTCGCAACCTTCGAAAACCCTTTCTTTTTCTTGATCCCATGTCTTTCAGAAGACCTGATATCCTGAAAGGTTATCTCGTCGGAGCCCCATGTATGGGAAAGAATCGCATAATCATGAGCGGATGGCCCCGTGAACTCTTTCAATGTCAGAGTATCGGTATTGATGAGCCACATATTGGCGGCTGGCGGGCGTTGTGAATTCAGAAAAGCAAAATAAGCGGAAGAGCACACTGTCGAGTCTTATTTGTCGCGAAGAAGCGCGTGACAAAAACGTCTCGTCTCAGCCCAATCTTGGCGGCTGCCCCCTTACTTGCATGCATGGCCCGTCTTACTGTCTCACTTCGAGCGGGGATGCGGGGTTACTGGGCATTCTAGGATAATTGGCCCGATTAAATACCATTCATTGCATGAGATTCTGAGAAACATGATTGATCAACTCAACATTTTACCAATAGGAAGCCGGAGACATGTCGGATCACATCTATGCCCGCGCGTCGGGGGGAGCCAAAATGGTGATGCCATGAAGATCGACGTTCGGTGGGCTGTTAGATCGATACTTGAAGGTCATCATGACCTCCTCTTACCTCCAGATATGTCTTTCAACTCAAATAAGCAGCGTCTGTAATAGCCTATGTGGATTATCCGGCCACGTTGCGTTGATATCCGAACCTGGCGGCCCCACTCCGACCGGCGGTGTCACCGTCCCCTGTCAGTCCAGCCCGCGATGGATACATATCACCGAAAGAAGACGCACTAGAGCCTCGGATAACAATAATAGGTCCGTTTTGTGTTACTCATCATGCATGAGGTGGAGGAACATCACATCGGCCGAAAATTGGAGGATAAGCTTTCCCCCCTCCTGAGGCTTTTTTCCCTCTCACAACAATCGATACCCCAACTATCAACAGCCATGAGCGACTTCAAGGGCAAGGTCATCGCCATCACAGGCGCAGCGTCGGGCATCGGCCTCGCGACGGCGAAGAAAATGGCGTCCCTTGGCGCGCGGGTATCGATAACCGATGTCAACGAGGCTCTGCTTACGTCCGAGGCAGCGGTGCTCACTGGGCTGCATGGCGCAGAGAATGTCTTTTCCAAGGTCACCGATGTGAGGGACCGAAATGCGGTTGAGGCGTGGATCGCCGAGACGGTGGAGAAGCTCGGTCCGCTTGACGGGGCCGCTAACTGTGCTGGCGTACTGGGCCGGCAGGGAAACAGGGCGACGATCGCGGAGATCGAGGACGATGACTGGGACTTTGTGATGGGAGTGAACTGCAAGGGAATTCTGAATGCTATGAGAGCCCAGATCCCGGCTTTGAAGGACGACGGAAAGGGAGCATCTATCGTCAATGTTGCCTCTGTCTCTTCCTTGTATGGATTGGAGTTCCACGGGGCTTACACCGCGAGTAAGCATGCAGTCGTTGGACTGACTAAGAGCGCTGCGAGAGAGTTTGGAAGAAAGGGTGTCAGAGTCAACGCCGTTTGCCCGTAGGTTTACCCTGACATTGAAGTTATGGAACTTCATATTCGGAGGAGCTCTTACTAATTTTTTCTAGTGGGCCGATTGAGACCCCTATTCTGGCAGCATCTATGGAGTTTGCGGCCACTGGAGCTGTCCTTCCGCCACCTTTGCTTGGGCGAATTGGGCAGCCAGAAGAGGTCGAGGCAATGATCACTTTCCTGCTCAGCGATGCTGCATCATACGTCACCGGTCAAGCGATGCTAGTCGATGGCGGCATGCTGCCATAAGATGGAGGTCCAGCCGAAGATAGAGGACCGATCGAAGGAAACAAGGAACAGAAGATCTCTTGTGATGACTATGAAACCCTAGTAGTGAAGTAGAATACAGTCTAAATACCATTTGTCTCATGCATCTACACCTTACGTAGTCGCATGAGCATGAAAGCCGCAACCCCAGAACAGGCCACTCCAGTTGTCCAGATCGCCCAGCTGCGAAATTGGCTTTGCGAGCCTGCAGCTGCGTGAGATGACTTGGATACCAGCCTGTGAGGCAAGCCCAGGCTCTCTACCTGAGTGCCCCTCAAGTAGCTCTTGTACCAGCTTTTAAGAAATAGACCATCACCAAGCCAAGGCACAATAATCCCAATCAGGAACTTGGAGAGGGGCAGCTGCTGGCAGATGATGCTATTGACCCATCGCCCTTCTTGCATAACCTCGGTGACGTTGTCTTGGCGCTTAGTCTGAACTTGCGCAAGCATAGACTCAATCTCCTTGTCCGACAAGGACTGAGAATTTGATTTCAGTGTTGAAACCAGCGTGTTGACAAGAGCTGCTGCTGTCTCAATGGCGCCGTTGCCGCCTTGGGCTGTGATCGGGTGAAGCTGAGTGGAGCACATATTAGCGATTCATGTATACCGACAAACACACAGCACAATATGCGTACCTTGTGTGCTGAGTCACCGATGAGCAGAATCCTTCGGTAATTCCAACGAGAGAAGACGTGCTCCTCCAATGCCACAAGAGTAGCAACCTGTCGTCCTTCATAAATATCGCGAAACTTGATTGAGTCAGAGATATTGTCGTCGAAATATCTTGATGCAAGCTCCTTTTCGTCTTCTTTCGAGAACCTCGGGATGTCTTTCCCGTAGTAGGTGCCATCCATCACGTGGAAGAAGAACCAGTAAACCCGGTCTTTCGGTGCTGGGACCAACAGATAGCTCCGCCCATCATTGAAGGCGGAATGCTGCATCCCACGCCAGCCCTTGGGAAGATTCGAAATGCCAAAGATGCATTTCGTGTTTGACTTGAGACCTTCGACACTTGTAAGAAAATCATTCATCGCAATCCTTTAGCAGTGAAATGACTTACTTTGGGCCTCGTCTGGCGGAAACACGTTCTGCTTCTCCTCAGAAGCAAGGCGCCACATTTCCTGTCTGATAGTACTTCTGACCCCGTCGGCCCCAATTAGAATGTCTCCGGCGTATGTACTTCCGTCTTGTGTCTTGGCAGTGACACCTAAGTCGGTCATCTCCACCCGGGAGACTCGCTTCCCCGTCAAGACGCGATCCTTGTGACGGATCTTTTCGTACAGAACCTGGAGAAGCATTTGCCTGTCGATGAAAACGCAGGGGTAGCCCGTCCTAGTCGAAGTCAATCAATGCAGATACATCGGACGAACTTGGCGACGTACATGCTTTCAATGCTCTCAGAAAGACTTGCGTCTTTCGTTTCTGACAGAATCCGCCCATCTGAGGATCTAATGGAGCACTTGTAGTAGATGTCGCCCCCGATTTCACGCAGGCGTTCGTAGCATCCCAATTGGTCAAGGATCTTCAGACCGTTAGGCAGGAGGCCGATGCTCGCACCAAGTTGAGGCGCAATTGTAGGGTAGGCTTCTAGGATTAGGTAGTCGATGCCGAACTTCTCCAGCATGATGGCCAAGGATAGCCCGGAGACACTTCCACCTACAATTAGAATTCGCATCTTCTTCTCGGTCGCCATGTTGAGATATAGTTTGAGTGGTCCAGGAACTTAACAACCATCTTATTTGAGAGTTTCTACTCAAGCGGTTCGTCGGATGTCTGGTTCGACTTTATACCCAGTGCATCTCTCTATTTACATGGCATTAAACCGCTGGCATCGGGACGCGATAGGTGTCCGCGGACCTCCTATCAGTAGGCCAAGCACATGCTGAGACAGGATCCATCCGGCATGCATACAACTTTCTCGGCTCGGTGCAGCTCATTCGTAGTTTGGTGCAACGCGACCTTGCTTTTGTGGTTCTCGACGATCTGCGTGTTCGGCCGTTGCAACCCCGAAAGTCCGCATTTGACGACCACGCAGCTTGGCAAATGCCGCCTCAACCCCATAGTAGCAAGGCCTCATCGTAGCAATCTTGCACCAAGCGAAGACCGCTTGCGATGCCGAGAGATATGATGCGCAACGGTATTGGCCGGTGATCAGAGCGAAGTTCGTCCGAAATGACCGATGCCGATGTGCGTGCCTAAGTAGGCATCTGGGTCCATTGCTTGCCACATGGCTGCAAGGATCGGCCCGTGCCGTAAGGAGTGCCGGAGGCTGATAGTCGATCAGCCCAAGCTGAGTCGTCTTTACAGAATAATTGTAAAAGAGGTCAGGTGCGACGTGGGCCGTGTCCCGAAGACCTCATGTCCTGTTGTTGAAAGTCGACAAAGCACATGTGGGAGTGAACACATCTACCTGCTATATCACCCGGTACTTCTTGACTGATATCGTCTGTGACAAGAGTCGTCTTCTGAATCAGTTCCTCCGGGTCTCAATATTCGCTCGCAACTTGGTCGCTGCAGTCTCTCTTTCTGAGGACTTCCAGGGCTGTGGGGACTGGCACAGTTACTGCTGGAGATACCCCTGTTTAGCTGATGGGAAACATGACACGCCAAAATTGTAAACGACCTACTTGCCGTTTTGAATATTCGATGAGATGGTTGTTGGGATATCATCAGCCGTCTTCTAGTTTGGTCTTGATAGGCCTTATGGAATAGTTCCTCTTCGGGGATCTTGAACTCGTCAATGTCGGATGACTGAAGGTTGTTTGATTAGTGATTGGTCCGAGGGCTGGCCTACCTTGGCGAAGTGGTAGTGGATATTGCCACTGGCGAAGCCCCTCGAGAAACAGAGCTTCTACAGGCATGGGTGCCATCGCGGTGTTCACTGTCGAAAACAAATTTACATCGCTTACACACACGTCGATAGCGCATGTGAATTTGGCCTGACATATCGTGCAGCCATAAGTTGCAAAGCGCGGCAAGATCGCCATCAGAGAAGTTGACAATATTTGTTGAAATGGGTTGAGTTTGCCAGCAAGGAGTTGGACTTTTGAAACTTGTCTACTTACCCATCCGAGAATAAAGCTGCTTTCGGCCCCCGCGCACTTCACGCGACGGCCCTGACATGAAGTCATAATAAGATTGAGCGGGTACTTCCCGGGGGCCGAGAATGCTATGGACTGAGGCTCCAAGAATCGTAACGGCGCCGGACGAGACTAGAAATTAGCAGGGCCACCCTCATTGGCCCAAAGACGGGGAAAATGCCTCGCCAAAACGGCTGCCTAAGCCCTACCTCGCCCGTATCGATGGGGGCTGTGCCGAACTTGCTCAATCAGACGTCTCCTGCATGTCTAGTGCAGTGGGGTCTCAGCTGGAGGCCTCGGTGTTCATCCCCTTGCCTTGGGTCTTGAGCCTATCGATCCTTGACGCGCGGCACGAATATGCCGACTGTGTGTTCGGCTCCCATATTTAGTTGGAATCACTAACCATGAAAGAGGCATGGCCCGTTGGTTGCAACCTTGGACGGCTCTAGGCCGTTGTTCGATTCCACTTGGGAACCTGTAAACTGGAGTAGACCATGCCAAATGGGGTCGCTAAAGTCTGGTAGAACGACACAAAGATACCCGCAATCCTCACCAGTTCTTTAGGTCGAAGACATCAAGACCAGTCTTGGTATTGTGACATTACGATGGCTGATGAGATTGCTGTTAAACCGAACACATGGCGAGCTTTGTTTGACTTGCCAAACGCGCTGGCACACATCTCACTGGTGGCCATCACGCAGAAGGGCCGAATAGGGCTATGCTGCCGCCAATTCCCCCTGAGAAATCAGCCTGACAACTCAGCCACGAGTTCAGGTGAATCGATAGACATGTGTCATATGAAGTGAAATTACGTGTATGTCTCAGCCCAGCCCAAAGAGGGAATATTTCTGCCATTTCATGCACTCAACACTGATCCCATATCATTTGTCGATGTCGTCAGATACGGTTCCGGAGCCCGGTGGGAAGTTTTGAGTCGACGGGTGCAAACGTGACCCCAGTCTCACGCGCAGAGATTTGCGATGTGCACCAAAACAATTCAGAACATCTTATTATATGTCGATCGTACTACAGTCATCTGCTGGGGGTATTGAAAATCACCCTATGAATGTTCACTGTAGCCATTGAGTTGGCTCGGCGCGAAGTTTGAAGCTCTTGTGAGACTTCCATGATGTCCGGTAGCCAGCTGAGCAGCCCCTCTTCATAGATAACGCACTGCAAGACTCGTACTGTTCAAAACCTCACCGAAGTTGCTCTGATTAGCGGTGGATGGTGAGCTTCCTATCTGGAACGCTATCTTTACCCTATCTTAAGCACTCTTACACGTCGGCTCACAATCCTAGTTGGTCTTTACATCGTGGCGCAATGGAGGAAATGATCAGAGTGTATCGATATCCATGTGATGCTTCTCCTACATGAGAGGAGTTTGCTGCCGGGTGCACTCAAAGTCACCTTCGTGGTAATGTTAACGTTGCATTGAAGATTTCTCCTTGTAAGTTGGGGCGGAGCACCCCCTAGCCTGCTGTTCTAGAGGCAGTCAGGCAAGGTAGTTTAACGGTCGGCACACTTGTTTAGCTACCCTTGCACGCCCCAGCACGACTGGTAACCTGGTAAAGGGTTTTCCCCTGGCTATGTGCTTTTGCAGTCCGAGCGTGCTTCTCCGAGTCTCATCGCTGTTTCTCGGCGCGGGGCTTGCGGGGGAGGCCAGACCGTCCCACTGGCGAGATCTTTAACTCTTGCTGAGAACACGTGCATCGCTATTGACCATATCTGTACTTTCGACCGAGACCGAGATTCATGCAGACTGTGCCGCCCAGGATACCTGGGAGAATGTTTCGAAAATCGTTTAGTGAGCTTGAAGCAAATTCGCAAACAATGTTACTCATTGAGCATCGACGGCAGCGAAATTGTTACATCATCCCCTTATGATGTTCAAGAGGCTCATACTGTCAAACTCTCCGTCAGATGTTGGACATGTGAGACTACAAGGGGGGTCCTAGTGTGAGCGCCATAACAACGTGAACGACAGCCCGATGGCACTCAGATGCACGGCGAATACGCGGAAAATTATGCCATGGAAGCCGGAGAGAATTAAAGTCCCGCTAGGCGGGCTTTCTAGAATCTCAGTGTCCATCAGTAATCACACCAGACAGGTGCCGGTGCCAAGAATAGCACTGGAGTTGCAATCTTTCGTGTTGTGTGCTAAGCCATTTCAGCTTAGGAGATTAGGTTTAGGCAGCAGTAAAAGGCCTTGCCATATTTCATCGAATTATCGTTGTCAGAACAAAGGGATAGAAACAAACGGTTAAGACTCCGAAAGGTTAACATCGATATGCCGGGCTGCCATCCCATCTTCTGTCGTATGTCGCAACTACAACTTCGAGAGAGTTTTACGTCTAAGGGATGACACTGACGAGACTCCTCAACCTTCAATACCCGCAGTGGAGATGGGAGCTCCAGCCAACGGTCTAAAACAGGGGCTGAATCATTCTCAGCTAGCGGCATTCGCAGATGCCACAGGTTTGCTTCGAGAAGGCAAAGACGCCAATAGGAAGACGAAAAGAATTCCGCGATCTTTTGAACGCATGTTGCCCAGTAGGGCTGAAAGAAGCACTTTTTGTATCGGCGTCGCCGTGTGAATCACCGGAGCTAGGCACCTTCTTCCGTCGAGTTCAGACAATTTTGCGGGAACCTCGAACGGTCCCATCCTCGGGAGGCCCATATTTCTTGAATAATAACTTTCGACCGAGTCGTATGATTGGCTACGTCGTAAAAGACTAAGTGTTAGCGCCAAAACGCTTGTTGTCCCTGACGAAGTTGCTGACGTCGCAGGGAAAACCAGGGGATGGCCAGGGCTCATCGGCGCCCGAGGGGCGCGTCGGCGCGCTTTTGGCCAATTCGACCACCTTGGCTTATATAGTGGGCGTTGCCCAAAAGTGTGATGATGCTTGGCGCATACCCTGTCTTAGCCCCCGCGTTACCGTATCCGAGAGCGCGCTCCCACCTTTTCACCGGTGTTTCGGTACGGACAGCTGTCATCAAGCTCCGTTCGATCTCACAACTTGATTTGTCTGATAAGCTTTCTTTCGTACGCATATCGAAGCCAATAATGCCATTGGACGCGCACATTCCGGGGACCGGAGTCTTTTCGGTGGCCCCCGCGCCGAAGAAGCCCAAGCGAACCAGGGCGAGCGCGTCAAAGGTTAGGACCGGATGTCTGACATGGTTGGTGACCAACACTGATGCCACTTTAGTTGGTTCAAGAATGCTTCGACTGACCCCAAGTTTCCTTTCATCACAGCAAGTAAGGCCTCTTTGCCTGGTTCTATAGTTCGCTATCTAGACTTTGTTTGTATCACCGGCCTCGCTGTACAGGATCTGACCAACTGGTGCTAGAGTCCGACATGTGAAGTGTGACGAGGAGAAACCCACATGCAAAAGATGCAAAAAGGACAAGCACAAATGCGATGGATACCCGAATCTCAATGCTGTACAAACAAGGCGAGCGTCACGATCGCCAAGCGCGAACGCCACTGCTACCGCTTGCATGCTGGCGCGACAGATTCGAAATACGTCGGTGATGCATCTGACAGCACCTGTCAACTGGGATATTACGGGAGACAACATCGAGAGACTCATGTTCCACCACGTGCATAACTGCACCGTTCCAGACTTCGGAGCCTCTACGCCTTTGGCAAAACTTTGGAGCAATTACATCCTACCTCTAGGCTACTACTCCGATTCCGTCAAGCATGCCGTCATCGCCCTTGGCTCCGCCCACAGAGCATTCTTGGAAAACCCCTTTTACGAGACACAAGCGACGGAGAGCTCGTTGGAACTGAGCGATGTATCAACGCGGCATTACCGAAAAGCCGTCTCAGAAGCCATCCAAATTATGGCTGACCCATCACCAGTCAACATCAGAATCACCCTGATCAGTTGTCTAGTCTTCGTCTGTTACGAAATCATCCGAGGGCAATATGACAAAGCCGTTCAACACTTGAGATCCGGAGCAAAGGTTCTTGACTCACTTCACCAAGCAGCACTAGCATACCGACGAAATCCAGCCTCGCTCTCCGCTTACGACAAGTGTCTCGCCGAAACCGTCGAAAACCATTTCATCCAGCTTTGCGACATAGCCGGCATGTTTTCGTGCATGGGCATGGATGCGTCAATGCTAATCGAGGAGGACGTGGTTCCTGATCTGTCCTTCTTCGTTCAAGACGAAGAGAAAGACCAGACCAGACCCTTCACTAGTGTCGCCGAGGCCCGATACCAGCTTCATCTCGTCGAAGTCATGTTCTCCGAAGCGTTCGATGAGTCGTGGGTATCCTGCAGTGAAGGCTCCACGTGCAGATCATGTCCCTCTCCGCCTGAGAATGGCAAGGACTCGCCTGGATCAACGACTTCGAGGAGCTCAACAAAACAGGCCGAATGGGATTTGGCCGATAAACATTTCAAAGAGTGGTGCGTTCGCTTCGACGCCTTTCAAAAGGGCCTGCCGGAACGCATCGATCAGGCGGATAGAGAAGAGCTTAAGGCCTTGGACTTCTCCAGGAAGAGTTGGGAAATCTTCAACTCGCACGACACGCCCTGCGATATGAAGCATTCGGATATGGGAGTTTTGAATGAGCTAGTGGACATGGCTGAAGACATCATCCTCGGCAAGACGCAAGGAACGAGGCCCACCTTCTCACTCGCGGCAGATGTGGTGCCTTCGCTGTCGTACATCTGCGCGTTCTGCGAGAACGACGACTTGGAACGACGATGCATCGATGCCTTGCGGAGGATGAAGAGAAGAGAGGGAATGTGGGACAGTCAAGAGATGGCCAATCTTTATGACTTCATCCTTCAAGCCAAGTCGGACAACACGTGGAAAGACGAGTACAACTGGGAAAGCCTTCCCAACCTGGCAAGGCGGATGAACAATTTGTCAATCTCGAGCTCAGGCCGGGAAGGGTCGCCAACTCCGTCATCGATGCTGAGCCTCCTCTGATTGGTGATGACTGCAACGGCCGTAGCGCGGAGTTAATAGGCTTTTGATCTGGTTTGGGATGATGAGGTTTCCGCAATGAGGCTTGAGTGTGGGTTCCATGCCTACGTGTACATTCTTGATGAGACTAGTCTGGAGTAGATCCAGACCTGGGAATGATGGTTAGAGCCAATTGAGGGAGTTTGAACAAGAGGCATGTCTCACGATTGTGATTCCAGTGCTACGAGTGAACGACTTGTTGACAAGGCTACCGATTTGAGATGCTGTCTTACAGTATGCATGGCAATGACAAGCAGGGAGGTTGCTGCTAGATATTCCATCCTCCAACATGACGGCGCTGGGCCGCTAAATATGTACAAGAAGTCTTCAAAGTGGTATCCTCCAAGATGTAGCGAACGAGATCCAGAACTATCGTAAATCATACCCAGCCTAGCCAGACTTTAAGATTGAAGCCATTGACTACTCCATTTTTTTCGGAAGAGACAGAAACAAGCAAGAAACAATGATTGAGATAAGAAGTCCATGTGCATGGTTGTCTATCCACGAGCGCAGGACAAAGTGCCGAACTTGTTGCTGATTGGGGTCTTGTCTGTAGGGTGATGTCAGCGACCATGCCCAGCCGGGGTCTAATGCATGCAAGAGAATGAGGCTCGCAACAGCGCCAAGCCAGAACGTCACTTACCCAGGTTGATGGCACTCTCCGTGGGACTGCCGTTGCAGGTGCAGTTCATCCAAACCCTGAAGACGCCGAAAATCTCATAGATGGGGTCGGGCAGACGGTATGAGAAGCAGTCCTTGCAGACGTCGCCAAAGTGGCCCTGGTTCGCGTACTATGACGGAATGGTCAGCAAAACAAGGATCCGGGATGTGGGCGACTGCAACCCGCGATCATGCACCTCCAAGACCACAAGAGCATTCCAGCCTCGGATATTCCGTACGTACCTGGATCTGGTTGTTTTGGAACCCAAAGCAGTCGTTCAGGTTGAGCGAGGTGTCCAGGAGGGTGCCCTTTCCGTCGCCAGTATCGCACTTGGCTGTCAGAACGTCGGTGTTGGCGTCGATGTGCTCATCTCTGCACGTCTTGCCGAACTCAGTGGCAATAGCCGAGGTCGCGAAAAGAGCAAGAACTGCGGAGACCTTCATGGTGAAATTTGGGAAATGATGACAAAAGTGTTCTGTCTGATTGATCTCAAGATTTGATGGCTGAGGATGATGTCGGAATACTCTTCATTCTTTCGGCTGGGAATAGCCTCTTTAATAGATTCAGATTCATCGGGAGAGCCCGCATTCCGCCCGGGTGCAAAAAGCTCCCGTGGTATGTTGACGGATAGCAGCATGCCAGTTTAAACCACTTCAGGTGCCGGTGTTGCCGCCAGATTCCTCAAACGGAGATTTAGACGATATAAACTGACCAACCAGTGCTCAAGATGGCAGGTGCGGAGGATCGACGTCCATCGATTAATGTCCGTCAACACCAATCAGGGAGGTGCAGCAGGTCATGGTCACAGAAAGTTCCACGGGCATTTACTCGGACCATTTTTTCTTCGACTGCTCAAAAAGGCTTTCGCCGAGGGTTTCTTTTTTTCCCCTGCGTCCACAGTTTGCCAAACATTTTGAAATCAGCTGTTATCGGCAGGGCAAACATCACGATTTGCTTACAGATTGGGTTGCAGCCGATGTCACCCTATATGTCGGTATACCATGCAGGGCTCTAAGACAGTGGACACCGACCCCTCGTTGTCAGCGGGATCTAGACCACAAATACCGCAATGTGATCCGTACCAACATGCGGTGTGCTGCATGGTTGTGGGATCATAGGTGCGTGACCAGCCTTGATTCACCATGGCGGCTGCAGGTCTCTGCAGTTTTGTGCAGATTTTAACATGCAGCTGACTTCCTTTGGAGAAGCATAGAAGACAACCTTACCTCTACGTCAAGCCATTAAGAAGAGGGGATCTTTCTGCAACTGGAAAATCTCCGATTCCATAGCCATCGGGAGGTGGGTTGCTGTCAAGGTCGGACAGCCGTCATTGGAGTCAGTGATCCGGTATTCGGAGAAAAGTGGCGGAAGAGCTTCGAAAATTTCTACCTTGTTCCAACTGCAAACTTGATTGTAGTGGCTAATCAATTGCGGAGGCCTCCCTCAACTTTTGAGGCCCCTTACTTCAGTTGCCTCTAACCTGAATAAAGATATTTGGCTGCGTAGCTAGCAAGTGGATCATCCCGCGCGGGGGACGTACTTTCTTCTTTGTCTTGTTGCTTTTCCGAGTAGCAAAAAGTGCAGGGAAATTAGCCGGAAATGAGAGGCATAGATGAATGTCAGCAATTAGGAATTCAACATGCAACCTACCCCTTGCAGATGTCAGGCAGATGTCAAATGCGAACTGGCAGCTCTGAACACGGGTCGTGGGGTCGCCAACCTCCACTCATCGTGAAGCATTGATGTAAGTCACTTCCCAGTTGCCTTCTCACGTATTTTGGGATTGACTGAAGACACGTACAAACTAGAACTTGTATGCTCTCTGAAGCCACCAAAACTAAGATTGAAGAATGGCGACTCTTCTCAAGGGCAAATCCGCCTTCTTCCTATAATGAAGAGACTGGCCTCGATTTGAGAAAGGGTAAAGCATACTGTCTGGGTAGTTGAAAACAGGCTCCCCGGCAGGCGCGCAAGGATCTATGCTGACAGGGTTGAAAAATATTCTCAAACACTATTTCCAATTAAGCATGCATCTAACTGACATTTCGAGAGATCTTTGACCTTGAACATAGCTGGGCGGGTTCTGCAACCATTGAGAAGGGTTGATGCGTTCCATACGTTACGACAGTGAGTAGCATTGCACAGAGAAAAAGGGCCAGGTATGAGTATCAACTCAGCTGCCCATCGTCAGGTCAATAGGTTCCATGTTCGGGCCAGTTGTGGGCGGCTTCACCTTAGGCTGGCGATGTGCGGCTAGGTAGTATTGCTCAACACACAGACCGCAATTACTCTCAAAAGGCCAGAAGCGGCCAGAGAGTGTCGTCAACAATGGCTACTTAAGAGGCTCCGCGGACTCCGATGATGGATCTTCGAAACAATTCAGTCTCCAAGTTCTTTGTAACGGCAACAGGGATGTAGGAGATGCAGTAGATGAAACGCCACGAACGGTAGTATTGGATCCATGGCCGTGCACTGTCACGGACGTGCGCTGTCGAAGAGGACCCAAGATGGGGGAACGCGAATCCTTGCCAGTGACCTACTATGTAGTCAGCCAATGGAGATATATCAATGATTCAAAGCAGTAATTTTGAACTACCTGTCTATGCCAGGGCACTAGAGAGCACTTGTTGTTGAGCATAAGTAACCATGATCATATCCGGACATGCGTCAATCCAGTCACGGTGAGGTTTACGGCGGTGTTGAAGATTGCTTACGAAAGTGACATTCAATGGCCGAACTTGTAGAATTTAGGAAGCACTGTTTCTTGAGAAGGCAACGTTGCAAAACGTTCGTGATGGGCCCATGGATTGAAACTATCCCCCGTATTGAGTTGCTCATTTTGCACCCGGAGAGAGTGCAGCGCAGAGGATAATGTGCCGTGAAAGACTATATAGCGGTGAACCACAGGACGTTGGGGCCTCAGTACATGTTGAGAATTGATTTCGGTCGAGATGTCACAGCACCGAATTTACAAATTCGTCTTGGCTGTCATCGGGACGACCTGTCATACCGACAGTCAGCTGAGACCCACTCTTAAGTCCGGCCCAAGGATATGAAATAGAGTTGCTCGGCGTTACAGGTGGGGTCTAGCCATGGAAATTGGCGTCGCCGACCGATGTTCATCAGATGTCAGCAGGGAGTTCTCTGCCACGTCCGTCAGATATGATTGTGATCCATCGTCCCTCATTCATCATTCCACTTCCTGCAGAGGCCAGCTTATCTTTCATCCGCCCATCGTGTTGCGTTTCAATCGTCATCTGTCATTATGTCCGACCTTCCGGCCGCAGGCAGGACTAGGTCCTTCCGGCGACGGCGGGAACGGTCCAAGCTGGTCTGTCATCAATGTCATCGCCGAAAGCTGAAGTGTAATAAAGGACAGCCTTGTGATCGGTGTTCCAAGACTGATCCTCCCTTGAGATGCACCTATGACCACTCAGCAACTGAGAGTGACGAGAGGCACCCTCCACAAGAGGCTCAAGCGGCACGGTCCGATAACCGAGATCGAGTCGCACCTAGCGACGAGCCAGTGTCAATCGAAGGACACGAAGATGTTGGTCTTGAATCCCCACACATATCACCGGCAGCCTGTGGAGTTTCAGCCAATTCGGAGACAAGCGTGGGGCAGAGAGAAAGGGGGCAAAATCATCCCGAGATCACGTTGTTGACGCCCCAAGAAACTGTCATTGGCCAGAGTTTGGAATCCCCCCCAATCCCAAGAAAGGTTTCCCGAAACCCTTTAAAGAGAAGTTGGTACGGAAGAAGTAGCGTTCACGGTCTTCTTGAAAAGGTAGGTTTGCCTCCCAACTTTCATCAACTTTCTCGGTATTATTAGTCTGACATTGACCGTGCAGTTGGACCACATCATAATACCCCTTAGTCAAGCTGGCTTCATCAAACCCGATGGCAAATTCACTTCTTACAGTGATCTGAAAGACCAACTATTCCAACGCCGCTTTTTGGTTTCGGGAGATTCCGAGGAAGCTCAGCGATCCATCTTCGAGGAAATTCCCGACAGAGAAATTGCCATCAAGCTAGTCGACAGATACTTTGAGACATACGGCTCCATCTTTCGATTTTTCAGTCAGTCTAGTTTTCGGGCTGGGACTGAGAAACATTGGGAATCACCAGAGAGCGTGTCCTTGACTTTCTGCATCCACCTACTGCTGGTAATTGCCATCGGCAACGCATCGATCCAGCCGACGGAAGACCGAATTCCTCTCACCAGGATTACCACGTGGTGGCATCTCATTCAAGCATGGCAAAGCGTTGCGCTTCGGTCTGATCCCCGCGATATAACGACATTAAAGTCCTCCTGCCTCATTAGTCTAATGCGGCAATGCTACGGTCTAGAGGTGCTTGCGAGTTGGCCCTCATCCGGGGCATTGGTGCGCAATGCTATGATGGCAGGTCTGCATCGAGATCCTTCTTCTACGGGCCACCAACTGGATCCGGAGGAGCTATTGATGCATCAAAATCTATGGTATACCATTCTCGAGCTTGATTTGCAAAGCTCTATGGATGAAGGAATGCAGCCAACGTTGACTCCAGACGATTGGGATATGCCATTACCGACGATGGTGTCCGACCATTTGGACCCTACAGAAGGTTCTCAGGTCATCTCAGCTGTTTTGGTGCTGATATCCACTCTACCAGTCAGACTTCAGATTGCACATTTTCTCAATAACATAAAAGGCTCAGTCGACTACAATGAAGCATTCATCTTGCATGAACAGCTAAGCCCCGCAGCACAGCTCCTGCTATCATCGGATTCAGCCCATCATTCTAACTCGACAGCGTTTACTCATGGATTGCCCGCCACTTTGTGCGCCAGATCACTGTTGGCTCTTCATATCCCTTTTGGATCGCTCAGAAGTCCATTATACACCTTCTCCCACAATATTTCCATGTCTACCGCAATGTCCCTAATGGAAAGGCTCGACCCTCCCCAAGACAAGACCGGTTGGCCGGAGAATGACGCGCTAGTAACTTTAATGCGCACTTCGAGCTCCATCTTCCAGACAATTGCCTTTCAAGCAATCCTCTTCATTTGCATCCAGATGGAAAGCTATTTCGCGGATCCCCAATCATGGACACTTGTACCTGAGCTCAAGGAGAGGTTCGCCAAGATCCTTGGACGCTTCATTTACATCGCTGAACAAAGGCTTCCGACACAGGATTTCGTTGGCAAGGCTTACATGATACCAGCCATGGTCCTGGCACATATGCGGCTCGCGAATTCGGGGATGAGCAGAGAAGACATGGCAGCAAACGACGCGATCATTGCTGAGGAAGTAACGACAACATGCTTCAGCATATTCCGCAACAGACCAGATTTGCCCTCTGAATAGGCGCCTCCGTTGGGTTGTTGTTTCATGCCCTTACTTGCGCACGAAGCCTAACTGCCAACGGGCATATGTCGAGCGTGGTCCACCGCAGTCTCAGTCGGCTCGGCTCGGAGGTACCCGGCTTTCGCAGACAAATTGACCTTTCTCTCCTCTTAAACCACCAACTTTTCTCCTGAACGCAAAGCGTTCAACTTTGCCGTCGGTTGGCGCGCGCATACAATTTGATCAGTGAGATATCTTCTGTCAGCCATGACAAACCTAGCCGATGCTGTGACATCCACACCGCTTCGGGTTTGAAATGCCGGACCGTACCCGGATCACAGCTCGGCGATGTCGGAGACCCGCTTGAAATTCGGACACCGCGTTACGCGGCCTCCAGACGAGTCAGTTTCGGTCTCAATCTTGATGGTTTTCCGACTGAGATCTTATCAATCTAATCATGTGGGAGCAGCATGACGGCATGTGATCCTGGCTATAATGCCATTCAAGCGGGACCCTGAAAACTGCACCTCCTGCCGAATTTTCTAAGCTTTTCCGCGTTTCTTTTTCTTCACACTACTCGCAGATCTGGAGTGCATCACGCAGCAGAAAAGCACGCCGTCTTACCGCCCAACCATGGCTGCACTCCGCCCCCTCCGAAGGATGCTGCAGGATACCTTCTGCTGCCCACTCCCTTTTGGTGACTCAGAAGTGATATTCACGCCCCCACGTTACATCGCTGTTGATGCGCCGTCCAGCGTCTCCGCGAGTGACCTGCTGGAGGTGATGCAGACTCGACGATCGCACTACCAGCTATCTAGAAAAGTCCCCTTATCAACCACCCGCATCGACAAAATCGTTCAAGAAGCACTCGCCGAGGTACCATCCGCCTTCAATTCCCAATCGAACCGAGTTATTGTGCTTCACGGTCAGCAGCATGACAGGCTGTGGGACATCATTACCAAGATCCTCCGAGCCAAGGTGCCGGATGAAAAGTGGGAACACACGAGCGAAAAGATGAAGAACTTCAAGAAAGCCGCAGGCACTATCTTGTTCTTCGAGGATCAACAGATTGTCGAAGACTTGCAGGAGAAGTACCCTACCTATGCCACTGAGGTCCCTCTATGGGCCGCACAGAGCGATGGAATGCTGCAGTATGCCGTATGGACTCTCCTGGCGGCGGAAGACATCGGTGCCAATTTACAGCACTACAACCCCATCATTGATGAGGAGGTAGTGAAAGCTTGGGATGTCCCAAAGAAGTGGAAATTGAAAGGCCAACTGGTGTTTGGCGGAATAACTGGAGAGCCTAAGCCAAAGGACTACATGCCGATGGCCGACCGGTTCAGATCCTATGCATGATGCCTTGCTCAATGAGATGCTTTGAGTTTTGTCTAGAAATATTACACGGTCGCAATACACCGACTTTTCCTCCCCAACAGGACCCCACTTGTCATTACATAGCCAACCGACTTGGTCACGACTTCTTTTTTGTCTGTTCTATGCTGACGGTAAATGCATCGGTTCGCATGATCTTGCCGCTAAAATCGTGTTGCCCAAGAATGCTTTCTTGACTTCCCTTCGCCACCGCTGTGGTGGTTGTTGTATCCAGGTCGTCGAAGCTGACTGTATCTTGCTGTCTGGGCATTCGCTTGTGGCCGCGAGATAGCTCGATATTCTCAGATCGCATTTGGCCACTGGGCCCCAAGCCATAGTTCTCGTATGTACGTCGGCCACCACCCGAACTAAACAGTCGCTTGCCGAAGATGAGTTCGCCAAGGGGCTGAAGAATGGGGATGCAAGCAGCAATAATCATGGTCCCGCCTTCGACACTGTTTGCGTCAAGAGTTAGCCGTTGAAGCGTCAAGGAGAGGCTGTGGAATGGCTTACATAGTCCAGATAACCAAGTCTGCGGTTTCGTCTAGGATATACCGGTCAATTCTGCTTATCAAAGCGCAAAGACTACCAAAACTTACATGTAAAGTCTTTGCTTGCAAGACTCGGTACTCGGGTGCACTTGTAAATTGCCACAACTGTCGAGCTACATAATAGTCAATAATGACTCGAGGATTGAAGATGAAAGTTCTGGGATGCCCTACATGGAGCCTATGCCAAGTGCCACACTCAGGGCGATCTTCTTCTTCAAGCTAGCTTCGAAAGCACCACCGCAGGATAAATGGCAAGATACGCGTCGACAAAGGCACCGAAAGCTGTTTGGATCCTAGTCAGTATGTTTGTGTGCTTGCAATATGTCACAGGGTACTCACATCCTGTGTAAATGGCGAACGAAACCAGAATCCACTTGTCCAAACACGTACTAGGGACATCGAAATCCCATTGCGAACGCGGAGGCTGACAATGGGTGAAGAGAAGTACCATGTTTGCCGTCAAGTTCAGCAAGCAGAATAGGGACAGGCCCCAAAGAAACCTTTTGTGCCATGCGCTTGGGTTCAGAATGCGGGTAAGCAATGCGACAACAGCTAACTTTGGCAGGCCGAAGGACATGACACCAGCTGTAAAACCGACGATAGTCCAGAAAATTGCTTTCTGTTGCTGGTCTCGGGTGAGAGTATCGAAGTGCAAGCCCATTCCGTATGCGACGGCGACGATCGCCGTCGCAACGCTCACCCAACTGCAGATCTGCAATGCGAGCCCCATAGAAAAGTTAGTCGATCAAGCCCTCCGCAATTGACCAGGGCGTCAGATCTCAGATTTGCTTGGGCTGACTTACAACTGACGCGATGATTAAGTAGTCATCCAGATGAACCTTGCCCAGAATCTTGCCCCGGACAAACAGCCTTGCGCCAGTGAAAACCGTGCTGAGAACAGTGACAGTAATGATGGCCACAAGAGACTCCGGCCCCTTGTTCTCGGCTCTCCATGCGTCCGACATTGTTATTGGGTGAAATCTTGTCGAGAGAAGTTGCTATCGAAGCAAAGCATCTCGGGAAAGCTGAATGGCAACGCAAGGAGAAGAGGACAGCGACAGCTGCCCAGACGATGCTGGATGAAAAGAGTTTTTAACAGCAGAGCACATTAACGCAGGACAGCAGGAAAAAGAAAGGTGTGCGAAAACTAGTCCAGAATCTGGAAATGCTACACTGGGCCGCCAGGCCGAGATTCAAGATCTTACGATTTCCAGGTTCTTGACCCTTGCAGCAAGAAGCGAGCCCCTTCCGACTGAGGCACGAGTCGCGAAATTATGGAATCTCTTGCTGATGCAGCCATAAAAATTGGTAGGTAAGGTAGCAAACAATGAAGTTTCAAGAGTTAAGCATCCCATCTTCATGCTAGCATCGAATGCGGAAGGTCGTGCGCTGCTTACCGGGGAGAAACCAACACGAGTCAAACCAACTATGCCTTCTGATTTGTTGATAATGGTTGGAAACAGGTCACCGGCGTCCACCCGAGATTCCGCGCCCCACGTACTATCATGGGTATATCGCAACGGTGGCAACGAAAGAGCCAATATCCGGTTGGTGCTGAGCCTTTTCCATGCAGAAATTGCTGCACGTAGTTGCAATAGGTAAATGAATTCTACCGCTTAAGGATCTTGGCGACGCATCCCGAACGGCCGCTCTCCTCTGAAGGATTGCTTCCCTGCATATCGTTGTGCGTTCCGTCGTATCTCGAACCGGGAACATGGGAAGGCACTGAACAGGTGTGCGCGTATATATCTCCCTCTTATCCGGAGCTGTTTCCATGCAACTCCCTTTGTTTGTTGCCTTGCGACCTTACACATCGTGCATCCTCTCAATCTGCATGTCAAGCTCTCGCTATGGGTTCAATTCCGGAAAGAGCACCTGTTGAGGTGTCTGTTGCAATTCAAGCCAACGATTCCAAAAGCGTCGCGGATCTGTCGAACAGTATTGGCAGTCTTGGAGCCGCCTACTCTCCCGAAGATAACGATGGACGTCTCAGGCTGTTGGAGCAGGCTCGTTCGCTGGTAACGGCTCTTGAAACTCCACGAGAAACAATGATTAGGCATCTATGGGCACAGGTACGCAGCCTTGTTATACTGAACATTGGACTAAACTGATTGCCTCAGCCAGCGGCTAGCTTTTCAATTGCAGCTGGAGTGAAATCCGGGTTGTGGAAATTCATGGCCAATAACCCAGGCCCAAAAACGATTGCGGAACTGTCCAATGCGTTGAACTTCGACGTCGACGTGCTCTCACGGTTGCTGCGACATCTCGCAGCAATGGGATACCTGAGAGAGGTAGGACCTGATGAATATGAAGCCATCAACTTCACGAAAGCTCTCAGCCTGTCCATCATTTCTGATGGATATTCCTGCGTGTAGGCATCTTTGATCCGGAATTCGTAACACGATCTGACACTAATTCGCTTGCAGAACCGGTGGCGTATGGCCAACCTTCTGTATTTTCCCCGATTATCTCAAGAGAAACGGCTGGAAGATCTCAGAAGATCCTACAGAGATGGCAGTGAACGATATCATCGGCAAAGACAGCAACTTCTTCGCGCACATTGCAGAGAAATACCCAGACGGAGAGTTCCAGAATTTCATGGCAGGGTACCATCAAGGCCGCCCATCGTGGATGGACCAGGGCTTCTTCCCTGTCACCGAGCGCCTGATTCAGGGCGCAGACACGTCGCCTGACGCAGCTTTTCTTGTCGACATTGGCGGTGGTATTGGCCAGGATTTAGACGAGTTCTGTCGGAAACGCCCTGATGCGCCCGGTCGACACATCCTCCAAGATCTTCCGCACGTCATTTCGCAGGTCAAGGACGTTGACCCCAAGATAGAGACGATGCCGTACAACTTCCACCACGAGCAGCCTGTCAGAGGGGCCAGAGCGTACTATCTGCATTCAGTTTTGCATGACTGGGGAGAAGATGTCTGCAAGGAGATCCTGAATCGCGTCACTGCTGCAATGAAGCCAGGTTACAGCAAGCTTCTGATCAATGAGCACGTCATTCCCCCAACAGGTGCTAATTGGCAAGAGACTGCAGTAGACATGGTGATGATGACCATGTTTTCCTCGAGAGAACGGACGGAGGGACAGTGGCGGAGTCTCTTGGAGCCTGCAGGGCTTCGAATCGTTAAAATCTGGTCGAAAGGAGAGGGAGTAGAGAGTCTAATCGAGTGCGACCTGGACTGAATTGAAGATCTTGGCGGGAAACGGGCCGTTGCACGGCAGGAACCCGGGGCGATCAAGCCGATTACGCGGAGAATGTTGCGATTTTGATGAAGAGCAAGCATGTCGTTCCACAATATTACGACTCATCAGGATGGTAATTGGTCTGTTGGTTCTTCACCATGACTTTGTACCAACACAGGCGATAAAACTGTGGGGTGTTCAGTTTGCAAACCTGGCTCCTCGAACCATGAAAGCCTCGGTCTCGCTCGCGTGATCCGCAGGAAGCTCCAATGCGGGCTACTGCGGGCTCTTTCCGGTGCCCTTTCGGGCGATGGTACAGACATTCCTGCTAGAGTTAGGTTCCCCACATCAGGCTGGCTCCGACGAACGCCGAGCGAAGCCGTTGGCTTGTCAAGTTGCAACTGATGATACCAAAAGCCCTGTCAGCTATATCACGGCAATAGAATCTCATCAGTGAAGGGCCGTGTCGACATGATGCCCATGGCGAGTGCTTCTTCGTCTTTTTACGACGCCGGTGACTCGACCATTTAGACTTGTTACTGGCGACGAAAACGCAGTGCTGTAGAGACTTTCAAAATGGTTGTTCAAAGGTCATTTACTCTAATTGCTCACTACATACGCTTCTAGGTTTTTTGACCTGCAATCGCGGCCTGCCCTAGTTCAACAATGGATCAAGTCATTATTTATTCAAACATATACTCTATTCATTCCGTTGTAACGATTGGGGAGAATCCTGAAGCTGACAGACGGCTGGTCGCCGACTGACCATTGGACTGGTTAACCCCAACCGCAGTCTCGGCCCGGCCCACGGCGATCGGATGGACAGACGGCCCCACTCAGACACTCTTGTACGGCACCGAATTGTGCCCGCTTACGCCGCCTAATGGATAGCTCGGCCGAGCCGGAGGCGGCCCATCTTATCCATTCCTGCGGCCTTTCCGGCATGAAGAGTGGGGCCCATAATCCCGGCGCTTGGGACAATCGGGCAAACTTACTCTGTTCGATGTCCGACCTTCCGCGCTGCCGTGTGCCCCAATTTTGCTGAAGAATTTTCTGTGGAAACGAAGTCCGCCTCCGCCGTCAGAACCACGTGTACGAATGAACGTTGTGCGGAACGTAATTAGGGGCTTCGAAGTGGCCGAAAGATGTCCGGGGTCCACCTTGTAAGGGTGGATGCTCTTTTGATGCAATCTTCAGGGGCCCTCATTCTTCAACCAACCATCTTCCTGGGCCACGAAAAGAAATCTCCATGACCCCCGTTCGCGGGCCGTTTGACATCTCCGTTGCGTGCAAGACGCCACCCAAAAACCGTAACGGAATTGCTCGACATTGCCTCTTCTAGACACCAGAGAACACGACGTTACATTCAGTTTGTCACCGCGAATAGGGGCCGTTTTCGTTCCTCGATAATCAGCACACCCCCGCGCTTCTTCAGTGGAAGAGAGCACCAACACCCAACCTCAGCCCATCCTGGGCATGCGATAGCTATGCCGGCAAATCAAAGACTCTGTAATCCTTCCGCGGCCGCTGCGCCTGCGCGTCTTGTTGATCCCTCATGCCACGAGCCCTTGTCTCGACGTTGCAAAACCTCGGCCCTGTGGCTTTATCGGGCGTAGAGCCAATGCAGCATATGTGGAGCTGGCACTTGGCCATCGTGACCCCCGGACTCTCCACAAGCAGCCTGATGCAAGGTGACCGTTGAGAAAATGATATTGCCCTCTCTTCTTCGCAACTTTTGAAATCATGTTTCAACATCCTTCCTTCATTCTTGTCGGTAATCGTCAACGATGTCGACTATCGAGACTGGACCGTCGTCCGTCGACGTTTCGGCGTCGTACCTGAGCGCGCGCAGCGTGCTTGGTCTCCTCGGCCTCTGGCTGGTGTACCAGTTCTTCAAGGCCCTTTACAACATATCGCCGCTGCACCCGTTGAGCGGCATTCCCGGCCCGAAGTTGTCTGCTGCGACGTACATCCCTGAGTTCTACCATGATGTTATCAGGTTCGGCAGATACACGAGAGAAATCCACCGCATGCACGAGCAGTATGGTGAGTTCAACCATATTATTGCTGAAGACTTTTGACAAGTTTCTAACCATCATCAGGACCCATCGTCCGCATCAGCCCTCATGAGGTTCACTGCAACGACGCCAACTTCTCCGACGAGATCTACGCTGTGAGCGGTCGCAAGCGCGACAAGCCAGTTCACCAGATCAACGGCTCGGCGTAAGCAACTCCTGCAGCCCCAGCCAATCAAGCGCAACTATGCTAATTACTCTGTACAACTCCAGCCTGGGCGAGTCTGGATTCGGAACTGTTGATCACGACCAGCACCGTCTGCGACGTGGCCCTCTCGCCAAGTTCTTTTCGCGCGGCAACATTGCCCGATTGGAGGCGGACTTGCATGCGATGGTCCAGAGGCTTTGCGACAAGCTGCTGAACGAGTCGGGCAAGAAGGAGTTTGATGTAACAATGGCTTACAGCTGCTTCACGTCCGATGCCATTTCGGGCTACTGTTTCGGCGAGAGCTTCGGCTTCCTGCAGCAGGAGGGGTGGTATCCCAACTTCCGCGCCCCGACCGCCTCAATTCTGCGACCCGTCTTTGTCTTCCGCTTCTTTCCCTGGACCAAGTCTCTTACCGTGCTTGGAGAGTGGTAAGTCAATTTGGACGAGGTGGAGGCAAGGGAACAGCAACGGCGCTAACACCGCACAAGGCTCATCAACTACTTACCCGCGGATATCGCCCTGCTCATCCAGACGTTGAAGATCGATATCCCGAACAGGGTCAAGAAGACCAAGAAGGAACTCGATGCCGGCATCCGACATGAGCGCCCCACAGTCTTCGGTTCCCTTTTGGAGTCGGAACTCTCCATGCTCGAAAAGGAGCCCGAGCGATTGGGCGACGAAGCCACGGCCGTTGTCGGCGCCGGTACCGAGACCACCAGCTGGGCCCTGTCCGTCATGACTTATCACCTCTTGACTAAGCCCGAACTCCTCGCGAAGCTCCGCAAGGAACTCGACGGGGTTGTCACTGATCCTCAGCACCTCCCATCCTGGACGTCTCTGGAGACCCTTCCCTACCTCGGTGCGGTCATCCAGGAGGGTCTTCGTCTGTCTTACGGTGTCTCTGCGCGCACTGCTCGCATCCCCACTCAGGAGAACCTGGTCTACCGCGGCGAGTTCAACAAGAAGCCCGTCGAGTATGTCATCCCCCGCGGCTTCGCCATTGGCATGTCCGCCGCCATCACCCATCACGAGGAGGGTGTCTTCCCCGATTCCTACCAGTTCATCCCCGAGCGTTGGCTGGATGAGAAGAACAACCGCAGAAAGGACGTCGAGAAGGGCATGCTCGCTTTCTCCAAGGGCAGCAGATCTTGTTTGGGAATGAAGTGAGTGATTACTACCCGAAAGTCCGTATGAGAGAGACTCGCTGACATGACACCTTTTAGCTTGGCTTTGTGTGAGATGAACCTGTGTTTGACTGCCCTTGTACTGCGCGTCCTGCCTCGTATGCAACTTTTCGACACCGAGGACGAAGATGTCGCATACGATCACGACATGTTCGTGCCGGAGCCAGCCAAGGGTACCACGGGAGTCAGAGTGAAAGTTGTTTAGCACAACATTGTAACTATTTAATCAATGGTGTTCGAGTGGGAGCAGGTAGGCCAAGAGGCATTCCAACTCAAGATGTTTCTGATTTGCTCGACGATTGTAGAAGTTTGTGGAGTGTGACCTGTTTCTTGCCATATTCAGGCGAATTGAGGACATTCTTCACGAACTTCTACAATCGCGGAGTGAACTAAACCATCTAAGCTGGGATTCCCGAGCACCTGCTTCTCCGGTCCTGTTAGCTCGTTTCCTAGCTCAGAAACTTAATTCAAAATATTCCAAAGAGCCTCCAAAGTGGATATCTTCTCGTCTCGCTTGGAATTATGACGGATATGATCCCAGTGGATTATCCCAAGTAATCCAACCCGTTCGTCCCTTTCCGGCTCGAGTACGACCCAGACAGCGTCGCAACAGCCTCATCAGGACGAATTCGGCTCGTCTTATTCTCGTACGAGATCACGATGCGGAGTACGGTAGCCTTGCTCCTACGCAAGAAAGACTTTTTGTCCCGACGATCCTAATTGTGGCTCCTCACACGGCTCGTTGGGATCTGCGTGTTTCAAACCCCAAAGTCGACATGGCCCGAATGGATTCAACCTCCTGCTAGCGCGGAATCGCCATGCGTCTTCCTGGCTGCCGCGATTGGGCGGCCGTCAGACGCATTCCCTGCGTCGTTCGACCAACTTCGGCCGCTGAAGATGTCTTCTGCCTAGTGTGGTGGAGTTGACCTCGTAGACCTGCAAGGGACCCCTGGGCTCGAGCTAGCGTGCCGAGCAAGTGCGGCCGACTTCCTGGTCAACGAAACTCCGCTTCTCGGCTTCCGGCGTCTTCATTGGCTTCGGGAAAGTGGGCATCGCAGAACGGATCCAGAACGTCTGTCTGCTATTCCAGACCATCCGGACCGGTCAAGCCCCTCTCTTGGCCACTGGACTGGGCTGTTCAAGGCAGAGTCTTTGATGGAATACGGACCCTGTTGGTAATTCTCCATTGACAGCCTCTGACAGGCTTGACAGTCCCAACAGCCAATGTCTGGGGTTACATCCATGAAACCTATCCCTGGTTCTGATCTTTTCTGGCACCAAGCGGCACGCCGCGTGCAACGGCGCCGTTTCCCCTGCAGATTAGATCTGCCGCACTCGCAGCCCCCAATTTGATATTCGCGGCTTAAAAGTAGACGGGACGCCTCTTTCCAGAAGTCTGGCCAGGTATTTCCTCGTGGCGTGACGGTGTGCTCACGGAAGGACTGATCAACACGAGCCGACAACATGTGGTCAACGACACTCGACCCCGATTTGCGAATGCTCCCGCCAACGGGCCTCCCGCTCGCCATCATCATCATATCATGCGTCTTCCTCGTCTTCTCGGTAATCTGCGTCGGGCTACGTACCCGCATCCGCCTTGTCGAACGCACCTTTGGACTTGACGATGGCCTCATGGCGGCAGGAACGGTATGGGATATCTCAAAAGAAGCACGGAGAGAGTCAGAAGAGTGAAGGCTTACGATGGTTGATAGGTTGTTTACGTGGCGGTTGTTGGACTTGCTGTCTACGGTTGCTTCGTTGGACTCGGGACTCTCGAGGAGAACTTGAACGCATGGCTGTGGGCGGAGGGCCTCAAGATCTACGTTGTCTGGATTCTCGTCTACGTTGGCGCCCTTGCGCTCGTCAAGTCTTCCGTCTGCCTCACGATTCAACGCATTGTCACGACGGATCGAGCTCTTACCATCACGATTTGGGTTCTTTTGGGCCTCACGTGGGCGTCTTTCTTCATCACGTTCATCGGAACCCTTCTCTACTGCCGCCCTGTCGAAGCCCTATGGACTCCAACAATGATTATCTCCGGCGAGGGAACCTGCGCTGATGTCGACGTTCTCATCGCCATCGGGCATGTGGCCACCTCTTCCGCAATCGTCACGGATCTTGCTCTTGTCGTCGTTCCCGCTGTCATTCTGTGGGGAACGCAGATGAAGACGCAGACCAAACTGCAAGTCTTTGGACTGCTGTCCTTCGCTTCTGTGTAAGTGCTCCCTCCGATCCCATCTTGCATGGCATGACACCTAACTTGGTTTCAGGGCGTCGATCATCACGATGGTCCGCATTCCTTACGTCAACCACTTCAAGGCCCAGACAAACCTCCAGTGTAGGTTTTCATCCACGATACCCATTCCCTTCATCAAGCTGACACGAGCCAGTCTGGGTCGCCCACACAGTCCTCTGCTCCAACGTCGAGACAGGCATCGGCTGCATCGCCTCCTCGGTCCCCTCTCTGCGCCGCTTCATCGCACGCACACGCGGCACGACCGCCGAAGATTCCGCACCCAGCAAAAGCAACGGAACGGGTGGGCTGTTCACGTTTGGCAGCAAGCCTGTCGAGAGGAGCCGCGACCCGTACCGCAACCCAACAGATGTGGGCTTCAGTCTCGCCACTGTGCATGGGAGGGGCGATGACAGCTGGGAACGCCTCCAGGATGGCGATTCCGACAAAGGAGACCTGCTGCCGAACAACCAAAAGGGCGGCGGTATCCACAAGCAGTTCACGTACACGGTCGATATCGAGACGGACTCCAGTCTGAAGACTGGCCGGTCTGGATCGAGCCGGTAGGGAACCGATGTCGAGCCGGTGTCTGTTCGCGCTCAGATTAGAGCACTAATGTATAAAATCTTGTACAATATCCATGAGTGATGCGACGTTTCTCCATGCCTGTGTGCGCGTTTTCCAGGCGTGCCAGGATGAAATTAATCAAAATAAGGCATTGACCACACGACATAAAAAAGAGAGGCCTCTCGGTGGCCAATTAGGTGGCGAGATTGTTACGTATTAGTATCTTGTGGGCTTTTTTGACAACCACCTCCACATGGCCAGGGGGGCAGAAGAGGCAGAAAATCCATCATTCCGCTCTCCGCGGCCGATGGATCTCTCTTCAACACGTGTGAGACCTTGTCCTGGCCCCTGGCGCTTTGACATTTCCAGCCGTGTAGAACACCGCCCCAGTGCCATCGGGAATGTGGGCTGTGAGACCGATCGTGACTTGACTCGTATTTGGCCCAAATCCACACAGAATTATCGAATAGAGTCGCGGCGAGTTGTCCGAGAGGCTCGTCATCGTCGCCATCGTTGCCCATTGTCAGTGCGAACAGTGCAGATCCGATAGCCGACCCAAGACTTTCGCACTGGAGTCACGAGTCCTGGTCCAGGAACAATTTGGAGTTTATTCATTGCGACGTTAGCAAGATTGTGAGAGCCGCAACAATGGGCAAAATATCCCTTTTGGAAATGTCGAGGAGACATTGAATATTCACATGCCACCGGAGAAATTCATGCAGGATGACAGTTTTGACACGAACGAGATAAACTAACGCGAGTATGAAATTGCCAACCGTCTGGAAATAAACCCTTCAAAACTTGGCGGGTTAGACGAGGCCTTCATCTCCCGTAAACCCTAGGCGAACCAATATTGACGGCTGTGATGACGGCAACGTGCATCGCCCCTTCCCGCTTACGGTAAGTCTTTTCCCCTGAGGGCGGGGAAGCCAACATGCGGCAAAGACTCTTCCGCAGAATTCACTAAGGAGAAAAAGGGTAGTGAGAGGCGGCATGGGTATTTATAAAAATCCTCAAATGTCGGTTCACCACGCTACCGAAACTCAACGTTGACCCGACATATTCTCCGAAAATCCTCAGCGGTGTGAATGTTTACAGTTTGCGATCCAAATGAAATGTTTCTTGGCGGAACTCTGCGACGGCGAATTGACTTGTTTTCGGCCCCCACGTGAAGCCGGGCCAAGTCGACCGTTCAGTCAACGTGTGTGAATGCCGCCGAACCAATGGCGGGTGCTGGACGGCAGGAACAGTAAGTCTAACCCCGTTGGTCGAAAAATATGCGCGACAGAGAACGAATGTGACAATCTCCGCGTGAATGAGCAGAGGCCGGCAGGAATCCAAATGCAACTTCCCCTCACTTCATGTTGTGAACTGATGTCACAAAAAGAATGCTCTGATGAAGAGACATATAAATACAATAGAAAAAAGAGTCAAAGTAAGGATTATGGCGCTGAAGCCAGCCAGGCCCTCTTGAACTTGATCCGCGACAGGCCCGGATTCATGATGAAGCCTGCCTCAGCCGCTGCGGTGCTCCTCGGAGCTATCGGCGCATGCGCCCAATCATCCAACCTCTTCATTCGGTTGATGACGTACAACATCCGCTGGGCAACGCCTACTCCGGGTACCAATGAAGCACTTTGGTCCGTCCGTCGGCCACGTCTCACGGCGCAGCTCAACTACGAAACCGCCGGACGGCCCGAGTCACTCGTCTGCATGCAGGAGGTGGTTGAAGAACAACTGCTGGGCATTGCCGAAGACCTCGGCTCCTCGTGGTCCCACATCGGCGTCAGCCGCGATGACGGCGTTGCGGCGGGGGAGTTCTCTCCGATCTTCTATCAGCCGGGAGCTTGGGACCTTGTGGAGAACCGCACATATTGGTTGAGTGAGACTCCGGATGTCGCCGGCTCTGTGGGATGGGACGCGGCTCTCCCGCGAATTGTTACGGTCGCCTCATTTACGCACGTCGGCTCTGGCTTTCCTCTGGTTTTCATGTGCACCCATTTCGACCACGTTGGTCAAACTGCACGCGAAAATAGCGCGGCGCTCCTGGTTGACCTCGCCAAAGAATGGGAGTCTGCGGCTGATGAAGTGACGCCTGTGTTTCTGGGAGGCGACTTGAACATCGAGCCCGACAATCCCGCCTACCAGACATTGATTGCAGAGGGCAACATGCACGACACACTTGACGTGACACCTGAGGCGCATCGAGTTGGATACTCAAAGACTTATACGGGGTTCACGGTTGACGAGTCAGACGACAGCCTCATCGATCACTTATTTGTAAGGGATCCGAATGCGAGAGGGATGGAATTTCTCACACACGCAGTATTGCCGAATAAGTTTGACGATGGGCTGTATATCTCCGATCACCGCCCTGTTGTTACTGATGTCAAGTTTGGGGCTGCATAGTTGAGGTTTCGCAGATAAAAAGTATCAACAAATAAACATGCAATTCAGTCTCTCCAAGTCTTGACTTCATGGGTGTGACTGAGGTTCGTGAACCGTGATCTCCTATCAATCTCACTGCGTCCATGATATGCGAATGAATGACGTCAGTGTCACAAGGTTCCATCCCGTCGGGATATTCGCAACGGGAAGTTCATCCCATCGGTTTGCCCCGACGGCGATACCCGAGAACTTATTCCTACGTTGATGGCCATTGACGGTAAATCTTCGGCTCTTGTCCAGTAGGAAGCATCATGCTGGCATTGAATGCTACTTGACATTCGATTTACGGCAACTTGAAAGTTGGCTATGCATGTTGCCTGCATGAAGTCCACCAAACCGGTGGGATACCAAGTATCTATACCCCGTTCAATCTATCTGACTCAATATTGCCCAAGACCTTTCCAACCAGCTTGCTTTCTGCGGCTGCAACTCTCTAAAATCGTATGAGGCGGCTCGAAGATCCGGGGAATCGTGAGATCAAATTCGATCAAGTGACAACATCCCACTTACACACCAGGGAACAGCAAGCGGGCTACGAATACATACTGCATTGTCTGTAAATAAATAATCTCAAAGCGCCCTTCATCCAGATCAACTCACAGCTTCGACTATCAACCTCAACCCGATCCCAAAATCTCTTCGTCAATCTTTCATCAAATACCGCAAACATGCAGATCAGCTTCTCTACCATCATCCTGGCCCTCGGCCTTGCTTCAACCGCTGCCGCCTCCCATGCTTGCTTCGTCAACGAGCACGCTTGCAGCAACTTCTGTCAGGGTTGCACCAACAGCGGAACCGGTAACCTCCCGTACTGCTGCGATTACTAGATGTCGGTGAGTTGCGAAAACGCCCCAATACCAGACGCATCGAGCTCATCAATTTGGCAGCTGTCGGACTGATTATTATTCATTGAAAGGAATCACCCCGTCTTTCTAGATCGCCAGTGAGATGTGGCTGGGTGGTGGCCGGTGAATGGGGCGTCGTCCAAATCGTCAGGGACGCAATTGGTGGGTGTGTACAGGGCCAAGAATGCAGAGGCTCGGATTGATAGCGTCATTCACTCCATCACTCAAGGTGTGGCACGTGGCGTCTTTGGAAATGTCTCATCCTGCCGGCGCAGTGCCGGATGTATTTCACGGTGCGAATGAGTACATAACTTTGCTGCTCCGAACATGTCTACGCTGAATGTCTCCCTCGAAAGTGAAGAGAGTATACTTGCAAAATTCGGAGCGCCGCTTTTGGCAACAAATTGTCCTATTACAGGCTGCTTCGTAAATCTTGAGTAGGTGCAATGCCAACAGGCTCATTTCAACACTCCTTCTGGCACTGCGATGCGTCGACAACGCTCAATACGCCACGGAATGTTACCAGATCGCTGGGTCAAGAAGTTGTGATCGTTCCCGCTAATACGCAGACCATGCACTCTAGCTTGATGCCTCACACTTGATGGCAGCTTACTTACCGCAAACGGCAGTGCCATCGGCAAGCCACATGTTAGTTTGCAGCGGCGGCGAGTCTCGCCGAGCATTGGAATGCCGCCAGTATGGAATTATGATTAGATATGGATTTCCGTCTGTCAACATAAACGCCTTGATCCCCCTTGCGGCAACCCCCTTTCACCCCGCAGCACCGGGCCTGTTACCCGAAAGGAACTTATCGGCACCTGTTGAACACATTGCGATCGATGCGTCCCCATGAATTTCATGTTTTATGACGGCCTCCCGAGCTGTGCCGTAAGTTGACGGTCCCTTGCCCATCGATCACGTGCAAATCTAACAAGGCTTTCTCTTTTCCCAGATATCATGCGCCAATCGGACCATCAGCCTCACCCCCTGCGGTCCCAACAATGTCACATCTTCGTGTCTGTGCCCAGAAGTGGAGTGGCAGCATGCTTTCGGTGGTTGTGTGATGAAGGAGTGTCTTCCTTTTGATGGACTGAGTAAGACCCAACCCTGACATAGTCATCATGTTAAATCCCTCCCGAGAAGCATGCGAAGCTAATGAAGTCAACAGCTGCTCGGAACGTAACCCTCACGCATTGCGGAGTTCCACCACGCCAGACTGCAGAAGCTCTGGGAGCTAGCGCCTTTTTGCTAGCTTTGACTGTGATCGCATTCTCGTTACGAATGCTTGCTAAGGCAATCAGATTGACACCATGTGGAGCTGATGATATTACTATCGTGATCGGATTCGTACGCTGACTGCCACCACCTCATCAACTGTTGCGGCTTTGACTGATGCGAAGATGATCTCACCAGGCAGCAGCAATCATATTCGCTGTTATGAAATTCATTGGTGAGTCTTGACCTAAACAGTGGGAAACGAGAAAGATCAAAAGATTACTCACACATTGAACTAGGGCGCAGATTCGGGTTTGGGCTCGATTTCTGGACACTGAGATACGACACTATTGTCGAATTTATGAAGGTGGGCCTGTGCTAACTCTCCCAGGATATGGGTTGGATCGCATTGATTCATGGGCAACGCTAATTAGTGTCAGATATTCTATGCGTTCGCCAATGTATACACGCTCGCAATAGCCGCTCTCAAAGCAACAATCTTGTTCTTCTATCAGAGAGTCTTTGGCGGGTTCAGCTCGCCGTTCACCACCATATTGTGGTGTACCCAAGCGTTCAATCTTTTAACGTTCATCGGCTTCACGATCCCAACAATAGCACAGTGCCAACCACTTAGTTTCGCATGGGAGGGATGGGATGGACGTCATGAAGGATTCTGCCTCAATATTCTCTCCATGATCGTGACTCACGCAGCTGTCAACATCGGTTTGGACATATGGATGCTTATCCTGCCCTCGACCCAGGTGCTTCGGCTGAACTTGAGATGGCGAGAAAAGGCGGAGATTTTGGCCATGTTTGGCATCGGAATTTTGTGAGTCAGATCGCGCTGTCTTACCGTGAGACTAATACGAGGAATCGCACGGAACCTGTACAACTAACAAGAATCGTGCCACAGCATCACAGCCGTCAGCATCATTCGACTAACTGTATTGTTGAATCTCCGGGATTTCGAAAACCCCACACGTTAGTTACTCCGCACCTCAAACTCAGGAAAGTGAATAACCGAAGTGGACTGACTTGATACCACCGATCAGAGGATGCATTCTACCTTCACATGTGGAGCTACATTGAGATTTCAGTCGGCGTGATAATTGCTAGTCTACCAGCTACGCGGCAGCTGCTACGCCACTGGATCCCAAGATCATTTCGAGCCATAAGGCAAGAGGCACCCAGGAATATGGCGCAAGCACGGCCGGGCGATTCAACGAGGACGCTAAGGAATACACCAATTACGGGCCTCAGCGTGGATCAGGCGAGCCCAACGAGTGTGGAAGGGTTCGCGGCATCAAGTCGTCATGGAGATGATGCAAGGCAAATCATGTCATCCTTATAGAGTAACAGTAAACTTTTGAAGCTCTTGATGGTATGAGAACAGGATGGTTGCGCTGGTCTCTGAAATGTGTTGCATCCCATCTGCACAAGCAGAGACACACAGAGGTCTCGCTTTGGCTGCCAGGGCCCAGGGTGATTGGTACAGTTATTTGACGCTCAACTTATCGCTTGATTGCGTGGAACATGAGTTCCAAATGGTGTCCAGTAGGACCAGCGAGATAAGCATCTTGCAGCGTCATATCGCCGGCATGGTGAATCGTGGTCGTGTAGTTGGTGTAAACGGTACCAATAACGTTCTTCATGGCTGTGACAAATGTGTTAGCAACCTGATGGTGTACAGGAGGCGAGAAGAACTCACAAAACCAGGCAAAATTACTACCAATGCACATGCGACCGCCGCTACCAAAGGCCCAGAACCATCGGCGCATAGTACTGAGCTGTTCCGGCGACGATTCAATCCACCTCTCTGGCTTCCAGACATCTGGCTCGGGGAATACCTTGGGGGTGCGGTGGAGTGACCAGGCATAACACTGAACCGTAGTGCCAGGTGGAATGTCGTTGTGACCGCCAAGCGTACATGACTTGGACACTCTTCGAGGCTGACCGCCCGGAACTGAGGGATACAGTCGGAGGGTCTCCATAATCACGGCCTCAAGGTACGGCAAATTGTCGATGCTCTTGGCCGTTGGGAGAACCAGGTTGTCGAGTCCCTCCTTCGGCGGATAGAACAGAGGAGGATCGAGGATCAAGAGCTCCTCACGTAGCTTGGATTGAATCTCCGGATGCTTCGAAAGCTCGTACATGCAGTAGGTCAGAGTATTTCCACTGGTCTCATGTGCAGCTGAATTGTGAGCAAACATGTCGCTAGCAATTTCGAGACGCTGCGGATAATCGCCAGGTCTTGCCCCCGGATCGCTCATGGCTTGAAGAGCCAGAGCCATAACAACGGGCTTGTTGTCAGGGGACAGTTTTCCCTCGCCTTGGGCCAGAAGCTCTTGTGCTTTGTCGCACTTCTCGAGGTTCCAGCGGAGAATGTCATTGAATCCGCTGTCCACCTTTTTAGGAATCAGTCCGACCGCCTTGAACAGAGAGTTGAGCAGCGGAAACCGATATTGCCAAAAAGTGTAGGGAGCTGCGGCGAAGAATCCGTCGAGGTAAAGACGCCGCTCTTGTTCATCCTCGATGAGGTTGCTGCTGAGAGAGCCACCAAATTGCCATGCCACAAAGGAGTCCATAGAGTAGGAGTATAGGAGCTCCAAAACCTCCAGGGCACCCCCTCCATGAGCAGCATGGTCGATCATTGGTAACAGCCTACCGTATAGAACCTTCTTCATAGAGGCCCTGCTTGACGGGTCTGCAAGGATGAAAGACTTTGAGAAGGTTCCTGAGATGATTCTCTTGCGGGCTGAGTGGGTAGCATTGTCCTCAAATGTGAAAATGTTGTGGGTGCTTGACGCTAACATATTAGCTTCCAATATTCTGATCTGAACATGTCTGATGGCTTGCCTTACTTGTAGTTCGCAAAACCTCTGAAATAGTACTCTGTTTTCGGGAATCCACCTAAATAGATGCTTTTGAGGCCACCATCAAAGCAATTTAGACTCAATGTTCCCGGAGAAAGCCGCAAAGCCTTCCCCTTCTGCATGTGGGCATCGTAGACGAGTCGGTTCTCATTGTGTGAAAGCTGCGCCCACCAGTACCAGAAAGGCGCTACGTGACAACTCCAATGAGGCGCCGGTATCTTAGCAAGCGGTGATAAGAAAAATTGGTAAACAAATTTGTAGAGAACGAATAGAAACACCGCGACCACAGTCATTGAGGCCAAGTTATTCAAAGCCATCTTGGGTATGGGATATGCCAAAACGATAGACGACCGAAATCATGCAGAGAAGCTGAGAATGGCCTTTGGTCCCGTGAATTTGAATCAAGCATAATGATGTGCATGGCTCGGGTAGCGGCTCAAATGGGAAGTGGTGGGTCACTGGTGCGGACCATGCGCCCCGCGTGGTAATGTCTGATTATCGGTTGAGCTGAGGGGCTGTTTGCTTCTCCGCATGCGACATTTACCACTTCAGTTATCCAGGCGAACGGCGTGGTGGAGTCACCCTTTTGAACAGGCCGGTAGATAGATCGGCCTACCAATGCTGATAAATCGAAATTTTCATAAGCGAACATCAACGAGAAATATCATCTAAATCCTAGCTGCGAAGGCTCTCAACTTGCTCCTAATATCATCAAGAGAAGCTTTGCAGTTACCCTCCCCTTGTCTTTTTGCACCTTAACCTTTGAAGTCTACCAAGCAACATGGACGCCAACACTTCGAAAATAGTTGCTGTGATCGGAGGCACAGGCAAGTCTTGAAACTAACCATTTACATGTCGGCCACGCAAGATCTGACTTTCACCAAGGAAACCTAGGAAGCTCGGTGGCTAGATCACTGCATGACAACCCACAGTTTCGTGTGCGGGTCATCTCGAGAGACCCCAGCTCTGCAAAGGCAAAGAAACTCATTGATTCTGGGATCGATGTCGTCCAAGCCGATTGCTGGGAGACTGGTCAGCTTATTGAGGCTTTCAAGGGCTGCTGGGGCGTCTTCATCAATATTGACTCAGACGCACCTGTGAGTAATACGGTAACTCGGATCTCCCAAAACTGACTAGCCGGCGCAAAGAAATTCAAGCAACGCATTGGGCCTTCAAAGCTTCAAATGGGAAAGGGAATCGTGGACGCTGCTGTCAAGGCTGGCATCAAGCATGCTGTTCACGCTTCTCTTCCAGCAGCCTCCGAGTTGACTAAGGGTCAGGTTCCAGTTCTGGCCTTTGACGGTAAGATACCAAAGATATGCTGAGATGTGAGTCTGACCTTTAGTGAGACAAATCGGCTATATCTAAATATCTCCTTAAACCGGGAAAGTTTGAGACGGCGGCAATTGTGAGTGCCGCATGGTTTCTGGAAAATGCATTCGATCCAAAGTACACGGCTGCTTTCGGTGGGTTTGCCATGATCAAAGATGCAGAAGGCTACCTGACCTGGCAGACGCCAGCCATGGGAAACAATCCCGAGTCCGTACCATGGTTGGCGGTCGCGGATGATTACGGTGATTTCGTCCATGGGGTCCTCTTGGACCCCCAGAGATGGAACGGTTGTTACATCCATGGCGTGTCGGACTCATCATCTTTCGCTGAAATGACAGCTAAGTTTGAAGAAGGTGAGGCAACCCGAAACAATCTCGCAGAAACTCAGTGACTAAAACTTGCGGCGTCATGTAGTTACTGGCAAGCCTGCGCGATACAAGGAAGTTAAGACTGGTGGTCTCAGTGCAGCCGACGAGTTCAAGACGAAGGAAGTCAATGGCCTGTTCGATCTCATGCATGCAATCAAGGGGAATTTCTTCAACGGGGTGCCCACAGAGCACGAGCATGCCCGTCTTCTCAAAAAGGCTACAGCAGAGGCGCGACAGTCTAACATTAGTTTGAAGCCGATGACGCTGGAGCAGTTCTTCCAGAAATATGCCACGTAATTCATCACAAAGATAATATGTCATATTCTTCTCCTCTATCAACGGACCCTAGATTGTCTGATTCTATACCTTTTCAAGATCTAATATCAATATGAGAGTACCAGTAGATCAAACCTATCCAAGGTCGATTCCCTAAATCACTTCTTTGACACAGCTCACAAGGCGTCGTTATCTTTGTGTATCTGCATTATGGAAAGTGCTGTGCCACGCAAGGACTAGTGGACATATCTTCGGATATGGAGCGATGTCTGTGAAACCAAACAGAAAGCAAAAATTCTTGGCAATCGGTGGTGTCATGTCATGATTGACTTATCGTCGGACCTTCGTCGTAGCTTCGCGTATCGTCCAAAAATGGTAATTATTCAAGTGGGGTGCTGGATCCCTCGGGACCTCCACTTCACGGAGTTGCGGAACCCTGGCTTGAGGCTGAATTCCGAACACCACCCTTCAGTTCAACACCATAAAAGTGAGGTCGAGTTAAACTCACCGTGACGACCAGGTGCAAATTTGCGATCCCGAGTCTGAAAAACTCTACAACATTCAATCTTCAGCGTCGCTCGAAATGGCTTCCGTCACGATTCTTGGAGCCGGGTAAGCAACATTCTGCCTATCAAGTACTTCATGCTAATAAACGTCCAGTGTCACGGGTATGGCTATTGCTAGTCAGCTTGCCACTCATCACGATGTAACGATTGTGGGGGACATTCTTCCCGGAGACGCTCTTACCACGGATTGGGCCTCGCCATGGGCTGGAGCCTGCTGGGTTGGCGTGCACACGTCGAGTGAAGAAGACAAGAAAACTCAATTGGACTCTCTTGCAGTTCTCTTGAAGCTTGCCAGGACGTACCCTGAAACGGAATCAGGCGTCAGGATAACGAAGATGACTGAAATCCTTGAATACGGTTCTCCGGAGGACATTTGGTACCGGCACTACGTTCCCAACTTCCGGTTGCTTGAAAAATCAGAGATGCCTCCCCGAGCAGTTTTTGGTATGGAATACACGACAGTGTGCATCTCGCCGCCGGTGTTTCTCACATGGATGAGATCTAGACTAGAGGCCAAGGGGGTCCGATTTGTGCGAGCGCGTATTACTTCGCTCAGAGATTTGAAGATCTTCAAATCCGATGTGTTGGTGAACGCCGCTGGGGCACGAGTGCGGGATCTGACGGAAGTTCGAGACACCTCGCTCGTACCATATCGTCTGCAGTCCATTCTACTGGACAAGACCTGGGATCAGTGTTACATTTACCGGGGTCTGGATGGGTTTTATTTCAACATGTTCGGACGACCTGATAGCGCCACATATGTCGGCGGCATCAAGTTGCTCAACAGCGAAGACCGCACGGTTTATGCTGCTGACAGACAGACGGTAAGATTCTAGCACAGCCCGATTTCCAACTACGACCAAACTGACTATATCGTTCTCAGATTCTCTCACGGGGACATCAACTTTTGCCCTCGGTTTTGCCTTCTCCTCATCTCAGTGACTACAACATCAAGTATGATATCGGTAGTACCTATCACTTTCGCCCTATGGATCAAGGAGGGGCTAGAATAGACAAGGAGATTGTTGACGGACAGAAGGTGGTTCATGCCTATGGACAGGAAGCTGGAGGTTACTGCTTTAGTTTTGGCACGAGTCAAAAGGTGGTAGCCCTCGTAGAACAGTACGTTCACGATTCAATATCACCAAAGCTGTAGTTCAGGGGCATCAGTCGAGCTCAAGTGAAGGTCACGCAGCAAAAATGATCTTATTTTCATAGAATCCTGAGGCTACGTTGAGGCTGCAATTGGTTGCGATAGCTTCGGGCTGGACCCATGACATTCTCAAAAGTGCCTTGCTGCCCCCAACATATGGCCAGGACTTAGTTAATTGAGATAGTCATGTGAACTTTCTCGGAACGAAACCAAACACTGTGATTTAACAATGTGAATTCTTTAGACTAACCAGGCCAGGGGCAGTTTACGCTTCCCCGCTTGATGGTTCATTTGCAATGCCAGCTGGCGATCTCTTACTTCGTATCGCGGCCAGAAGAGGAAATTTAGGGCAGGAAGGCTTGAATTATGATGTTCGTAATGGAAATTCAATGGAAGCCACGGATGGATCTGTAGCCGCATCCACCCGGACCTTTCTGCACATGTCCGTTTCCTGAGGCATAGTAACGCAACTCTCACGACCCAGGGGGGGGGGGGGGGCATGCATACACGATGCATTATCTCCGATAAGTCAAAAAAATGGTTAGATATGACTGATAACAAGCCAACGCAAGCTATAGCCACATGATGCGTTGCGTCTCAGGAGTCTCCCTTCTGGGACGATAGGCGGATTTCCAGAGTCTAGATCTAGAGTGGGGTACGCAGGCAAACCCCGTTCAATTGCAGGGAAGCTCGGTTCAGGGGTTCTTCGGTTGAGAACCTAATCCGGCAATCCCCATGCCGAGTTTCGGCCCTTAGTAGCGATACCTAGTCCGCTGGCTGACATTACGGCTCCGGTATGCATCAAGGTAGGTGAGCAGGTTGAAGTAATTCAACTCGCATTCAGAGGGGTTGCCATCGGGCATTCCCATCTTCTTGGAAGACCACAAACATCTCATTCTCTCTGATTCTGATCTCACAGAACTCAAGCAACATGGTCAAAGTCACGACTCTAGGCGCGGGGTAGGTAATCACCGTGCACACAATGAAGACATGATTTGAGAACTCACACTGACGAAAAAAAGGGTGACGGGCATGATGATTGCGGGATCGCTTCCGCGCCACTATGATATCACCATCGTCGCCGAATATCTCCCTGGGGACTATGATACCAAAGCATGGGCGAGTCCTTGGGCAGGCGCAATTTGGGTTGGTGTTCACGATTCTGCCCTGCGAGAACAGACGATGCAGCTGGAAGGTTTGATGGGCCTCTGGAAACTGGCGGAAACGAACCCAGAATCCAGTGTACGGCAGGTGAAGATGACAGAGATCATGGATCGTGGGTCAAAGTCTGACGTCTGGTATGCCCACAAAGTCCCGAGCTTCCGCTTTCTTTCTGGGCAGGATCTGCCAGAAGGTGCAATCTACGGAATGGAATACAAGACAGTCATCCTCACCCCGCAGAAGTTTCTTCTTTGGCTTTACGACCGTTTACAGAAGCGAGGCATTGAGTTTCGTCGAACAAGAGTCTCTGCTCTGGCTGACTTGAAGGGTCTTGGTCACGACGTGTTGATCAATGCCACTGGAATCGGCGCCGAAACACTTGAAGATGTCCAAGAGAAGAACCTGGTTATGAATCGACTCCAATGCGTTGTTGCGAAGGCCCCGGATACCTACAATCAGCTTTTCATTCGCCGAGGCCATGGGGGCTACTACTCAACTGCCTTTTCTCGCGGGGATGGCACAGTCTACTGCGGTGGTGTTCTTACACAAGGAGACCGAAGCCTTGCAGTGTCTGAGGACCAGAGAAATACAGTAAGAACAATGACTTCAGTACGAGTAACAACTAATAACGCTCCCAGATTTGCCGAAATGCGCATTTGAACCAACCTCACGTCTTTCCGTCGCCGAATCCAAAAAATTGGCCAATTATTTATGATCACGTGGGACTTTATGCCACCATGGACAGCAAGATCGGTGGGGTTCGTTGTGAAAGGGAGACAATAGATGGGCAGAGAGTCATTCATGCGTACGGCCAGAATGCAGGCGGTTATGGATACAGCTTTGGGCTTGCTCGGGAGGTGGTCAAATTGACGGAGGACTATCTGTTTGAACTGCCGGCATGCAGCAAGATCTAAGAGTCTCATGGTACCATAACCTAGACTAGGTAATCTACCTATGACGAAGAAATCACAATAACCCGCGTTACTACAACTTGATCTCTGGAATTACTAAAACCGATTGAAGAGTAATAGCAAAACTGAGACTTCTCAAACCGTAATAAGTGTCGGATTTACGCCTAGGGAGAAGTCAGTGCCGAGCGAAAAACGTCACACAGACACTGGAGCATTTCATCGATGTTTTAAGCTGCCTACAGCTTCAAGACAAAGAGCTCATAGTGAATTAGTCATGGCGTCGGAACGAAGCGTTATTTGAACCATTGATCTGGCACAATTGACTGTCTAAGAGAGGATATCGATCGCACCCCCATCTGAAGGAACTATGCATCCCAACTCCTGGCGAATGCCGGAAACCCGGCTGATATCTGTTTTCTAACCCATTCCAAGTATGATCTAAGACCCGCGAAGTAGAAATTCGTGTTGGGCTTGTGACCTGGAATATTTTGACTGAAAATCCAAGACGAACTTTTCAGAAAAACCGATCCTTGCACCAGACTGTCGCACAAATCTGCCCAATCCTGTTCAGCCTCTTGGGAGACCTCTATGGTTGCAGGCCTGGTTCTGGATGTTCCATTGGTATTATTGGTCTTGCCGTTGGTAATGCTGTTGGGGCTGGCCTTCCAACCAGAGTCCAGAGCTTCCGCATGTTCAATGAGAGACATGATGAAATTCGTCTCGCTTTCGATGACGGGCGGAAAGTTGGCAAATGGGCCTTGAGGGCCTGCAATCAAGAACATGTTGGGAAAGCCTGAACAGGCGATTGATCCGTAGGCCTTGAGGCCGTCTCTCCAATGGTCCTTCAAAGTCTTTCCATCCCGGCCGGTAATGCACACCCTTGAGTAACTTCCCTCAATGGCGTCAAAGCCTGTGGCGAAGATTAGGACGTCCATATCATGAAGCTTGCCGTCCACGAGCTCGATGCCAGTCTCAGTAATTTGCTTGATCGGGTTGGCTTGGATGTCAACCACGTCGATGTTGTCTCGATTAAAGATCTCGTAGTACCCAGAGTCGCACAGCGGGCGTCGGGCATACAGCTCCTTAGGCTTTAGAACGCTTGCCTTGGCTGGATCCTTCACGATCTCGTCAATCTTGCCGCGAATGAAGCTGCATGCCTCCTCATTGGCTGCTTCATCGGTGGTAAGGTCGCCAAAGGCGCTGAACATGAAGCGAAATCCGTTACCCTTTGACCAGACCTCTTCGAATGCCTCCCTTCTCTCCTTGGGGGAAGCTTCCATGGTCTTGCGGGTGGATTCTGGGACGCCAAACCCGACTGTTGAGGACCAGACATTGTCCCAAATTTTGTCGTAGTCTTCGTTGACCTTCTTGCGGTAGTCCGCTGCGATTGGGCCTTGGCCACTCGGTACGGAGTATTGCGGATGACGTTGAAAAGAAGCGAGATGGCCAACCTTCGGCGCGATGGCTGTCATCACTTGGACACCGGTCGAACCGTTGCCGATGATACCGACACGCTTGCCTTCCAGTTGAACAGTATCGTCCCACTTCGCGGTGTGCAGCAGCGATCCTTGGAAATTGGAAAGGCCCGGAATGTCGGGATAGTTAGCCTTCGAGAGGAGGCCGAGGGAATTGACCAAGTATCGTGCGTGGTAGACCTCTCCAGTGGAGCAGATAACATGCCAGCGATGACTGATGTCGTCCCAAGTCGCTGACTTCATCTCACAGTTGAACTTCATGTGCTTCCGCAGGTCGTGCTTTTTGACGATGTGTTGTAGATACTTAAGAATCTCGGGCTGGTAAACATAATGGTGCGTCCATGGATATGTTTGAAGGTCGTCCTTGTCCCAAGAGTATCGGTAAAGGTAGGATTCTGTGTCGCTCATTGCACCTGGGTAACGATTCCAGTACCAAGTTCCTCCAACATCAGATGCAACGTCAATGGTTTGGACCTTCATGTGCATATTGGTAAGACAGTATGTGGCATAGATCCCGCCAACGCCGGCGCCTACGACAAGGGCGTCGACCTGAATGATCTGTGTCATGATGGTGAGAACTTAGAAGAGTACTAAAAGATGTATGCGGGAGGAGTGATTTCTAAACCACTGCGCTGGTTGAGCTTGTGAAAACGAGAGAAATGTTCGTGTCCGCGCGTGTTGTCCCGAAGGTGTTGAGCTCTTGTGTGAGTGATGAAGGTTAAAAGGGTAAACTGTGCGCGATATCTGCCAGCCTCGAGGACTGACGTTCACATGCGATGAAGGCCGCTTACTGCCCCATGACCCCGGGTTACACGCCAATTTGGGGATCCGACCGAAAGGTGCGTTGATTTGTTGCGGTCAACTCAGATACCGTAATTGAAAGGCACCCGAGATGTAGATTGCTACTTGACAAGACGTGCTTACATTGCGGTGGTACAAGCTTCCAATTTTGCTGTCCAGCCGACCACGCCGCGCAACGTCATGAATTGGAGAGAGCCCCTCATTGGACCGGCAGAATCATCCGATCTGCAAAGCATCTCAAGTTTTACTATTCAAATGAGCAGGTAATATTTTCCGCCGGTAGATAATTTCCGGCCTTGACTTTGATCGCGGGCAATTCATCGGCAGCCTATCTGCATGCATGCTGTTAGTGGGCTGTGCAGCTTGCATTTTTGCTGTTTCGGGAACAGACGCGACATATATGATAAATCAGCTTTGCTCAAACTACGTAGCAGTCATACGATTGCTCAGCCAATTCAAGGTTTGGAAATGATCGAATGGAATTGGCAAATCAGAGCTGAGTGCGAGGGTCACCAGGATGAATCAGTACTCATGACCACGAATTCATGCAATATATATCACTTAGATATTTTTCGAAGCCTTTGTCTTTCTGCACTGAAGGGTTTATCGTCTAAACATCAATACCGCAGAACCCTTACTTCAGCCTGTGAGTAAATTTCACTATTTGATTCCCTTTAGCTAACATATTTTCCAAGAAAATACTATATACTGAAAGATGTCACAACCCAATGCAGTTCACGGGGCTTGGAACTCGTTTGAGTGGGTTCCATTTCCAGAATACGACGGGAAGAAGTCTGTAGTCTACCGATCAGACAATGGCCAGATCGTGGCTGGAGCTGCGCACGAGAAGGGAAAGGCGACGCTGGTCTACCCTTGCGATGAGTTCTTCTTCGTAACAGAAGGAAACATCAAATGTGATGTCGAAGATGGGGACACTTTCACAGCTAAGAAGGGAGATGTCGTCTACTTTACCCGCGGGACAAAGGTCAATTTCGAGTTCAGTCAGGATTTTCATAATGTGGCTGTGTTTATCTCAACGGATGGGAAGCCAGTGACGCTGGTTTAATTTTAATGGCATGAAGTCAGCGACTCCCGCCGTCTTTTTGCCTAGTCTTTCGTCATCACGGACTCTATTCCACAACTATCAGCTAAGTAGACTTGAATTCACAAGATCTAGACTGTAAGATTCCAAGGTTGTGTTATTCCATCCCTGCAACCCCGCGTATTGTCCAAAACAGGAATGTGGAGACCTGATAGCTGTGGCTTCCGGTTGGCTGGCGGAGCCATTGAGACGTGCTGTTTTTATCTTTTATCTCCCCTCTCCTATCCGATAGAGACGCCCGCGGAGGCAACACGCGAGATACGCTGGTGGGCACAATGCGGGGAAGTGAACCAACATTACGCTCCATAGCATTGCGATTCCGAGATAACAAGTCAGCTGGGTGATCGGCGCTAGGTTGCTTTCTCCTTCCTCAAAATGCGACTCCTCATGAGCCTGTGACTTTTTGCTCAACTGTCTGAAGCCATCTATTGCATACAGTACCGAAAACCATCATCATGAAGACAATCAAGTTCAAGATCACCACAGGCCCTCGAATTTCCGCTCAAAAGCAGAGAAAATCCGAGGTCACCGAACAGTGCCCCCGCCGGCGCCGCTCGTCCGCAGCTTCACCAACCAGGAGCACCGGCTCCTCGTCGAGTTCCTCATCTTCGGCGGAGAATGGGCCCAAGAACCACAGGAGCCGCGCAGGGTGCACGGAGTGCAAGCGCCGCCGAGTCAAGTGTGATGAGACATTCCCTGTCTGCCGCAATTGCCAGAGGCGCGGCCAAGTCTGCGAAGCTGCACCCCGGCTTCGGACGTGGCAGATGGAGTCTCCGTGGATAGCAAAGTCACACTTGCGGAACGACGCCCCTGACAAGGTTCTTCTTCGATATTGGCTTGAAAAGGCTAGCCAAATCATGGTCATCGATCCCGATATCAACCCGCTATCTTTCCCTATTTTGGAACATCTGGACGCATCTCCCAGCCTACTCCACGCGCTGCAGAGCGTCAGTGCAGCCCATCAACACTTTTTCGACCCATCCCAAATGGCCCGGTGTCTGGAAGAACGGGGCATTGCAATTCAGCTCGTGCAGCGGGAAATTGCCAACCCACCCAAAGACGTGTTCCCCGTTTTTCTCACCGTTTTGATGCTTGGTCTCTCCACAGCCTGGATCGAAGGGCCCGTCACCCAATTTGGTCTCCAGCATCTCTATGGTGCACGCGCCTTGGTGGACATCATGCTAGCTGACAGCTCATTGCCTGAGGAGAACCCGTCCGTCTTCGGCTTCACCATCGGAGCCTACCTCTACTGGGATATGGCATGTGCCTTCCTCGTCTCGAGTTCGGAGCAGGCACCCATCGACAACGTTGACCTGTTCTTGGGCGTACTTCAAACAGGATCGGACTATCATCCGATCGGTGGTTATTGCACGGAGGTGTATTACCATCTGAGCAGCGTGGGTCGCTACTGTAGGCGCGTCTGTGATACGGGCATACGCAACGTCGAGGAAGAAAACCATTTGGAGAATATGTTGCTTGGCTGGAAGCCTGAAGGTGACAATGAGGCTTTGGTGACGATCGGAGAAGCCTTCAAGATCCACGGTCTCATCAACCTGGCCATCTCAAAACGACATGCATTGCTGACCGATCCTTCCGATATGGATGACTTCCTCAGCACGCAACATATTGATCCAACCTTACTAATGGCTTCCATCTTAACACCGCCTCCTGCATCCAACACTGAGTTTCACGCAGACGAGGATCCTTCAGTTCGGGAAGAGAACATCAGAAGGCAAGCCGTTCAAGTAGTTCGTTCTTTGACCTCTATTCCACCTACGCACTCCTGTACAAATCTGCAAGCAATTCCGCTACTTACAGCGGGGTCTGAACTCACAGCCGAGGACTATGAAGAGCGCGAGCTGGTTTCACAACGTTTTCGAGCCTTGTACTCGATAAATCATATCCGCTCAAACCTAAGAGCCTTAGATCTTTTGCTTGAACTTTGGGAGTTGCGAGATGCGGGGACAGTGATGTCTTGGCTAGATTTGATGTTGGAGAAAGGCTGGTCAATCATGATGGGCTGAGTCACTCCAGGTAATGGCAAATGAGTTAGCATTGGTAGAATTGAGTAATGCGCAGCAAATGCAAAATCATATTCCTTCATTTGTCTAATAGTCAAGACCCAGATCTGCTGATCTACACAGAAAATCAGTGCAGCTAGGGCTCCAGCCTCCAGTGTAGCCCCGAAGCCGCAATTAAGCAATGATTGTGGCATGGCCGTAATTATTACAACATGCAAGAATGAGCCTTCCTCGCGACATTTCAATGTGATCACGGCAGTGTGATCACAAACTCCTGCTCCTGCATTTCTAATCAAATCCATCATATTTCCCGAAGCGGACAGCAGGCGAGGTGGAGACTGCGGACTCGGCGCTTTACCTACTACCACTCTTGGAAGCCACCCGAAAGCCTTTTGTGATACCATTGCTACGACGTCTGATGTTGTGGAGACGACCAAAGTCTTCAGCTCACCATCAGGAAAGTGTAAAGACACTGAGCTCGACATATCCTTGGTGCCCGAAAAGTCGTAGCGCTGATACGACCAATCCAGCTCTAACATCCATCATCAAAATGACCACGAAGCTCTTCCAGGAAATCACAACGCCGAATGGCGTTACATACACGCAGCCACTTGGGCTTTTTATCAACAACGAGTGGGTTGCAGCCAAGTCTGGCGAGGAAATTACTGTTATCAGTCCCATGTAAGTCCATCCCTTCAGAAGGATAACGACGCGACAGAGCTGACTTGCCTCAAGCGATGAATCTCAGATCACCAGAGTCCATGCCGGTGGTGCTAGTGATATAGACGTTGCTGTGAAGGCGGCGCGTGCTGCACTCAAGGGACCTTGGGCTGGTGTCTCTGGCACTGATCGCGGAAAGCTCATGCTGAGACTTGCCGACTTGGCTGAACAACACACCAAAACGCTTGCATCCATTGACACATGGAATAACGGTATCCAAAAAGGCTCATATCTCAACCGCTTAGAATCATAAGAGCTGACTATGACAGGGAAACGGTTTTCCTCTGCATGTGGTGACGTAGGCGAGCTGACGGACGTCCTCCGGTACTATGCTGGCTTTGCCGACAAGCTCCACGGTCAAGGTACGGCAACATCTGTTTCTACGAGCTTTTCAGCTGACCATTCAAAGTCATTGATACCACGGACAAGAAGTTCGCGTACACCTCCCGAGAGCCCCTGGGAGTGTGTGGTCAAATCATTCCTTGGAACTATCCCCTGGGAATGGCTGGCTGGAAAATCGCCCCCGCACTCGCGGCTGGAAATACCGTAGTTTTGAAGCCAGCAGAGCAAACGCCTCTTTCCGTCCTACTCTTTGCAACCCTTATCCAGGAAGCTGGATTTCCGCCCGGAGTCATCAACGTCGTCAATGGTTATGGCCGCGCCGCAGGTGCCGCATTAGCTGCGCACGAGGATGTGGCTAAGATCGCCTTCACTGGATCAACTCAGACTGGCCGCGAGATTATGAAGCTCGCATCCGCTACCCTCAAAAACATCACTCTCGAAACAGGAGGCAAATCGCCAGCCATCATCTTTGATGATGCAGAGCTTGAGCAAGCCGTCAAGTGGTGTCACTATGGCGTGATGGCGAACCAAGGTCAGATCTGTACGGCTACCAGCCGGATCTTGGTGCATGAAAGCATCCACGATAAGTTTGTGGATCTTTTCATTCAAGAGGTTCAGAAGACGTCGAAGGTCGGCGATCCTTTCAGCCCTGAGACCTTCCAGGGACCCCAAGTCAACAAGGCTCAATTTGACCGAGTCTTGGCATACATCGCCTCCGGAAAGGAAGAAGGTGCTGAGTGCAAGTTCGAAGGTCAACCTTACTCCTCGGCGACTGGAAAGGGGTACTTCGTTGAGCCGACCGTCTTCACCGGCGTGAAGGACCACATGAAGATTTACCGAGAAGAGATTTTTGGCCCTTGTGTTGCAATTAGCTCCTTCTCCACCGAAGTTGAGGCTATTGACCGTGCCAATGATTCTTTCTATGGGCTGGGTGCAGCGCTGTTCACCAGGGATATCACTCGAGCTCATGCCCTGGCGAAGAAGATCGAGTCTGGAAGTAAGTTAGGTTCGCTCCTCAGATAACATCAACTGACGAAATCTACAGCGGTCTGGATCAACAGTAGCAATGATTCTGATTATCGCATTCCTTTCGGTGGAGTGAAGCAATCAGGTATTGGTAGGGAGCTAGGCGAAGCTGGCATTGCCGCTTACACCAACATCAAGGCGGTTCATGTTAACATGGGAAACCGGTTGTGAACAGAATGTATTTACCGCCTAGATACTTGCTCAGAAGGTTGAGTTGAATATAATAAGTAGTGGTTTATACTGCCTCTGTCTCTAATCCAACTTACTTCCCATCTCCAGCGAGATATGAATGCACGGTCCTTGCGCGTCGATGAAAGACGAGAGGGGCTAATCATTTCTGGCAAACTGTTCATGCACTCATCGATCACAACATGTTGTAGCTATCTATCTCATGTCATTACTGAAATTCGTCATCATCTCTATTTCTCCTCAAATCCGACTGAGAAGTGATACGTCGTCTTGTGTATTGTAGTCTAAGTATCACGACTCCAAGAGATGCTCAGCTCTAACCTTGCGATTCCCTGTCCTTCTCATCTCCCTTCTTCCAACCCCCAAAAAGCATATTTCTCACAGCACTGACGACCGAAGATTTCTCCTCTTCAAGACTTGCCTCATACGCGTCGATCTCAGGACGTTCCCAGACCAGATCTACCTCCTTGGCTGGAATGATGCGCGTTCTCTTGATCAGCTTCCAGCCACAGTACGATACAGGCGCGAACAAGACCATAGTGTATCTAGTAAGGAATGTGGCAGCTGAGAAGTCGCCGAAAAAGGTCGTATAGCCACTGCAAATCGCGATGCTGCAAAACATGAACAAGGCTATCCAGGCGCTGTAGGGCTGGAACCAAGCGCGATAGGGCAAAGTCGTACGATCTACGCCTTGAGCCTCGCATGCCTTGTAAAAGCGTAAGTACACGATGCACATAACAATGAAGTTGACGAGGCCGCCGCTAGTCAGAATATTGACCAACCAGTCCAATACCGTTGCACCGCTGTTCGATAGTTGCAACAACGATAGGCAGGGAAAGACGAGTGTAACTCCGAGACAGTAGATAGGTACACCGCTTTTGGTGCGCCGGGTCATGACTTTCGGGATATAGCCGTCGAGAGCGAGTCCATACAAGTTTCGGCTAGCGCAATACACGTACGTGTTACCGGCCGCAAAGACGCTCGAGAGGATGAGGGCATTGACTAGGTGAGGTAGGACTCCGACGCCTAGGTTTGTCATGGCGATAACGTACGGAGAAGCAGCACCGCTGCCACTTTCCTTTTCGCCGTTGACGATGGCTCTCAATGTTGGGTCGTTGTGAGGTACCACGATTCCCACACAGATGGCGCCTCCCAAGAAGAAGTACGCGAGACGGTAGTATGTGGTTTTGAATGCCTTCTTGATGTTGACTCGGGGGCGGATCGCTTCACCAGTAATCATGGAGATGTATTCGGGTCCGACGATCGGTAGTGGCGCAAAGAATAATGCGGCGAGAAAGCCTTCGAAACGTCCCAGATTGCCAGTGGATCTCCATTCTGCAAATGCGCCAGGATCTTTCCAGTATCGAAAGCCATAGGCATCGTGTTTTGGATTTCCACCAACCATTGTGACGAATGTGAAGCATGTCAGAATGATAATCAAGATGACCTTGCCGCTCGATAGCCAGAACTCGGACTCGCTGTAGTACTTCACGGCACTAAGATTAAGAGCACTAGATAAGAAGAATCAGCGTTTGCTCAGGGGCTCGTGGCTCCACGGTTGACAGCAACTTACGCATAGATAACAATGCATGCCGCACAAACTGCCGCGACGGGGATATCATCGCGCCAGAATTTGAGGGTTGAATTGAGGGCGGTGATCTCGAACGGGATGGAAATGGCTTCGTAGAGAAAGAAGTTGATGCCGGCCGCAAAGCCCAAAGCTTCATCGACCCAGTTACATGCCAAACGGACGAAGCCACCACTAACAAGCATCAAAACTGTCATTTCGGCAATGCAGTTGTTAACCAGTGCAATAACGCAGCAGTAGGTGAAGAAGGACAGAAGGAGGCTACCAGGCCCGGCCTTGAAAAGAGCGGTCCCGATCGAAATGAAAAGGGCTGTGCCGATGGAGCCTCCGATGGTGAATAGTTGAATCTGGCGACCTCCCACACGGCGATGAAGGCCTCCAGTTTGTTGTTGCTGCAAGGCTTGACCCTCGTAGATCGATGGCGTAGGCGTCGTCGCCAGCTTCTTCTCAACATTGCCGGTATCCATTGTCGTTTGAGTAACTAAAATCGTGAATATGTTTGGTGGGCCGCGGATGATTTCCCTCTCTGGTAGATATTCGAAAAGTGGTACGATTCCAGGTGATTTTATATCTCAATTTGATATTATATCTCTTCTGGCCTTAAGACATTCTTGGGCCTTCTTGGCCTTTGCACTTGGAGAAGCCCTTGCGTGGCTATGGGGCGAGGTGTGCGCTTTCGCGTACTGACCGAAAAAGGCAATTAGTCACGATAAGCCTAAATTGCCGAGCAACGCCAAACAGGATCGCACTTGAGGCATTCGCGCAATTGGCGTAACCAGGGAGGCAATCCAGATAGTTCATGGTGTTTCTCAATGACTAAAGGCATAGCATTGCCATGTCTTCACAGGATGAGTAGAGGTCAGGGTTCGAGAATGAGGCCCAGCGAAAATATCTACAAAACAAAAGGCAGATACGTGACCATCGCGACAGGGGTAATCTTCAGTAATAGATCATTGCTACACCGGGTCTGTCGCTACTCCGAAGTTGGGCTTGGGCTTGCGATTTTAACCTTTTATACGTTTACCAAACGTCTCTAGGATAGTACCATCATTCTTCTCGTCGCCGCAGTTACGTTTACTGTTCTCTTGGCTAGCTCACAAGACTCCTAGCTCGGCAAGACAGTAGGCATTACGTCGAATATTACGATGAATCTCAGCAACATAGACATTTGTACATTTTGAGTGTGCTGAGTAGGCTATTCCCATGCACCCATGTAGAGCAACTCTTTACTTATGTTTGACTGCGACTAGTATTGTGCGAAAGTCATCAGAATTGATGAGACTTGACCCAAAGAACCGAGCCCCCTACGCTTGCGAACTGGGAAGGAATGCCTCCACTTCGATTTCCAGATGCAGCTCAAGCCGCAGAAGCTTGAAAACATCGACGCCGGTAAAGAGCGGTCGGTTTTTCCCAAAGTACTCCATCAAAACACCGTGCAGCGTGAGGCCAAACCCGGCATCGGTATTGGCGTGATACGTCCTAACCTGTATCAAACCTCAATTTTAGTCGAATGAACTTGACCAAACCCTTGCCCTCTTGAGGTACATTACCTTGTATACACAAGCCCAGACCTCCTCGCTTGAACCCGTGAGGCCAGCTTCGCGTAGGGAGAGCTCGATGTGAGAAAACGCTTCGCGCATCTCCTCAGTCAAATCAACAGGAACAGTGCCATCACTTCTGATTCCAGCTTGGCCGCCGACATGGATAATCGAGGCGCCAGGTGGAATGACGCAAGCGTGTGTCATTTTGAGGAACTCGGAAATCTCCTCTCCAGCACCGGGCCAGTTGGAGAACCGAATCCCGCTGGCAGAGGCAGGCGTTTGAGGAATGAACTCAGGCATGGTGAGAGGTTGCTGAAATTGTTGAGGATGTTGGTAGCTAATCTCGTGGAAATAGATGCGACACCTCTGTCTTATATATCAACCTACTTCCGTGTACCTAGGTACCTGAGATGCGTCAACACTTGAATCAGTATAGAATTGGTCAGCAGAACTGTCAGGTAGTCGTTTTTTTCGTAGACGCAAATGATTTATCAGCTGGCGGATAAGATTCAGCAAGGTAGTGCCTCTGGGGCCGCACATCTCTGCGGAAACTAAGCTCCAGGGTACCCATGTTTGAATGGGAGACTTACTTTGGTAGATGTGACGAAAGCTACATCGCTGAGATGCAACGAATATTACTAAGCTAGAAATTGTTGTAACCATGGTTGGAGCTTTCAAATGGCATCAACGTATTACTAAATCATGCACTGAGCATTGTTCTGTTTGGAGTTCAAGGTAAACGATTTACCGTCGAGAAAGAGTAGAGGAAACTTGGGACTACGGATGAGCCATAGTCGACTTGAGTTTGGCTGGCGAGGGCATCTTTGGCTGGACGGAGGCTCTTGACCGATGGCGCACATCGACAAAATAAAGCGCTTTCTGCCTTTATGGAGCTTCAGTTCTATTGTCCTTAACGCGGTTTGGAGTCCGCGGATAGCAGAATAGTTGACTGATGCGGTTTTTTACCCGGGCTGTTTGATATCCATGGTCCGTGGCTTTACTTGCGATGGAAACAAGCGAATCATGATCATCCTTGATTTGAAGGGCACGTGAAGGGTGAGGCGAAGGCATTTAGAGACACGTAACAAACCCTGACGAACGGCAAAACTAAAATTCGAGCAAAGTTAATTTATCTTATTGGTATGACTGATGGCCAATTTATGCGTTCAAAACAGATCGAACAATATCCCGCAGACCGTTGGCGTCGAGTCCCTCAATCCTAAGTCGTTCATTGTCCACCTTGTCGAATTTTCCACCATAGCCCTCACCAAATATAGCCCTGAACAAGAACTTGGAGATCACTCCAATATCCACCTGGCCAGAGTTGAGACCGGAAAGAGCCTCCTGCTCCTCGGCTGCAGTTTTAGAGTCTTGGATGGTCCAACTTCCCGAAGGATCAATCTCCTTGGCAGCCGTGATGATCTGGCGTTGCGTGACATCAATGTCCTTGACGTACACGGCCTTGTTGGCAGTCTCGGAAGGATGAGACAAAACCCCAACCACGGCCTGCCCAACCGTAGATAGTCGAGAAGCACTGAAAAGCACGTTGCCACCGTCTCGCAACACGGCCTTTTTGTTCTTGATGTCAACCAGCATGCCCGTCGACAAGCCCCAGTCCAAGAAGGGACCACAGAAGAGAAGACTGTATGTGAATGCCGGGCTGGATTCGGCCTTCGCTCTCAGATATTCCTGAAGCTGTATCTTAGCGCCAAAGATCGGGATCGTCTGGACCTTGGGGTTTTCAGTGCTGCTACCGAACTCCGACGGCAAGAATCGCTTGACGCCGGCGGTGACAGACGCATCAACCAATGCCTTCTGCACATCTGAGCCGAAGACAGAGAGCGTCGAAACAACAGCATCTTGTCCACGAACAGCTTCATCCAATACAACAGGGTTGTCGTAGTTGACGTACTTGACTGTGAAGTCGGCGGGAAATTTGTGAGACGACCCTGTTCTCGTCAAAGCAGTGACATCGAATCGCTTGGAAGAGCGAAGTGCGGTCAAGATAGCTGGTCCAAGATTGCCAGTGGCCTAAGTTGGATCGTCAGTGCTTTGTTTATTCTAAAAGATGGAAATGGGGATCCAAATCCTAAATATGTCAATTGTCAACTTACACCAGCGATAGCGACTCGGCGGATAGATGTGGTGTCAAGATGAAGACACAGAGAGGTTGAAAAGGAATAAAGATTGAGGTGAGTGTAGTTTTACAAACCTGGAATGAAGCTGTTCAAACAAGTATGAAGTCATTTGAAGAAGGGTCCTCTTAAGTATGTGGCACGAAGACAGAGACGTTGTCGGTGGCAATTCGCACTGCGCCATCAGCGTGCCTTGCGGATGGGACTACGACATGTGGATGTGCCATTCCTGCAGTCCACACTCCGCCCCCATACCTCCTTCTTTTCTCTTTTTGAGCCCGGAGATACCATGTAAGCCAAAGTCTTTCCTTGAAATTGTCTGAATTCATCAGCAGTACATGGGGCGGAAGCATTTCTCACAAATGTCCTGCCATCCGACCCTGGGAGGGCGATGCAGCGGGCAAACGAGTATGACAAACCTTTCGGTGGCTGAAGTTGAAATCGCACGTTGACAATTAGTTGGTAGGTTCCAGGCCTCAATTAGAGTCCGCAAGACCAACAGAAGTGGGATATATCGACTGTGGAAACAAAATTGCTGAGCAAAACAGCATGTAAAACTTGTACAATGGGGTGAATGTCAATGTCTCCAACCCCACCATCCTGGAGTTTCCGGGTGGGGAGTGGGGCTGCAGGCCAGAACCGAGCCGGTAGGATACTTTCTCTGTCACGCCTTACGCCCTTCGTGTCAGTCTAGAGTTGAGCCCCACTTCTGTTGGAAACAGCGAAGAACTACGACAGCAACTTTGGCAGCTTTGGTGGCTCCGCATCGCATGTCTGAAGTATCCCGCCTACCGGATTGAACAAACTGCCTACTGTAAGTTTGTAAGTTGTTGCCATTCACTTTTCTCACCGAAGCTCGTGTCAGGTCACTTTGGGTCAGACACGTCACACGTGAAACCCATTCCCTCTGCAATTCTATCAGATGAGTCCCGGGTCCGGCAATGATGGACGCCGACCTCGATCTGAATGAATTTTTCAACCTCAGTTATTTTGAGGACTTATCCGCGGCTAGTCCCTATGAAGCCTCCATCTTACAAGAAGAGACTGCACATGATGCATCAGGCGATAAAACCTCACCTCAACAACAGCCCAATCTCCATGCAGGCCGCTGTGCAGGTGTCACAAATTCTCTTTCCTCAGAGACTTCTGCAACGGCCATAGGCGCTGAGTCTGGGCACCAACATCTGGATGTTACAATCAAGTCCACAAGGATTTCCAATCGCTTCTCTCTAGAATCAGTTCGGACATTACGTCAATGGTTGGCAGACCACAACTCATATCCATATGCCACTCCCGAGGACATTGAAATACTCCAGGCCGAGACAGGGCTGACCAAACTGCAACTGACTAATTGGCTTTCCAACGCTCGGCGGCGTTACAAGTTCAAGGCCCAACCGGGGCCGTCAGCACCGCGCGCATGGAAATGGTCCGAGGACATCTCTTCACCGGTTTCGGCCATCGACGTCCCTCATCCTCGAGCCAATCCGGTTCCGTTTGAGCTTATGAATCCACTTGAAAGATGGCAAAGCTCTCCGCCTGAGTACGAAGCCGCCAACGTAGCCGACATTTCGCGAATGGCTGCAGCAATTCCCACACGCCCACCTACTCCGTACTATCTTGGCGTCTCTGAAATCTCATCCAGCGACGCATCCTCGGTCAGCAGCGCGGGGGCCTCTCGCTCTAGCTACGGATCTGGTTCCTCATCCCAGTCGCGCAGCTTCCTCGATCCTCCCAACCTCCAGAATAATGTTCGAAGAAGACGGAAGAAGCTGTCTAGGCGACAACCCTTGCACAGTAACGACTTGCTTCAGACCTACCACAGGTATCAGTGTACATTCTGCATCGAATCTTTCAAAACGAAGTACGATTGGCATCGTCACGAGAAAACGGTGCATATCTGTCTCGATCAATGGGTCTGCTCGCCGTTGGGTCCTACTGAGCTGCATCCCGTCCTGGGCGTGCAAGCTTGCGTCTACTGTGGTGCCCCAGAGCCCGATCAGCAGCACCTAGAAACACATCATCACTCCCTGTGTCATGAAAGAGAGCCTTTGTTCCGCACCTTTCGCCGCAAAGATCACCTTAGCCAACATCTTAAACTCGTCCACGAAACAACCTTTTCACCCTGGCCAATGGAGCAATGGAAGACTGTCGGTCGAGAGATACGGTCACGATGTGGGTTTTGCAGCACCACCCTGGAATCTTGGGCCAGCCGAAGCGACCACCTGGCCGATCACTTCAAGGCGGGAAAGACCATGGCAGACTGGAAAGGAGACTGGGGTTTCGACCCCGAGGTTGCTGATACCGTGGAGAACGACATGCCTCCTTGTGAGTTAGCTACCGTTCAATTGCTTGCGTAACCCCTTTCCAACATGTTGACCTCCCGCCTCAGATCTGATACACTATGAGCGAAGCACTGTATGGCCGATCTCATCCGTACGAGGGTCATCAGACACACCCACCAGCGCGTACGAACTTCTCAAGTTAGAACTGGAGTACTCCATCCAAGGGTGCCTGGCCAAAGACGGCTGTCTGCCTTCAGACCAGCAACTCCATCATGAAGCCTGCTCGATAATACTCGGCGCAGATGTGATATCTACTCAACCTGCCTCATCGACACCATCCTGGTTGCGAGACGTCTTTCTGTGCTCTGAAACGGCAAAAGAAGCTCGCCTGATGCCACTCCAGCAGATTGCCAAGTCACGCCTAACCCAGCTAAAGATCACTGGGAAGTGGAGCATATTCGATCAATGCCGCCTGGAGTTGGAGTTACGCCGTATCATCTTGACGCATAACAACCAACGGGCTGTCATGTCTGACGACCAGCTTCAGGAGGAAGCCGCAAGCATCCTCCAACGCGCCGAGGCTTGTTCGCCCAAACCGTCGAAATACTGCGCTGAATTCCTGTTTCGAGTTGTGCGAGGGTCGAAGCTGTGGGTTGAACCGTTCCGCGAAAGGGTCAGACAGCTTTCCAGCAACAGTGTTGAGACCGATGCTATCAATACAAGCCTCGATGCAACTGCGTACGTTACTTCGTTTCCGGAGGAAACAGTTGGCACCCATATTTACGAGGGAGCGGCCGCGATGGCGGCGGAGGCAGCAGGTCCGTCGCTCACAAAGCAGGATATATCGCAAGCAACTGCTGGAACTTCAACATCCACGCCGACCAGCATCCCCTCTTCCAATGTGGACGCAAATGACATCAATATGGATCGATGGCCAGCCTTCACGATTGTGAACACAAGCGGTAATACCGAGATACGTCAAAATATTCGCGTACCATTCCTGCTCAACGACCACAACAGCTATACACGTCTCGCCGCCGGCCTCTCTCGGTTTGTCGGGGCAACCATGTCACCTAACAACCCGAATAGACACGTGCCTACTGACGACGAGCTTCGGTATCAGGCGAGGTGGATGTGGTTTAACGAGTCAGTTTTGCCTTGCTGCACTTGCCTCAAGCAATGCCAACCATGCTCTGTATTGGGAACTCTGGGCTAACAACTATCCTATTAATACAGAGACGACCCTTGGAACCAAACGCCTGCAGATAATGCTGAGTGGTTGCTTAGATTCAAACAAAGCGTTGGTATCATTGCGGACAACCCACAAGGAACGGTCTCATGAGAGCTGGATCTACATCAGAAGTTGAGAATGGTATGCGGAATCCGAGACACTGGTCACCTAGAGAACGAGTCTTAGTTCAGGACGTTTTTGGCGAGTCTCAGTCGAAATGTTCCTTTAGCATTATGGTGGTAGGGCCTCCTGCAGGTTACTTGAAGATTGCCCTACTCATCACAAGTTTCCAAGCTTCACGTCATTGACTCATGATTGCCTCCCTATTCCGCCTCTTACATCTTTTGATGCCCTCTTCTAGTCGCTTGGTCTTTGATGCTCTGAAAGCCGGAATGCTGAATGGCTTTAGTATTCCTGATCTGCAAATTTCAGTAGTCATTTCGATGTCAAGTATTGGTAACTCCGATGTTTGGCAACATTTCCTGCACCACTCAGGATCGCTGATGCACGCTCCTTATTGGATAATTGCGTTCCAAAACTTGATTGCAAGCCCAATCAATGGAGAATGAAGATGGTGCGTCTCTTTGTGGTCATTTCTGTTGGTCTATATCCTGTAGGAAGCCACATAGATCTTCGATCGGAGTTCATGATCCATCCCAAATCATGACTGAGATCAAGTTCGCTACTCGGCTGCAATGTATCATCCCGTCATGCAGGCGCGTCTCTGTCCCCAAATACCAACTCTGGCGCATATCCAGTCTTCTTCTAAACGAACTCGACTGCATAGCATAATCATCATTCGTAGCCAGTAACTTCACTTCTTTCATTCCGTCCACTTGTGCTTCCCACAAGTTTCCAACATTGGAGCCCATTATGAATGATAACTCGCAATGTCATCGATCATACTACAGACCGGAGTCAGTTTTCTGTAGTTTTGCCGACCCTGATCGAACTCACAATCACGCAGTCTTCGCATCTTGCACCGTATACGTAGACCCAGGCTGGACAGTCAACACCAGGTTTGTATCTGTTGACGCAAGGATAACGATCCATTTCCGAATTTTTGTTTGTTGCAGGAAGAAAAGTAGCTCCAGGCACACAGTCGCTCACGTTGAGGGTGAAGGGGTGTGCTATGTCACAGCAAGTATTAGCCGAAGCATACTTTCTGCTCATGAGTAATGATGTATAGGTCTTCATGATGAGGCAGATAACGAGCTCTCAGGAACGTCAGTGACACGGCATAGGATGCCTCGTTCTTTGAAGGCTTTCAGCTCATATCATCATTCCTCTAGTTGCTCCTTGCTATTTGATCCTGCCGGCAGTGTGCCGTAGCCATCATGGTCGATGACACCGCTTCCATGCGGCACCCATCAGTCCGCAGTCTGTCGAATATACTTAGCCCGAGACTTTGGAGAGAAACATCTTGAGATCATGGTCGCCCTGCGCTATCAAGCTGGATAGTGGAGCCCGAGACAAGCAGGACCCGAGACATCATCGCACTCGAGTCAGTTTATTTGTCTGCAGCGGATGTAGATTTCCAGAGCCAGGCAGCGAGTTTTCTGTAGTTCCGAGCTGTGCAGTCGTAAAACGCCAGCAGCTTTCCGAATGGACGGTGACGACTCGGAAGTTCCGCAGGATTCTGAGGCATCACTATTTGCAAACGTTTCGGGTGGCTTGCATTTAGGGTGGCAAACCCTGAGCTCAACCTCCGACATGGATGTACTCGACCGTCATGGAACGGGGCAAGGCTTCAGCGAAAACATTCTACCGCATGGAGCTTGAATGATATCTGGAAGTGCGACTCTGTGTGCTGGAGCCTGTAAGATTTCGCAGTGAGATGCGCAGTGGTCTGATTTCACAAATTCTCTACGCTCGGCCGTTACCGAGTCCTATCATCGACCTTACATTAGGTCCAGATTCCAGTGCAGTGCCAAATTTCCACCATCACACGAGACACAAAATCTCCGAGGGTTCTTCCGAAAGACTGTGTCCACTTCCTGCACGAGGTTTGCTGCTCCGGACCTACCGGAGTGAATACCGGCTGTGACGCTAGGAAAGCATCATATGTCGGAAGTTAAGGTGCATGGAGATATCGGGGCCCCCGAGTTCCAGCCCACGGCGACGGTGCGGTGTGGATGCGCTACCTCTGCTGCTCAACGTCACCAATGCATGGCATTCATAAGAAGACCAATCACTCGGGAGATAAGCCTGCAGTAGGGCGGCTGCGGAGCACATCCTGGCTGAGGGTTATTGTCAAATATCTGCATCCGCCTATTGTAAGTCAAGACACTGAGACATTGGCTGTTGCGTCTGGCGGTGTGTGCTCTTCTTCTGATTGGGCAACCCAAACTTGTAAGATCTCATATTGATGGCTCTCAAGGTCAGTGCTCATTGATCTCGAGATGGATCATCAGCTGGGCAAGGAGAATAGATGCGCGCATACTGGGAAAAATACAACATGATACTGCGGGGGATTTGGTCCGGTCGTCTTACAATTGTGATCTCTTTCTGTGACTCCACGAAACTGTGGGAGAGATTCGCGACCAGAACAAGGGCTTTGAATGTTCGGGGCCTATGTTCTCGCCGTTTCGCTCGCCAAAACATGCGAGCTGAGCCTTGATATTAAAGACAAAACGGATTTGTTGGGGGCCATTATAGGAGGGAAACTATGACCCTCTGCAAATGAAGTGCAGCCAACAGAAACCATGCGGTGACGCTTCAAAGGGCCATAGACTAAGACATTGTTGCCTAAGTCTGTCTGATAAGCAGGGTCGTAAGTCGCTAGAAGGCCTAGGCTTGCTCATTGCCCCTGCTGATCAACGACATTTTCAGACTTCGTTGACATTGCCACATGCGGAGGCTTGCATCTCGGCTGACCTGACGTCTGATTTGCAAGAGCGACCGGTGGAATGGTCTGGACCTCCACGTTATCAAGAAGGATCGGGCTGAGCCTGCATCTTCGGGGTTACACGGATGACTTATATCACGGATGTCTATGGACGCCACAAGCGATCGCAACATACTCCATGCATCGATTCTGAACCAGGTTAAAAGACGTCCATTTCATCAGACGCCTCTAGCCCTAGTTAGCTACCATTAGTTGATTCGAATGCAGCCCCGAGACATCGCATCCCGAGACAGCGGATAACCCTAAGCCTTGTTGCTTTAGGTGCTGCATCCAACTAGCTTTTACAGCTCCTGCAACCCTAGGGCATCCGCCGACGGTGCCTGCGCTTCAAGCCGTATCGGACTTCCCGCGGGCTCGGCGCCAGTCGATCATTTTAGGACTGGAAACGCATTGAATGATTCAGGTTTCTTTACCCCCGCAGGCACGGGTGGACTCAGAACGGGTATCTAAATCTGACTCAATGTCGTTTACTGTATCAAGCAACACGACAAGACCTAGCTGGAAATGTTGTCATGTGTAGAACCATTCTACGAGTTGAGCTCAACCCAACGTCACTGCGTCTTGCAGAGACGAATATCCTTCTTTACAATAGATGACCAGAAAACTGGTATTCATTTCGTTTAAGAGCTATATGACATCTTGAGCGTACCCGGAAAAGCGGTTTGCATGATAACACCACTACTTCTACGAGACTATTAAGCGAGTGTCTTCTTTGCGATGAGCTCCTAGTCATGACGTATTCTAAACCGAACTCCCTTGCTTCCAGGTCGGAGGCCTGGCGTGACATAGTCTGCGTGCATGCGGATGTCGTCGATTACGGTCTCGAATAGTTCCAATGTCGGACCTTCTTGCGATTTAACCTTCGGGTCATATATCCCATACTTGCGGAAGATTCCTGCCGTAAATGTCTGCAACTCTTGATACGCAAGATTCATACCTAGGCATTGACGTCCGCCCTTGCCAAATGTGAGGTGCTTCTTGAAGAGTTTGGGGTCTTCAATATATCGATCCGGGTTAAAGACGCGGGGCTCGGTAAACCAGGCGGGATGTTTGTTCAGAAGCGGTGCCGTCATTCCCACCATTGTGCCAGCTGGGAGCACTAGAGTTCGTCCATCAGCGTACTCAAATATCAAGTCTTCGTCGGGAGCCACACGGTCCTGGCGATGCGTAGCACTGGGATACATGCGTAGAGCTTCCTCGATTGTTGCGTTCAGGTAAGAGAGGCTGTCGAGCTTGACTGGATCCGGAGGCTGATGAGCATCCGGCATGACGGATTCCAGCTCTTTTCTGATCCGCAAAAACATGGACTCGTCACTCAAGATATGGAAAACGAGGGCCGATAGAGTCATGGCTGTGGTGTCGGATCCTGCGATCGCCAGCACCATGGCTTCGTCTACCAGTCGCGGCGTGGACTTCTCTGACTCGGGAATATCGCTCTCCATAATCTCGTGGAATATCGTCTTCCCCTCATAATCATCCTTTGAGCCTCGGATGGTTTCAATTTTGACGGTAAGATCCTACGCCGCATTAGTATCCGCTCAGGCCACGATCATAAAGGGCTGTGGCACCTACCTCGACAAAGGCGACGAATGCCTGAATATATGGGGCCAAGATCACAAGAATCTTTGGGGGCAGACTCTGGAAAGCCATGGCGATAGTGTGGAAATGCACACTGAAGTGTGTCATCCTTCCTGGCGTCAATACCTCGAAGAAAGCAGCGTTGCAATCCTCCATGAGCAAGCACTTTTCGCCCTCGCCTAAAGCGTACGACTGAATGACATCTTTTGTTGCAGCTCGACTTGCCGGGTTGAAGTCAATTGGTTCGTCGGTCCTAGACCACCCTTCCATCCGTCGCAGTAGATCGCCTAGAGTTTCATTGATGATCGGCGCCAGCCTTCGTACGTTTTCCTTGGAGAAGAAGCGGCTCAGGACCGCGCGGCGGCGGCGATGCAAGTCGTGGTCGCGAGTCGGCAAGACCGAGAAGGTCTGTCCGAAGAATCCAAGGACCGTTTCTGCCCTCTCGCGCCGGGCTCTGGGAGACTGAGCAGGATACAGCTTGTCGACGAAGCTGGGATCATTGACGTGCACTACGTCAGGCATGGTTCTGACAACCGGCCCATACTGTCGATGCATCTCCTCGACGACCCAGACATATTGGCCGCCGCGCCAGATATCATGATAAGCAGCATACCACGACGTGAGAGCTATCGATATCAATGAGTCAATGAGTTACACCTCCATCACGAATTGAGGTTCCGATATGACGTGGAACTCGCCAGCAATTTTGGGACCTGGAACTTTCGCCAAAGGGCTTAAATAGAGACGGTAGATGGCCAAGCATACCCAGTACAGAACGATCACACCACCGAAGGCGGTGAAAGACACCATGTCGATAAAGCGTATGCGGCTGCGATTCGGTGATAGTCAAAGATGTATGCGTGGTCAGGTAATCTTCGATGTGGCTCCGGCGCGTCCTCTTTCTGCGTCAAATCTTCGTCCTGGTGCATGTACTCCGACAAACACGGTTCATCGTACCTCAGACAGAGAAAGTTTGAAGCCGAAGGAAGGGATTCCCCATTTTCAGGAGGCAGCAATGAATGAGCTCATCGGGAAATTGGATTAATTAATCACCGAAGTTCCTATCTGTGCATATCAACGCTAGAGCTCGAATTGACGGTAAAGGATTCTTAGCGCGAACTTATCAGCATTCCAGAGCTCTCGCGTATTTCGGCAGGCAGACATCGACGCTAAGCGAGGTATCGCATCACAGGAATCATTTAAGCGACTGATGACTACAACAGGGCGACCCTAAGATTGACTGTGATTCTCTTGCACAAATCCATATCCTAAGTCGCCGAAACTTATGACTGAGAATCCGACTATATTGATGAGCTACACCCCCGCGCAGCTTCCAGGTCTGCCTAAATCTTCAAAAGCAATTAATAGACATGAGGGGAATTGTGAAACGCCAGGATAGAAATGTTCAACGCATACCTACACTAATGACCAACAGACTTGACAATGGTAAGCTCTCCAAAAGCTCTATATGGATCACACTGGTATTATAAGTCATTAGTTCCTTTTCGCGTCCGTGATCACCTCCTTCCTACCAAGCTAGACATTGAAAGCATAGCAACACATTCAGATTTTCGACCCTGCATGGACACCCGTCTTCTACTGACCATCTTGATAATTCACATAACTTCTTTGAGGTCACTTGTGTGCGGCACAGCGGGCGTTGGTCGGGTTGCTTCCAAGAGTCGGTACTGAGAGTCGTCTCCATCAAAGTAACACCAGGACAACTGCGTGGTACGAGACCAGGGCTACTGTGTATCACATTTGAGGAAAACTGCTTCTGGACTACACATAGTAGGTGAAGGGATTTGTCAAATCAGGAACCTTCAGAATGAATTGACACCTTTTTCCGATTTTTTAAGCCGGGACAGATTAGATATAACTAGGGCCGTTTGTGCGGCATCGCTAGCGGTCGATGCATACGGGCAGGAGAATTCCGTATTATTGCGATACTGGACATCTTTTTCAGTTCCTAGGAATCGTCGCGACAGAACGTTCTGGGTGTAAAGTAGTAGGGCACCTTGTCATATGCTGCAGCGGGGTTCCATCTCCTCAAACGCTTCCTTATGGCACGGTTCAAGCACAAAAGTCTTCTCATCAACTAGGAAGAGGTTGTTCATTTGTACAACGAGATCTAAGTATCGACGAGCGCATTCAGCCAAAATTGACGCGAACAGGACCTCCATTCCTAAGGTAAGGACGTGATAGTTGAAGCTTGGCAGACCCGGAGTAGTCAGAATTGGTCTCTTCCGAGATCTCTACGGCATCTCGTAACCCAAAAATTGCTGAAACTAGAAGATTAATGCTGAAAGGATACTCGTTTGTCCCAGCGGGGAAAGTGGAAGCCGGTTCCCATGAGTCTTACCGAGGTGGCAGATGGAACTGAACACTTTGAACTTGCCAACATGCATGGCATCCAATGGGCGGCTGCGGGAAGGATGCGCATCTGTAAAAACATAACCGGCGCGGTCGCAAGATCTTTCCTTTCGCGTAGGCCATGAATATGTTGTTCGGCTTTCGATAATTTGCCGGCGATGTAATGAATCTGGATTCGACTAGGACCTGCTGTTTTAATTTCTGAAGGCTATTTCGCTTATTTTTCTTACTTGCCACCCTATGATGCGTCTTCAGGGTGACGAACGGAGTGGTGTAGAAGCAATTTAGCGACGTCACATATCAAAGCGTCAAACAAATCCGCCCCGGGGCACAACTTCCGCCAGTTCCAGAATCGCGTCAAAAACAAGTAAGTAGTTGAATCAAGAAAGTCGCAATCTCCGCTGCAAGGTCCTGGGTATCTATGTAAATCCCTCATGGGCAGTGCAAACACGAGACGAACCATCATCGGGCAGCGATCGTTTCATGACGGACAAGTTGGAAGGATGTTGCCGGACGCAATGTGGCTTGCAAGAAAGTCCAAGATTCATTCCTGACTGGACATTTTGAACTGAATCGTTTCTGTTCTTATATCGACCTCTTGTCCAACCGATGGGTCTTGGCCTCGGCACTACGATAGTGCCTTGCGAACCATGACTAGCTCCTCGTGGAATGATGCATCTCATTGGCTTGCCCCAACCGGCTCTTCCAACGGCTAAGGCTAACACCGTCCAACTAATGAACGCTACCGTTGGCCCAGCTCAAGAGCTGTAAGCTGGTTTGAGGCGAGAAAGCAATTGCGGAGAAACGATTGGCTCGCCACCGCAGGACACCGGTCAGCCTGTCTCTCAATCCTCCTCTTCCTCCCACCACCACCAACCTTCAATACGAGCTCTCAGTCCAAAGAGAACCTTATCAAATGTTTGTCGCGTGCCTTTGCCCAGCCTCGGTCCATTCAATGTGGGCTCAGCTTATCACCTGCACGACAAATCACATCGTCAGGGTTGTGTTCCCTCCAACTCACCAATAACCCCGGCCTCAATAGCTCGATGCGTCTTTAACCCGACATGAGCACCGTCCAACAGCTCGCCCGACCCGCACCCACATCAGACAGACGATTCGTTCCCGCCCAAAAAGCTTAACGAAAACAACACCTGCGGTAGCGCCAGGTCCAGAGATCAGCACCACACCGTCCACGGCCACCCCTGTCGCTTCCCCCGCGTCTTGCCCCGTATCGGAAGGCAACCCCGACCCCAGCTGGCCGGGGTAACTGCGGGGGAAAGTGGGCAACGGCCAAGATGGCTGGGCGAGGGACATAATCGTCGGCCAAATTTTGGATGTGTGTGGGTGGTGTGGGTGACATCCCTCCACCCGCGTCGTATTAGTGATGATATTCCCAATATTAGCATGACCTCATGCCGAAGAGCCGTCGGGCAAAACCACATGTGAAAGCGACTTTACCAGAGGAGAGAGAGATAGCTCCCGAGGAAGCTAGCTGTTGGACTGCTGCGAGGAGCAGCTGAGAAAGCGGGCGATCATTGGTGACCCCAAGCTCCAGTCATGTCCAAGCAACGACCCAAGCAAACAAAATAACGTGACTACCCTTGACCTCCCCGTTCCCACTCCTACCCTCTTTCTACGTGGGGTTTCTATCGATTCGAAGAGAAAGCTTGTCACCTTTTCACCTCCTGCATGCACTCAGCTCCCCCCGTCTCCTCCCAGAACGAATTGGACGCTGCATCTTCATGCTCACAACGACCCCTTGAAGCGTTTCTCGTTTCACCATCCCCCAACTCAGTCTCTATCACAATCGCTTAACCACCTCTTCTTGGGATAGAAAAGAAGAAAGACGCCTATCATGAAGAACGTTGTTGGAATTGTTGCCGGCGTGGTGTTCCTGGCGAGCGGTGCGGCCGCGGCGGAGAACTGCGCGAGCGTTGCCGTCACCGCGATCCCTTCCTGCGCGCAGAGCTGTTTCCTCGAGGGCGCGTCGTACGTTGGCTGCGATAGCCTCGACTTTGGATGCCAATGTGGGAAGGAAGCGGCGCTGTATGCTGCCATTGAGCCTTGTGTCGCGACCGGTTGTCCTGCCGCGTCATTCCAGGCTGTTATCAACGGTGCCTCGTCTGGTAAGTCGCGCTCTCTATTTCGTATCCGGATCAAAGCCCTTGTCCGTGTGGTGGTCTACGACAAGCTTTATGATCATTAATTTTAGTCACTTGCTGTGTCAACACTAACACTCATGTAGTTTGTGGTTGCGCCGGGGCAGGTGCAGGCGGCCAAACCGTCTCTGGCTCGTTCGTTTCGGCGATGTCCTCTCCCTCTGGCATTGGATCTACGTTGGCAACTGCGACCGCAAGCGCATCCGGCTCTGGTGGTGCTGGAGGCTCGTCTGCCTCAGCGACGCAAGGTGGTGGAGGAAACCCATGGAATCCGCCTGCCACGGTTAGCCCGATCTCAACTGCGTCCCCTGTCAACGCCGCCGGCCGCCAGTCGGACTTCAAGATCGGCCTGCTAGCCGCTATGGTCGGCGCGACAATATTCGCCGGAATCATGCCTTAGACCGACATGATGGGCGGGCGGAAGCTATTACGGATCTCAGAAGGGCTCATGATTTGGGATGGCTGAGGTTTAAGGTACTACGAGGGTACGACGTTGACGGTTTGGAAGTTTCTTCACATTCTACGATATTATTTGCACCACGATTCATGGACGGATATACCCAGAGGCCGGCGACCTACATACTCAGCCCGACTCTTCTTCTACCAACGACTACATCTATCGATCATCGGCACCGCCATGGTCCCGATTCGATTCGAGTTATGCAACGCCGCGGTCTTCCAAGACTTTCTGTTCCGCAGAGAGGTCATGCCAGATAGTTGTAGGCATGACGACCCAACCGGACGTTTGGATGGAGTTCGTTGCGGACGGGGTTAGTTGATTAATCCTAATTATAGAACAAGCATATTTCGAGCCATCGAACACGATTCCGGTTCATGCTCAGCAGAGCTTATCATGCGTTTTGCATCTGCGCAACATCACTCCTTCAATACTGGGATAGAAAGTTTAATACAATGCCGACCCTTGCAACTATATCTACAAGCCATTTGCATCTGGAACTAGCCCAAAGACCCGTATCCTGAATCGGCGGGATCACGCCCCGTCCCCTTTCCAATTCCCCATAAATCTTCCCCGAATGGGAAATTGCAGTTGAAGTGCCCGCCATCATCAAAGTTTATACCCGCGAAGAAGTTGTTGTCAAAAGCTACGGGTTCTTGGGATGGATTAATTGGCTCATCGGATTTCTCGCTTTTCCCCCCACTCTTCTGGAGGACGTATGCTTTCAAAGTCTCCGAAGATTCCTCTTGCACGATGGCAGCCAATTGCTTTTTGATCTTCTCCGAGAACACAGCCAACTCTTCTTGTAACCTGGAGAGGACCCTCGATGGCAAATTCCTTGTGAGGTAAACGTCGTATTCTGCAGGATCGAATATCGCTGCGAAGTTGTTTGTAACTTCTGAGGTCTCAAAGTCTAGAGTATCAGGTCAGCAACCTTGCTATTCCGATAATTGAAGAGTATGGCTCCTGCTTACACGGGCTTGGAATCGCATCAGCCAGAGTATCAGGAAATAGAATGAGATATATCTCCTTCCATCTCTCTTCAACCGAGCATCGGCTGCGCTTGTGGGTGATTTCATCCCACTGAGGTGAGGTCATGTAGCCCTTTTCGACTGGAGTATCCCTCAGAATACAAGGAGTTGGCAGTCTCATGTGATCCTGGAGCGACTTGTTTGACTTAAACTGGTCGCCGCATCTCTGGCACGTGTGCTCCTTAAAATGCCGTCTTTTGAGGTGTTCTCTTTGGTTATGAATTAGCCACATCTGGTCGGCAAACAACATACTAGTGGGAACATACTTCGTTCGATGCATGCCGTCAAATCCGGGACCGACGCACGTTCTCCATGTCGAATATTCTGTCGGGGAGTTTTTCATGAATGGGCAGGCGATCTTGGGCTTGTCAGTAGTTTCGAACTTTGGACGCTTCATCCTGGGATTATCCACGGGATCTTCTCCAGAATCGTCGCCATCATCGGGATTCACCTGTCGAGACCTTTTATTGCCATGACCGACGGTGTGGCGGGCGGTTGCTCGCGATCCTTCGTTGCTGTTTTGGGCTTTTCGTAAAGATTGACCTGAGGGGCTTGTCCGATCTCCTGCTTGTTGCCGCACACCAAGCCGCAAATCAATGAAGCGGCCAAAAAGCGATGTCAATCTCGCAAGCCCACAATCCGCATCATAGCGAGACATAATCGCAGCCGTAATACCGAATTCGGAGCTGTCTGTGCCTGAACTTGTCGATGATCCTGAGAAAGACTGAGTATCAAGCGAGGAGAGAGATCGAGACGTTCCATCGAGGTCTTCCTCATCTCCATTTGTCGAGCCGAGATCATTAGCGATATTCGTGACCCATTCGCCACAGAACCTATAATCCAAAGATACGGTCTCAAGCCCAAAGGCCGAGTGACCTGGCAGACTCTCAACAGCTGCCTTTGAGAGTGGAGCGTTGGTGATGCTCTGTGCCTCTTGGCTCCCGGAGATGCTGGTGCTGATTGCAGTGGCCTCGTCATGATTGCCTTGCTCTTCCATACCGACATTGCCAGCCTCGCTTGAAATCTCTGCCTCGTAGTCGCTGCCATATTCGCTGGGCTTCGTTTCATTACTCTGCCGACTGTTATCTCCAAATATTTGGAGAAATCCTGCTTGGGAGAGATAACCGGAATCTCTCTTAGCCCTTTTGGACCATGACCCAGAATACTGAAATTGTTTATCGTCCTCTGATTTCATTTTTGTCTCCTGTGTCTCCTCCGAGTGCTGGGTGTCTCGCATCATGGATTCCGTCGCGGAATCCACATCAATTTCATGACTGCAAAGCTTGCATAGTACCGATCTTAGGCTTTGCTCCTGCTGCCACTGGCGTTCCACAATGGGAACGGTGTAGGATTCGATCGAATGGGAGAGGTCGAAAGGTATTCCGAGCGTCAGAGCCTCTGCTGAGAACCTCTGTTCAACATCCGAATATTGTGTTGATGGCGGTGCTGTCCCATAATCCCCGCAAACCTGAAAGATTGGTGGACCAGCTGGGTTTTCGTGCCATAGAGTTTGCCAACGTGCGCAGCTGCCATCCCGAATTAGCCATGGTACCTTGGGCAACGAGCAGCGCCATGTACAATGAAGGCTCCGTCGAGCTTTGAGAAAATATGGATTCATCTTCGGAAGGTTGAGTATATATCGGGGCTGGTGCGGGATCTAAGCTAAAGGAGCAGAGTCAGTGTCGGGTCATGATCAGAGTGCAAGTTACCGTGTCCGTGCATGTGTAACCCCCCCCCCCCCCCCTGGCACTAAAGAAACAGGACGAAATACCTCATATCTGTCGATATTCCTCGTAACCCGGTGCCATTATAAGCTGGGTATCCGCTAATGGCGCTTGCGCTCGAAAGATATGCATCGACCTCTCGTGGAGGAGTTGAGGAAACGAGACTCATGATAGGTTGCTGGAACACACTGTGAGATCCCTGACACGAATGACGAATCGGTGAGAAGGAGATGGTTCGGTTCCAGGAATATAAAGATTCGCCTGCCGGCTGCAAGCAATAAATACGCGCGGTGTTCCAGTTCAATGGACGTTTCTCGCCCTTCTTGAACGCAAATGCGCAGGTCGCGGAGGCGTTCCTTCAAGTTTGATCAATTGCATCCCTCGTAAGACACTCCCCCATTGGGTCTGCTGCAAAAGTACAATTTTCTACCCTCTTGCAATGAGATTTTTGAGTGGAGCATGGCTTTTCATTGGCAGGTTGGGAGGCAAAGCGCCGCTAATGCCTCTCGTCATCGCCGAGTACACCCACCAGGAGGCATGATTCCTGTCTCGGGCTCGGCGAGGAATGTTTACTTGTCAGCCTCCAGTCTAAGCCCAGCATGCTCATTTGCGTTTCAGCAGCCACATCGATGTGTTGTTCACTCGTAGCCTGCCTGATTGAGACATCATCCCAGATCAACCCTTACTCCCTTGGAAGGGAGTAAGGCAGTCTTGTCAACAGCGTTACTGATGACGGTTGTTTGGCGAAGCCAGGGTGGGAGAATGGAGGCCAATTAATCGATTAGAGACATTTCAGTTGTTCCATGATATTCTTTTCAACCGCAACGCCCATTCCATTTTATCCTGTAGCAATGCAATGTCTCGCGGAATCTAGACGACATAATGTTGGGACTGACTCCTACATAGTTCTTCTACTCCGGTTCTCCATCGGCCCAAACAACAATATTCGCCGGCGGATCCTCCAACCCATTAAAGAACTCCACAATATCCTTATTACTATACCTCATACTGAAATGAATCAGTATAAATGTCGTCTTCGGCCACTTCCTTACCACCTTCTCCAAATCCTTCCACTTCGTATGCTTCGTCTTCTCCGCCTGCGCATCATGCTTATCATACAGAAAGCTACACTCCGTAATCACCACCGCAACCTCCTGCCGCAGCCACTCCGGCTCCGCAGCCAACGTCGTCGCCGTCCCATCCCCCAAAAACGCAAACACCGGCGTCGTCACCGGCGCCGTGATCTCCACGCCCGACTGCCGCAGCTTCTTGATCTCAGGGCCCGGCAGGGAAGTGTACTCGGGCTTGAGCTTGTGGTTCGTCGTGGAGAAGAGGTAGCCGACGCTCGGCACGTTGTGGTCGCACTTGAAGACGGAGACGGTCATGTTCTTGACCTTGCGCAGGGGCAGGGTGTCCCCCGGCTTGACGGGGATGGTGTTGTGCGTGCCGAGGAAGGCGCGCTCGCCTTCTGTCCTGCCGTCGGCGTCGATGCCTTGGCCGTCGACCTTGAGGCCGAGGGACTCGGCGTCGGCGCCGGTGTAGGTGCCCCCGCGGTTGAGGAGCGTTTTGGCGAGGACGTAGTCGTCGAAGAGTTTCCTGCACTCGGCGGGGAGGATGATGTCTGGGGGGTCTTCGCGTTTTGTGAAGGCTGGTGCGAGGAGCTGGCGTGGTAGTTAGCAAATAGGTTATGTGTGAGATGGTCTCGGGTAAACGAACGCAGTGGTCGCTATGTGTATGTGTCAGGACGATGTGTTTTGGTCTAAGATCGTTGACGACGAGGCCTGCGTCCAGCAGGAGGTTGAGTTGCGGAATGACGAAGCTCGTGTGCCATGCTGCCCGGGACTTGCCGATCAATGTGTACTGGTACGGCTTGGGGAAGTGCCACTCGAGAACCTCAGAGCGGGAGGACTGCGGTAAGGGCGTCGCGAATGAGAGAGCTGATTTTGCCATGGTGAGGATGGGTGAAGGTCTCTTGCAGCCTCCAGTTGGGGTTTTGGGGTAGGCTCAATCAGGATTCGGTTAGTTGTGACTGCCAGTCTAATCCAGACAACTACTAGTAGATTGAAGCAGTTGTTCTTTGAAGCTATATTGACCAAGGCCGGCTGATGTCTCTCAGTTTATGTTGTGATCTAAAATGGCGGCCTCAGTGACTCTTCATCCCTTGAGTGAGTCAAGCTGGCACTTCAGCCACCGTAGGTCGCGATATTGGGCCAACAGGTTGACCTCACAAACAGCAGCCGGCGCTTATCAAAGCTGATGGCATGGATCCAATGGCGGTCACTTTGGAGGTCGGACGGTGTGGCTGATGGTGTTTAGGCGCGTAGAGAGACAGTCACCGAGCAGAGGCAGATTTTTTGCTGATGTCATCTCTGCGTTTCTTAACGCCGACAGGCTTCGGCGTTAAGGCATCTTCCTCATTGCAAATCACGATCAATCATTGGCTGGCACTCTCCAAAGACACGAGAATGCCCAAGATGTGTCGCGGCCATTACTCAACACCACGGAAGTCTCATGCACAGTCATTTCAGAACCTCACTTCCGTCCGTTTTTGGCTATCTGCCGTGTTCAGCTGCTAAAAGGCAAATACGTGTGTTCCCATCTCCTATCAGACACCCAGCGTTAGGTAACGGCTTCGACCACCAAGCGCGCACTTGAATCCACGCCAAACCCAATTAGTTAATTTTACCCGACACCTTTTACCAGCGACACCGGTCCCGATCCTTGTCCCGAGCAAGGAACCCCACCCAAGATGCCGAAGGCCCGCCAGCAGACCGCGCGCTCCGGTCCCGGCGGTGGATGCGCCCTGCCACTTACCGTTTACCTCAAAGTAACACACCAACAGGGCGATAAGATAAAGATACCCGGGAGCTTATCGTGTCGCCCTTCCCCATCGAGCCTCTCGTCTCGTCTTTCCCCCCCGCCCGCCTTATTTGCCAATCAACCAATTCGAAGTTTTTCCTCAGTCTGTACTCCCCGCGTGGTCGCTTGGGCTAGCCTGAAGGTCCCTGGTTCCTCTTCCCAGCGGCCCAGAGAGACGGGCCAATTGGCCAGGCAATAGCTAATGCACGGCGTGTATGAGACGATCCCTATCTGGAGAGTCGAATGAGACCTGGCCCTCCAGCTGGGACTCCCCAAGTTCGCTCTGCGGAGAGCTCTTATCAGACACCAGGAATCTCCACCCTGCCTCTCCCAAATGACCTTATCGCTTCACTTCGGCTTACAACGCCTTTTGGTCATTGGATTGGCATGACGAGCCTCCCGTCCACGTCCCGAGAGTATCAGATGTTGGAATTGCCAGATCCGGCTGTCCGTGGCGGGACGAAGCCGCCATCACCCCGGCTCCCCGGTGAGGGGGCCTCAGTCTCGTTGCTGGTGTAGCTCCCCCAGATATAAGCTTTATCTAGAGCTCTCTCCAACCCTTCAGTCGCTTTGGTATCCTCATGGTTCTTCACTCTCTCGTGTCAATTCCCCTCCCCCTCACCTAATTGACACACGCGCAAGTTCACACAAACACCAACCATGGCTCCTCCGCACCCTCTAGATCCGCTCTCCGCCGCGGAGATCGAGAAGGCCATCGCCGCCGTCACCGCGGCGCATGGTGAGGTCTTCTTCAACGTCGTCTCCCTCCACGAGCCCCGCAAGGCCGAGATGACGGCCTTCCTCGCCTCGCCGACCACCGCCCCGCGCCCAGCCCGCATCGCAGACGTCGTCGTGATCGCAAAGGGCGGCAAGGTTTATGATGGTCTCGTCGACATCGCCTCGGGCGCAATCACAAAATGGGAGCTCATGGAGGGCGTCCAACCAATCGTGAGTATCCCTGCCCCCACACCATCTCATGCGCACCGCGACTAACACCCCCAACCCCAGATCACAATGGAAGAGCTCCAGATCGTCGAGCACATCTGCCGCACCGACGAGCGCGTCATCGAGCAGTGCGTCCTCTCCGGCGTCCCCCGCCACGAGATGCACAAGGTCTACTGCGACCCCTGGACCATCGGCTACGACGAGCGCCACGGCAACACCGTCCGCCTCCAGCAGGCCCTCATGTACTACCGCCCCGACCCGGACACCTGCCAGTACCAGTACCCCCTCGACTTCTGCCCCATCTACGACGCCGACAAGCAGGCCATCATCGCCATCGACGTCCCCAACGTCCGCCGGCCCCTCAGCAAGGCCGCCCCCATCGACTACACCCCGGCCGCCGTCCAGAAGCAGGGCGGCTACCGCACCGACCTCAAGCCCATCAACATCACCCAGCCGCAGGGCGTCTCCTTCGCCATGGCCGGCCGCGAGATATCCTGGCAGAACTGGAACTTCCACATCGGCTTCAACTACCGCGAGGGCATCGTCCTCAGCAACATCACCTACAACGACAAGGGCACCGTCCGCCCCATCTTCTACCGCCTCTCCCTCGCCGAGATGGTCGTTCCGTACGGCAACCCCGAGCACCCCCACCAGCGCAAGCACGCCTTCGACCTCGGCGAGTACGGCGCCGGCTACATGACAAACTCCCTCGCCCTCGGCTGCGACTGCAAGGGCGCCATCCACTACCTCGACGCCGAGTTCCCCACCCGCAACGGCGCCGTCCGCACCATCAAGAACGCCATCTGCATCCACGAGGAGGACTCGGGCATCCTCTTCAAGCACACCGACTTCCGCGACGACTCCGTCATCGTCACCCGCGGCCGCAAGCTGATCATCCAGCAGATCTTCACCGCCGCAAACTACGAGTACGCAGTGCAGTGGATCTTCCACCAGGACGGCACCATCCAGCCCGAGATCAAGCTCACCGGCATCCTCAACACGTACGCCATGAACCCGGGCGAAGACACCAAGGGCTGGGGCACCCAGGTCTACCCCGGCGTCAACGCGCACAACCACCAGCATCTCTTCTGCCTGCGCATCGACCCCAACGTCGACGGCCCGCGGAATACCGTCTTCATGGTCGACGCCGTCCCCTCCGACGCGCCCGTCGGCTCGCCCGAGAACTTCTACGGCAACGCCTTCTCCGCGCGGCGCACCAAGCTCGCCACCACCGGCGAATCCCTCACAGACTACAACGGCGCCACCTCCCGCACCTGGGAGATCGCCAACACGGACAAACTCCACCCGTACTCCGGCAAGCCCGCCTCCTACAAGCTCGTCTCGCGCGAAGTGCCCGGGCTGCTGCCGAAAGAGGGCTCCCTGGTCTGGAAGCGCGCGGGCTTCGCGCGGCACGCGGTGATGGTGACCAAGTACCGCGACGACGAGCTGTGGCCGGCGGGCCGGCACGTGCCGCAGACCTCGGGCGAGCCGTCGCGCGGCATCCCGGAGTGGGTCGGCGACGGCAGCGAGAGCGTGGAGCAGGAGGACGTGGTGTTCTGGCACACGTTCGGGGTGACGCACATTCCCGCGCCCGAGGATTTCCCCATCATGCCCGTGGAGCCGATCACGTTGCTGCTGCGGCCGCGCAACTTCTTCGCGAATAACCCGGTGATGGACGTGCCGCCGAGTTATTGTAGTACGCCGAGCCAGGTTGCGAAGGGGCGGGAGGGGGTGGTGGATGCGACGGACCAGGTGAGCAAGCTTGCGTTTGAGGGGGAGTCGTGCTGTGCTGGGAAGAGCAAGTTGTGAGGCGTTGATGGGGAAGTTTTAGTTCACGTAATTAGTTGAGACATGTTTTTTATTTTGAATGAATATATTATCGTCTGAATAATTCAACTCATTCTTTGTAAGGCGTCCTGTGATCCGATGAGATCTAGGCGAAATCAGGGGTTCAGATGAGATGAACGTCACGCAAACTAAATCTACGGCCGCCATCTGAACGACGGATGCTTCCAGTCCAAATCATTCTCCTCCTCGGACGAAACGCCGCTCAGCTCCTCCTCCGCAACCCGCCCCTCGCGCCGGCGGTTGTCCCGGTTCATCCAGATCAGCGTCACCGTCGACAGCACCAAAATCGTGCTGATCGTCGCCAGGTTGAGCCCGTTGCCAATCTTGTAGTCCGGCGCATCCCACGGCAGGAACGCCCACGTGCTAACGAGCCCGCCGCAGTTGCCCAGCATCACGTTCGTGCCGATGGCCGCGCTGCGCGCCGTGTCGGAGACGACGTTCGCCGACGCCTGCGCGTTCGTGAGCGCGCCGAGCGCGAAGACCGACGAGGTGATGAGGAATGTGGCGCCGTAGCGCACCTTGAGCTCGTGGCTGGCGAGGAAGAGGATGTAGCCGACCATGGCGAGCGGGCAGGAGCAGATGAAGAAGATCTGGCGGCGGTCCATGCGCCAGCTGAGCCAGGGCAAGAGCACCGTGAAGAAGGCGCCGACGACGTAGGGCGGGACTGTGAAGAGCTGCTGGCGCTCGACGGAGGAGCCCGGGAAGATGCCCTTGACGATGGTGGGGAGGAAGAAGGCGAGCCCCTGGACGGTGACGTTATTGAGCAGGAAGACGAAGGCGGTGGAGAGCACGACGGGGTTGAAGATGCCGCGGCGCAGCTTGCGGGTGTCCATCTTGTCGAGGAGGTGCGCCTGGCCGACGCGCTCGGAGCGGACGCGGGCCTCGGCGAGCTCCTTCTCGGCGGCGGTGAGCCAGCGGGCGGAGGCAGGGCGGTCGGTCAGGGTGATGAAGCCTAGGAGGCCGAGGCCGATGGTGATGATGCCCTCGATGGCGAAGATCATGCGCCAGGTGTGCAGGCCGCCGAAGTGCGGGAGGCGGAGGATGGCGGAGGCGAGGAGGCCGCCAAAGGCGCCGGCGAGGGGGGCCATGACGATGTAGAGGGAGAGGCGGAAGGCCAGCTCGGAGCGGCGGTACCAGCGGGAGAGGTAGTAGGCGATACCCGGCATCATGCCTGGTCACGTCAGTTTTGCGATGTGATGGACGGATGTTGTGCGTTGTGCTTACCTGCTTCAAAGATTCCGAGAAGGAAACGGACGCCCATCGCCTGGGGGACTGTGTGCACAAAGGCTGTGCCGAGAGAGCAGATGCCAAAGAGCAGCGTGATGAGCGGGATAAACCATCCTGGGCCGACGAGCTTGCAGAGAATGTTTGAGGGAATTTCGAAAATGATGTAGGAGATGTAGAAGACGGATAGCGTGCCGTTGTAATCGTAGCCTTTCATGCCCAGGTCTGTCTCGAAGCCAGCGATACGGGCATTGCCTGAGGCGGGTTAGCTTGGCTGGCGGACGCAATCACGAGAAATAGACTAACCGATGTTGGCTCTGTCGATGAAGCAAAAAAGGTACAGCAGGCTGACGGTCGGGACGATGGCCAGGTCGATTTTGAGTCGGAGCTTCCGCTCGGCGGCCCGATCGTACACGAACTCCTCCGGATGGCTCCTGTGACGGTGTTAGTGGGATCCATCCGGGTGGTTGTAGCTTGCTGGCGGTGTTTACTTCTCCAGGTCCGGCCTCTTGAACTCCGAAGATATCGTCTGGCCCATGTTTGCGTTGATGTTGTCGATGTTCTCGACAACCGGCTTGTCGTTACTCATTTTGACGGGAAAGAGGGGGTCTCCTCCTCGGAGACCGTCTCTTGCAAGCGAAAATTCTCGGTTCTTGGCGGAGCGATCACGGCGGTGACCGGGGGCGGCAGCGCTGGTGGAGCTCGGAAATTCGGCTGGGAGGTGGTACGGCCTTACTCAACACCGAGAGATGGAGCAAAGCTGTTGTGTAATGAGAATGTGCAGAAAGGGAGCTCAGGGTCCACGAAGATGGAGCAAGATCTCGCAGGGACGTGTCGATGTTTCTATACTTCGCGGCCACAACCACAAACAACACCCCTGGTCGTCTTTTCCCCCAGATTTGGGTGTGAGTGGAGAGCGCCGTGGCGGCGCGGCGGCGTACCCCAGACGGCTTCTCCCACACGCAACGCGGGGTAAGAACATCCACCAGCCCGGGAGGCGTAGGTCATCAATTTGCATCGGATGCCAGCTCGGGAGACGTCCAAGGCCAATCCGATTGCATCGCATTTGGCCCACGCCCGAGCCCTGGCTAGTCGGCGTCCTCGTTTCCTCTCCCGTCTGAGCCAGTGAGGGTGGTGCTTTTGGTGATGACGTGGTAAGGGAACGGCAATGATCTGCCTAGACCGTTGCAACGGCCTCTGGGTTTCAGGGATGGCAGGATGCAGGTGTGATGAAATGAAGACGGCGGGTGTTTGTTTACGCGTTTCTTCTCCTGTGATTGAGCTGCAGCAGCATTGTTGAATGTGACACCGATGCTTCTGAAGACTGGAGCGCTGATAAGCAAAATGCGACAGACAAGCTGCACATTCTGAAAGGAGAAGCTCGCAATAGACTTTTCGCTTTTTGATGCTGTCTTGCAAACGGGATTGCGGCGTCCTCGCACATTGGACTAGCCAATGCTCGGCGCGACTGTGGAGGAATGCAGATCGGAATCCATTCCCTTTTCTCGTTTCGGGATGAAAAGTCGGCACTCGACATCGGCAACCGGCGCACCGTTGGTGCTTGAGGTTCATCTGCCTTTATCCGATGGGATGGTCCAGGCCAGAGCTCCCAAGGGTGGCAGCCATTTGTGCTTGATGCCGGGGGTGGCCAGGGAAGCTGTAGCTCGGTCCTCCAATAAGACACCCTCCAGCAGCACCCATCCTGAGGACGAAATGCTCAAGGGCACACATGTCAACTGCCACATTGCAGCCGCAGGATCAACAGCCTTGAAGCCAAGTCTCGATGTTGGCGATAGCTTGTCGGTGGGAATGCGGTCGCGGCCAGCTCCAGACGGAGGCACACGCCGAATTCGAGACATATCTCCGGGTTTTCCGGCTGCGCGTGTCCAAGTCTGACGTCCGAATGCTTCCTTCTGCAGGTTGAGTCGAGTCAAGTCTCAGCTGCCTAGATGGTCGACCTGGAGTGCGTGTGTTTCTTGGGGCCGGCTTTCCCGCGCGCTGTTCGGCCGGTTGCGGTGTCTCAGTGGAGCAACGGAGGGGTCTGAGGGTCCGGGATATCCGATCCGGGCAGATTTATAATAATCTCAGGGCACCGTCGCAATCCCCTACAAATGCAAGTCGAGCCTCTCAAAAATGACATCTCGAACTGTTGAAAGATGCGATGGAATGGTAGCAGATGGCCCCTCGCAAAAGCCCCATATCGGTGTGACAGCCCTCGGACCGATTTGGATGCTGTCGCAATGTTGCTGCTTCAGGGAAGGGACGGAGGGAGGGCAACGGCGGCACTTGCCGTGATGCGAGGTTCATAAACCTGGGCCAGATACAAGCAGCCGTCGAGTTACAGGCCTCTTTTCGTCCTCGGGTGCATCGCGGCTTCTTGCCTCGTCTGGGACGTTCCTTTCGGCCGATGCTTCTTGTGCTCTGGGGCTCTCGGAGTTGTGCAGGTGCCCCGCGGACCATGCTGCCTCGGAAAGGTGTCGCCCGGAACTCGTAACTCGGAATATCGTAATCAAGCCGTGGGACAGGCGTCGACCGGATGGAGGTAAGCTTAACGGCGGCAGCACGTGGAGGCGGCCCGCGTCGTTGGGCTGGGGCCGTCACACGGATCCGTCAGGCCGTATTTCTCGGGGGCCTCGATGTGCCATCAGAGTAGGCATGTTGTGTGGTCGATGGCAGCGATAGGAAGTCCCAAGAACCAGTTCAAACCCGTGTTTGTGCTCCCTGGTTCTCGCAAAAGGTGGCTGTTGACGATCATCGAGACAGACCAATGCGACGTGGTTTGATTCTTCGATGGCCTGCTGGTGCTTTAGCAGGCGTCGTAAGGCTTGACTCGGACACCCGCGCAGGAAGGGTGCCCTGGTATTTTCGGTCGAACACGTCGAGAAAAACCTTAGGTCCAAGGTTTGGTGTTTGACACGAGAACCAGACGATGTTTGCTTCGGCCGGGAGCCCGGTGGTCAAGCCGGTCGACCTGGGGCAGACCCAGCGCTCAGTGGACACCATCAATGCCCAGGCCTGGATCCACTCTGTCGGCTCGTCACCACGTGCCCGCCAGTCGAGCCTGTTCTTATCTGTTATCGCAATTACCTAAGCAGATAGCCGAGAAAGATAACGCACTCCAGCGTTTCTACCATCGAGGTACGTAATGCACGGTCGTCCACTGAGGTACCTCAGCTTATTCGAGATCGGTTCTCCTCTCTCCTTCTCTTCCTACCTAAGTACGCGCAAATGGCATTTGTCCAGTGTTTTTTTCCAATCCAATCCACACTTCCAATTCCATCGCCAACAGAGTCATGACGCACATATCAGCCGTTCCAGCCGATTGGAATCGGTTTGGAATTGACAGCCTGCACCGCCGTCGCTGGCACACGGCCACACCTCGAGCACAATGCCAAAATCACAAGCATAATGCCACAAATACACCATCGCCTAGAATAGGAACACCCCGGCACCAAGAGCCGCCAGTCGTCCAATAGGGCCGCCATCGGGCACACAACGTCGCTTCCTCGGTGGAGATTCGCAATCAACCTAGGGCTCCTACGCGTCCCAGGGCTTCCTCAGGCCCTTCCTGCGGCTTCCAAGTCCCCAGGCGCCTCAGAACCCCCCATGCCCGGGTCTTATCGCTGCCGCTGCTAAGACGCTGCCGCCCTGCGTGCTGCGTGCTGCTTGGTAGGGGGGCCGTAGCCTGGTTGGGCGATGGACGCAGCGCACTGACTGGAGGCAGACTCGGTGCCCGACGTCATCGAGCATGGTGGCGGTCAAGTCCATCCCCGCTCGCCAGAGAGCTCAACAACGCACGCTGGCCGGCGCAGCTGCAGCAACAGTGAGGCGGCCGCACTGTGACGACAGCGCGACAGATTCCAGTGTCGAGAAGCATTCCGCGGTTGAGGCTGAGGTGAAGAGGCCACGAAAGGGAGGGAGGGACAGATGAGACGCGTTGCGAGGCCACCAGAAAGAAGCAGACGCTGAGGGCGACGGACGAGACGTCCCGCGGTCCAAAAGTCCAGACGAGACAACTGACAGCCCACCCTCGCCAAACCCGCCGTCAAACGAGAGAATTAACCTCTTTCCGCCCATCCATCCGCCGACCGGCATCCCCAGCATCCCCCATTCTCCGTCGATCTGTTCAAGCCCAACAACGGGGTCGTGGTCCATGGATCACCCGGGGGCGATGGGCGAAGATTTCACCCTCATTTCAGTCTCTTTCCCCGTCGATGGCTGCCCAAGCGGCGACTGTCAGGTTCGAATCGCGAACAAAAGCGGGTTAATCAACTGAGGCTAAAGGACGCGGTGGACCGGGTCTGGAATGGTCAAAGGCTGGAATGGAAGCGAAAGGCAACGACACGGGCCTTGGTGGGCTGCTGTCTGCAAGGAGTAGCCTTGTTGCTGCAGCCCCCGACTTCCCACCAAGTTTGGACGACGGTCGCTACGGCTCGATATGGCGCTGATGGCTGCTGTTAAGGCCCGGCAATCACTGCCCCTCTGTGCGGTGATGGCATTTCACGAACCAGAGCTTGTCTGACGATGAAACAGGCTTTGCTTCTCGAGTTCGGACGCAGATTCGCATCCTAATTGGTGTCTGTTTGCGGCATGCGGGAGAGCAACGGTCCATCCCTCGTTGGCAGCTCTAACAGCCGGCATCTCTGCCCTACCACCCGTTCTTCCCACCACCAAGTTGCACCATCCAGACGCCAGACGCCAGACGAGCCGGGATCATCGCTTCAACGAGGCATCACCAACACCCACCATCCTCCCCGCTGCCACCGGCGTCGATTTTCCAAAGCAGCCCCTGCCCCGGCTTCCGTCGTCAAAAAGCCTGCTTTGGCTCTCCACCAAGAATCTCCGTCGTGCCCAAAGACTAAATCTACAATTACAAAAACGCTTCAGCTCGCCCAGCCCCCTTCTTTTTCTCGAATGATCTCTTCTCTCAAGGACCCTAAAAGCGACCATAAGGCTGTCATCTCTCCCACCCCAGGAGCAGCAGTAACAGCAGCAACAGCAACAGCAGCAGTTCGAAAGACTCTTGTCGTCCAGTACGAGGGAGCAGCGTCGAGACCCAGGACCGTCCATCATCGGGTCTAGGTCACAGGTCCAGTTCGGTGAGGTCAGCTGGCATACTCGTGGGCTTTTCCTGGCCTTGCATCGACTTCTCATAGGCCGGCTACCACCCGCGTCTACCACCACACGAGGCGACTCTTGCTGGAACACCCAGTCATCCAGCCAGTCCCGTCGGTCTTGCATCACATCACCCGTTATCGAGCCCCATCGCTCGTCGGTCATCGGCCCAGCCAGCCAAAGGGGTCTCTCTGCCTCCCCCCGCGCCTCTCGCTCATCGCCGGAAACTCGCACTGCCACTGTTACAGTGTCGCAGCATCTGGACCCTTGGCCTTAAAGCAACTACGGTACTCGCACGCCACGCAACGCAGGGCGGCACCGGTACACTATTCCATTATCCAATCCATACCCACACTGGACCACTGAACAAGGCGGGTCAACGATCTTCACCGACACTACCAGCGCTATTCGCCCGGCTCGCTCGCGTTAGAGGGAACATTCCACCACTACGCAGCACACATTATCCCGCTTTTCCCCCTCTTCTCTCGCTCTTTCTCCCTTTTGAAGTGTCGTCATCGCTCTGAAATCTGGGATCCCGCAACACGAGCACTCACTCAGCATTTCTCCCGGATTCACCACCACGAACTTCTGTCATCATCCGACCATTCCACCGCCTAAAGGACACCGTCAGTAAACACCCGGTCCTCCTCTAGCGACAACCACGTTTTTCCTGCGAATTTTGTGATACCCTAACCCGACTTTATTTCGTCTCCAAATCCACCCATACACACGTTTCAACTGCCCACAATGGCCGGCCGCGCTGAACGCTGGGACCGCGACCGCTTCATGTACGAGCGGGAGCGTGACCGCAACTACGGAGACGACCGCCGCTTTTTCGATGAACGCAGCCGCTTTGAGGAGCGCGACGACTACAGAGATTACCCGCCCCCTCGCCGTGGCAGGGAACACTCCGATGAGCGTTACGACCGTAGCGAACGTGGATCCCGCCGCGGCGGCTACGACGAGGAAATCGTTCGGGACCGCCGCTACTATGAAGAGGATCGTTACGCTCCTGGACCCCCTGGACCTGGACCTCGCCGTGGTGAGCCTTTTGATCGCGAATTCGATCGTCGTCTGCACCTTGAAAGAGAGCGCCGCAGCCCTTCTCCCATCCGCCGCCCGACTATGGTCCGCCGTCAATCATCCCTCGACACTTACGACCGCAAACCCCTCCCTCGCTTCTGGGAGGAGCACCGTGAGGAGTATCCGGTTCCTGTCCGCAGAGAAGACATCCGCCGCGAGGACTACAGGGCGCCGCCTTACGTCCCCATCCCGCTGCCCCGCAGCCGTCAGCTCGCTTCTGCACCTTCCCAGCGCTACGAGGAAATCCAGATTGCCGAGCCAGGCTTTTACGGCGATGAGGAATACAGGGACATGCCCGAGCGAGTGAAGGAGCGCGAGGTCGTACGGTCGCGCAGACGCAGAGACCGCAGCAGAGAGTCCAAGGTCTCGAGATCCACCAGGACAAAGTCACACAGAAGCAGCTCCAGGTCCAGCAGCACCTCCAGCAGGTCGACCAGCACCAGCGGTGCCACAACCATCCGCAGCGAGTACCCGAAGAAGGGCAAGACTCGTATTCCTGCCCGCCTCGTTTCCAAGAGGGCCCTCATCGACTTGGGATACCCCTACCTCGAGGAGGTGAGTTTCTTTGTGCCGCTCACCGCATCAAACAGCCGACTAACGCCTGCAGGGTAACACCGTCATCGTTCTCAAGGCCCTCGGCCAGGACAACATCGATGAACTCCTCAAGTTGAGTGAGGAGTACAAGCAGAGTCAGTATTCTCATTTCAAAGTTCGTTGCACCTTTCTGACATGATGCAGGTGAGATGGAAATTGCCGCAGCTCGCTCTTCCGCCGGCAGAATCGAGGAGCGCCACGAAGAAATCTACACCATTCCCCCACCCGTAGCCGCGCTCCCGCCGCCTCCGCCCGCCTCTGTCCACGCTCCTCCCCCACCACCCCCCGTTGTAGTAGCACCCAGCGCGCCTCCCACAGTGATCGCTGCTCCAGCACCGCCGCCGCCCGCCCCCGTGGTTGTTGAGGCGCCGCCGCCACCACCCCTAGCCCCCGTCGAGGAGGTTTATGAGAGGAAGAAGACAACGATCGTTCGTGACGTCTCGCCTGCCCGCTCGTACACTACTACGACCTCAGGCACGACCGGCACCGTCTACGAGCGCCGTGAAATCAGCGAAGAAATCCCCATCGGACCCATGGCCATCGCCGAGCGCCGGCGCAGCCGCTCCCGCTCTCGCTCCCGTAAGAACATCCGCAGCGAGATCAAGGCCCTCGAGGCCGAGCTGCACGCACGCAAACACGGCCGCGCTCACTCCCACGGCCGCGAGCTTGTCCGCGCGGAGCAGATGCCCGACGGAGCCGTCGTGCTCTTCGAGGAGAAGGTCGAGAAGGTGGAGGAGCCGCGACGCGGGGTGCGGATTGAGAAGGACAAGAAAGGTAGGATGGCCATCAGCGTACCAAAGTACTACTAAGGTGCGCGTCATCTGTTGTACACCGGCGTCTTGTCGCAAAACATGTGGACTGACAATGGTCTCTTCAACAGGTCCTCCCCCGAAGCTCATGCGCGCCATGCTGGCGACCCTCACGTAAGGGCGCCACTCACCGCCTCACTGCTTCGCGGCCTACGCAAATTGTATGAATATCACACAAGACGAGCTACAGACCTCATCTATGAAGAGACGGACCATTTTTGTTGCATTTATTTATACCGGAATCTGGGATCTGGCATGGCGATATCATACTACTATTATTACCCTATAGAAAAAAAGGACAATCGGTTTGGAATTTTGGACAGGATACATGTTTACGAGTATGGAACTTTTGGCGGCGAACCGACGCCCGGGCGGTTGCGATTGAGGGAAGGCCTGACGGGCTTTCCGCTTCGTCCAGGTGGATGAAGACCTCTTTCTAACACGTCTTATAATGAATTTACGATTTTAAATTTCACTTCTTGCTTAAAGAGACATCGATTGTGAGCGATTTTGCTGAGACCGAACCTTGAGTGAGATTTCACTTGAGTTCCGGCACATCTCAGGTGAGATTCGGTCTCACGTGAGACAGAGTGTACCTGTCCTAGCGGACCTACAGTGCATGGCGTGCGGAGATGTAGCCAATCAGTGCAGATGGACTGGAGGTACAAGGTAGTGTTGTTTAGTCGCACCCGGTGGGATAGATATCTGACCTCAAAAGACTTTCTTGTCATATATTCACGTCGCTACTGTTTCTCATTTCTCTAGTTTCCTTATCCGTATTGCTGCAACTCTGGCAACGCAATTCTCTAGTAGGCATGAGGGTATATCGGCTTGACCTTGTCCTCTGTGTGACTCTTGACACTGTTGCCGTCGCTGAGAGCTACTACGGCCGACTTTCCGAAGCTCTATCATCTCTCCCATATTTTCCGTTCTAGGAACCTGGTTCGGATCGCGTCCAGAGCCGTCGATCGACAGAGCCGAGGTACGACCTCACGCTGACGATTTAGCACTAATTTATCGTTAGCAGTTTCATGGTGGGAAGTCTGGGTGGGAGATCTTACGCAAGCACCGAACTGGATGTCAAAAGTCAGCAAATGGTCATCAGCATACGAAAAATTTGGCGGTTGGACTTACACCATGAGCATCACCTCCGCCCTTGTTCTTCAGCACATTCCCGCTGCTGTCGGTGACTGTGCAGCTTCCAGTCACGGTGGTGCACTGGCGGTGGACGGGGAAGCCGGCGGAAAGACCTGGGTCCTCGGTGATCCAGTCGGGGTAGGTACACTGCGACTTCAATCAGCAACCTAGTTTCTTCCAGTCCAGATTGGGCTTGGGGGTGGTGAGGCGTACGCAGTAAACATTCTGACCCTAGCCATAAGTTAGCACGGCGCTGTAGGAACTTTGGAGTGAGGGACTTACGTTTCCGCAGTCGTTGAGTTGCGGGACCTGGTCGGTGCCGTAGTTGCAGTACATGTTTGGGTTATTCCATTGGCCGCGGACGACGGCCAATGCGCCCAGGTATACGACGAATGAGATTGCACGGAGGGACATCTTGTGAGCTCGAGGTGTTTTGCGGATAAGAGAGATCAGGAGGGAGAGTTGCGCAACTCAGAAGGTCAAGAAAGCTCAGATCTTATATCGAGAGCAGACTTTTAAATATAGCAACCGGAGTTAGTTGCAAGCACATCGCAATGCTATTTCTCTATTTTACTTTCTTGGTTAATCACCTAGACTTTCTCATAGTTAGGCACAGCACAGCACTGATTCATGTTGTGGCAGGGTTCATGTTTGCAGATCATGCGGCGCGCCCAGAGCTTCTGGAAAACTACACATTAAGGAATACCCGCCTAGATAAGTATGTGCGTTTTCAGAAGGCAAAACACAAGCAGTTGCCCTCACTATAAGTTGACTCGGTCCTTGTCAGCAATATGATGAACGTGTTGCGGAATTCAGATCCTGAACATCCAATGGAGTAGTAGCCTGTCCCCTGAAAGCACCAACACGGCGTGCATTTTGTCTCCCGGAGTTGATCCAGAAGCAAGAGGTGTCAGACTGGTTGCTGAAAGAGCTTACTTGGTGTCAAAAGATCTAAAACCCCAAAGATGAAGACCGCAACATGATAAACCCCTCGAGAACGATCACTCCCCAGTGACCGCCCGGCAGCAAAGCCGAGCGCCCAAACGGAGACCTCCCCTCCGCGCACGTGACGTCCAATTTCCGTCCCGTCTCATCCCAGTCCACCCTCACTCTATTTTGCTTCAACGCTCCACACTCACCACTCTACCCCACACGCTGTGCGGTTCAATCGGCACCTGTTCGGACGACGGGGAAGGAGAACGATGCGATGAACCCCCCTTAACAGAAAGCTTCTCGCAAGTTGAGACAATCGTTGCCGTGTTTTTCACAGGACTGTATAACTCCCCGAGTTCAGGATGGAGAATGCAGCTCGCAGACGCAGGGCGCCGACATACCCACCCTGCCAGGGAAAAAAGAAACCTCCTTCGGAGCGCCATGCCGGCTCCTTTCCCAACGGAGCCCGTCCGAGCACCCCGGAGCCCACCGTACCCCCGATCGCTTGCTTCCGTGTAAATTGAGGGGGCCGCCATCTGGGGCGACGTGAGATGTAGATTAAACATTTCCCCCTTGGTGATATTCCTTTCCTCGTTTATTAATCCCCCAGTTTTCCCGTCGATCTTCTTGAGGCTATCGCCCATCCCACCGGCTTCTTTCGTTTTTTTCGTATCGATTTCGTATCGGACGCCGTTCGTTTTTATTTAGACATACATTCGTTTCTTTGAGGTCGTGTTTCATTGTGCTGGGTACACGATGAAGTCTCAAATCTTGACAACAGGGCTGCTCGCCGCGGGCGTGAGTGCCGCCGCGACGGAGAAGAGGGCTTGCAGCGCCACGGCAGAGTGGCCTGGCTTCGCCGGCATCAAGCACGCTTTCGTCTTGTAAGTCGGCCCCCATCAGTAGTTACACATTCTTGCCCGAAATACTGACCTCGCATACCACAGCGGTGACTCCTACTCCCAAACAGGCTTCAACACCTCCCTCGCGGCCCCCTCCGCCGCCAACCCGCTCGGCAACCCGTCCTACCCGGGCTGGACCTCGTGCAACGGGCCCAACTGGGTCGACTACCTCACCGTCAAGCACAACGCCTCGCTGCTGTACACGTACAACCTCGCCTACGGCGGCGCGACCGTCGACGCGGCGCTGGTCAAGCCGTACGCCGACACCGTCCTCACGCTCAAGGACCAGGTGTCCGGGCTCTTCAACACCTCGTACGCCGCGCGCACGGCGCCCGCGTGGACTGGCGCAGACACCATCTTCGCCTTCTGGATCGGCGTGAACGACATCGGCAACTCGTACTGGAACGGCGCCGACTCGACGGGCCCGCTGAACGACAAGATCGTCGGCGTGTATGAGGGCTTGGCCAAGGAGATCTGGGAGGCCGGCGGGCGGAACTTTGTGTGGTTGAGCGTGCCGCCTGTGGATCGCACGCCGATGCTGACTGCGGAGAGCGCGGACGCGCAGAAGCTTTGCAAGGAGGACGTGGCGGATTTCAACGGCAAGATTGCCGCGATGGCGAAGAACGCGACGGCGTGGGAGGGTGTGAATGCGTGGGTTGTGGATGCGAATGGGGTGTTTACGGGGGCGATTGAGGAGCCGGCGAAGTTTGCGAGTACGGCGGGGTTGAAGAATACGACGGCGTATTGCGAGGCGTATGAGAAGTAAGTTCTTTTAATCCTGAGATGAGATGAGGGATGGGATGCTAACTTGAGGGACAGCGGTACTGATGCGCAGGATACGCTTATTGCGAGCTGTGGGGTGCCCGTGAATGAGTATTTTTGGTTGAACACGCTGCATCCTACTTATCCCATCCACGATGCGGTTGCGGAGACGGTTGCGGATGCTTTGGTTGCAGGACCGAACGTTTGCTGAGGCTGAAAAAGGAAAGATTGAGATTCTTGTAGTTACTTTGACAGATGTGTACATACGGACAAAAAGGAATGGAGTGTTTGTCATTAGATTATGCGGTGTAACGAAAATAAGCTTGCTTGCAAGCTATCTCATGTCGACTGGGACTCGGCCCGAGAGGCAAATATGCAACCCGCCATTGTGGTACCCGACATTTCTCTCTATCAAGAGAAGTTCGAAAACGGCCGTATGGTCGATAGGAGTGGCCTCATTCTTCGCCTTACAATGCCAAATATGGCAGACGCGAGGTGGACCATGCCTCAAGAGTGATCACCAACACAGGCGAGGGACCTGGTCATGCGCACGCGGGGCGCATTGAGAAGCTGAACTTGGCATAGGACAACTTGAACTTGAAAAGCAGTGAATTGGTTAGACTATGGGCTTTATGGGTCCTTCGCCAGCTGCTACACTCGGTTGGAACGCTCTGTTGGTGGTCGATATCTTGTTGGGACCGGGGTTTGGATGGCACGATGGAAGGGCGAACCCATGAGGCCAGTAAATAAGACCCAACCAACGAGCCAAAGATACCCCCGGTGACACTCATGATAGCCCGAAAAGGTCTGAAGCCCCAGTCATATCCTTGCCACAATATGCAAGTGCATGGTCCGTTAGCAGTGCGGTCCTTCTTTGTCCATGTCGTGTTGTCTTGCCCCAGGCCACCAGCTTGGCCACCGCCGAAGTACATACTGAGGCCAACCCCCGTTAGAAGCCCCCCAACCCCATACCTGTCTGTTTGGCACCTTTACCCTCCCTCTCCTCGAGCTGTCGGCGCTTGTTCTCGAACCCGAGGGGAAAAGCCCCCAACTCGCTTCTTGTCGCGATGAGGGCCACCGCGGTTATTTACGTCCTCGTCGCCTGGGCGGTTCGCTGCGCCTTAACACAGGAGCTGGAAGACATCCCGTACTGCTCCCGGATTTGCTTCACAGTTGGAAACTCTGAGTGGTGCAGCCTCGGAAAGACATCGAACTGCGTTTGCAGACAAAGCATCGCCAGCTACTACCGCGGAAAGTTCAAGAGCTGTATAGAGAGTAGCTGCCCAGGAGACGTAACGTTCAAAGGTAGCTAGCAACCCCGTTTAACCCCCTCTAGCCATTATGAGATTGTAATTTGTCGCGCTGACAAGTCCTTGCAGAGGCCTATGCCGCCTTTGCGGCGTACTGCGTCGCAAATGACTGGATAGATGCCGCCTCAACAGCATTGGGCGAAGCAACGACGGTCACCATCGGACCAATCGTCATAGCCACACTGGCAACTATAGTAACAGGTTCTGGTGGTTCTACGGCGACTATCACATCGGAGATCACTGCAACAACAGGAGAAACTGGGTCATTTACGACAGGATCAGCGACAACTGCGAACCCCTCTACTGAACCGACGGCAGAAACGGCACCCACGACCGACGGGAGCGACAGCAACAATAACTCTTCTAATGCATTGTCAGTAGGTGCAAAGGCAGGTGTCGGAATAGGAGCTGCGCTTGCGGTGGCTTTGGTGGCTGTTATTCTGTTTATCTGGAAACGGAAACGGACGGCTGCGTCAACCGAAAAAGACGAGGAATCGTCAGTCCCAGAGCTCGATAATGGAGACGTCTCTAACAGACATGAACTGGACTCGAGCACCATAACTTCTGGGCTGGACAAAACGCACTCAACGGCATTCTCAAATCATCAAGGCATGGTTGAGTTGGACGCAACCACTGCGTTGATCAAAGGACAGACGAGGCTTGTTGAAGGCGAGGTCACGCCTCCAGTGGAACAAGGCGCAGTTTCGCCGGAGGCTGGATCCATGATCTCGCATCCTATACCGTCACTGCCCCCAGCAACGAATATAGCACAGCCTATGATTGGAGATTATATCAATTCCAACTCATCGGAACCGTCACTTCCGAGCACGGCGGAGTTGGAGCACCTGCTTCACGAGGAGCAGCTCTTGAGGCAGAGAAGGCGGACGTTAGAGCAGCTGCAACGGATACAAGAGGATGAACTTGCTTTGGGAGAGCGTATAAGGTTGCTGAGACAGAGGCATAGTGGCCAATCAGCAGAAGGTGGGGGATAATGTCGACGTTGGGAGGTTTGTACCCGCGCGGTGGTCCACACCAACATCACATTGAGACTGAAGTCCTTCTGAGATTCTTGAATAAGTGCTTATGGCATCAGCGCCGTGGAAATTTCATGCTGGGTGGTGGAGGCAACTTGTGAGGGCGAGGCAACCATTTCGAAGATGGTTATTAATATTTGACTGATGACGTGGACACGGTGATGATGAAAGCTACAGGAAGTTGCCACTACTTGTACATAATTGATATTAACATGTTGCGTTCGTATTACTGTAAGTAATAATACCATGGAACGTTTGGTCAATCATATACCACCAAGGTCTTTTCCTGCCTACTTCAAGTTCCCCTTTAGTCCCGCACGCCGCGCACTCACGAATCCCTCAGTGCGCGGGACTGTAATATTAGCCCCTTCCTTAATCTCTTTTTGGTATATTATCACCTAAAAGTGGTTTAAATAGCAGCCAAGGCCACATCATTTGACAGGTTGCCGAAGACATTTCCGGTGTCAGCTTAGTTGACTCAAGGGACGCTTTCGCCATTCCAAATAGTCCCAAAAGCAGACTTTGGGCTCATTAGCACACTAGAGAAGTTCAACTTGTCATTTGGCACGTCGAACACATACTCAAATCACACTCCGGGACTGGGCGGAGCATTCAAGTTAGTGGTTGACATCTCGTTGGGACCGGGGTTTGAATGGCCCGATGGGTAGGCGGACTCCATGAGACCTGAAAATGGACCTGACCAACGGACCAAACAAAAGACCGACCACATTCTTATGATTGCTTGAAGTCTCATAGGTCTAATGAACCCTTGTATTCTCATGGATAAATGCATGTTCCGTTGGCTGCACCGCCAGTCCCGCTCGTGTTTCTTGCCCCCATGCAGCAGGCCACAACTTTGGCCCCCGCCAGGATACATACCTAGCACAGCGCCATTTCGACTCACTCTCTTTGTACCTCCTCTGTCTTGTTTATTTCGCCCCCTAGTCTGTGCGCCTGCTCATTGTTGGCGCATCTGCTTGCAGCAACTTGATGCTTGAGCTACACGCTCAGCTGTATCAGACCTCTTGAGTCTCATCCCTCCGTCCCCAATGAAGGCCTTCCTTTTCACCGCCGCGCTAGCCATACGCTTTGCCAGCGCGGTCAATGGAACGACATGGCGGACCAAAATGCCATACTGCGCGCAATACTGCTTCGTGACTGGCGGCGATTCCTTGACAGACTGTCAACTGGGACTTGATGACGAGTGCATATGCACTGAAAGTACGGATGACGTCCTGCGTGCGGTTATGAAGACATGCGTTGAAATCAAGTGTAAGCGATTCAACCGAAAGTTTCCAGGTCAGTTATCATCCACATGACTGGCTCTTGGAGTTAAAGTCATTGCATTTCGTTGGTCGAGTACCTATGGATGATTGAGCTCACAAGCCCAGGGGATATTTGGCCTATTTTTGCCGAATTTTGCGTCGCAGAAGGCTACCTCGATTCTTCCGAAACAGCGCTGCCTAGTAGTATGACAGCTACAGCCGATCCGTCAACCGTTACATCGGCGATAATGACAAACACTCCATCAACTACAACATCTGGAATAAACACGACGGAACCGACAAGCCCCGCCGCAGAGTCCAATTCTTCAGGCGGCAATGATGTTGACGCCTCCTCTTCGAATAGGCTTTCTCCAGCTGCGAAGGCAGGCATTGCGATCGGGGCTACTCTGCCCATGATAGTAGGCGCCGTATTACTCGCTCTATGGCGCAAGAGAAGCAAAGGAATATCGCCTGACAAGGATGGAGAGACCGCTATGCCAGAGCTTGGGAGCGGCGACAACGCCAACAGACATGAGCTGGGCCCTGAAGCAAAGCTGTTCGGGACGGGCAGCACAGCGGTAGCAGAGCTTGAGAGTGGGCATGTCATGGCGGAGCTAGACGGACCCTCATGCCTCGTCTACGGCGCGGAAACGAATAATACGGTGGACGAAACTAGAACAACGGCTGAGCTAGATGGCACGTCACCAGGGCCAGAATCTTCCACTCGTTCGCCAAGATCACCTGCGGACCCTGGAGGGAATGCTGCCCGAGCACCCGCGCGAGAACATTGCGAATCCAATAGTTCAACCTCGCTATCACCGAATGCTGGCGAGGGTGAACGACTGCTTTGTGAGGACAGAGGATCGGGGGAGGGGGCACCAGCTGAGGAGGAGTTGCAACGTAAACCGGATGATGAAGTTGCTTTAAGGGGTCTTAAAGCAGAGGCAGAGTACCCAGTCGACGGGTGTTGGAGAGCGATAATTGTGTGGTGGAGTAGAAATGTTCACGAGCCCACTACTGCGCGGTGGGTTTTTGGTAATTGCTTGTTTCGGGCATCCTTTCAAGTTCCCCATGAGGATTTCCGCAGCTTCAATGGCACTGAATGCAGGAGCACGCCAATTGAAGTATACTTCCTCTCTTACTTTTGGCATGATCGTCAGCGACAAAACCGTGTTGCTTATCATATTCGACTCTAAAGAGGAGTCCAACTGCCCCTCTATAATTGAATAGGGCAGCTGCATGCAGCGGCGTCCGTCCGTCCTCACCTTGAACATCTACATCAATGGGGGCAAAGAATTCTGTTCTAGTTGCCAAGGACCCGAGAAAAGATGATAGAGCTTGTGAAACGATTCAAAATTAAGGGAAGCACATTGTTGAAAGATCTTAGAAAGGTATCAAAAAGTCCGAGGAGAAATCCAAAGGCTGGGCTGCGAGCTACTGGAGAGTCTCAGCATATATAATTATTTCCAAGTATGCCACCTTTCTATTCTCACTTAAAGCCGTTCTCTACTGGATCAACTCGATAAAGCTGTGGGGTTCATGTTCCCGACCAGCCTGTCAGCATCCAAAGAAGCCTGAGAGGGGATGCACACTTGGTTGGACTTGGTCGCTAAACAGGTCTCCATTGCAAGTCTGATAACTATAAAATGGCCCCTTCATCCACACCTCAAGCGGATTGCGGCTTTAACCTCTTGTGATACGGAACCAATGGCTTTCTCTCCCGGCTTTCATTCTGCCAAATACCGCTTCCAGTTATTTTCTTTTGGGTCCATCCGTTTGCGACCCATTTTCGTATTTTCCACTACGCCAACTGACTTTTCCCACTTGGGATTGTGCGTCCATTAGAAGTTTTGCCTGCGATTTCGCCGATCAAGACCGAAGTCGCATCATATCTCCTGGTAGACACATATCGGCAATCAGGTTACAATGACGGAACATGAATGCCGACTTCCGACAAAAGCCCAAAAGACCTCTCAATTTCAATCCAAGCACTGGAGAACCTCCAATCAGTTGATACGCCATGAAAAATAAAGGAAACGAGCCCACAGACTTACAGCCACGGGAGTTTTGCTTGAAAATACTGGAGAAACAACCAGACAATGAACTGCCAACCCGTGCATTCAACATCACGACGGGAAAGGTGGAAGTAACTTTTGGAAGGATGGGCAGGTACGCCACCGTCAGCTACGTTTGGAATCAATACGACGACGAGACGCTGAAAAGAGACTTACGGAGATGCTTGGAAAGTACGGGAATCCACCTGGCTTGGGTTGATAGATGGTGCATCAATCAGCAGAACGCTGCTGACAAGACTATCGAGATACCTAAAATGGCCCAGTACTACAAGCAGGCCGCCCTAGGATTGTGTCTTGTACCCGAGGTGGAGTGCCTGCCTGGCACATGGGGCGTCAAGGAAAGCAAAAAGAAAGGGACGGAAAAGATGATCGAGATAAGAACGAAAGTGGGCAACAGTCAATGGATGTCGCGGGTGTGGACATTTCAGGAGGCCGAACTGGGACCGAACCCTGTTCTTGCAAAAGACTGAGACCTTTGGCCGCTGCCAGCGTTGCTAGGGATGAGATGGGCAACGAAAACAGAGGTTGGAGGCGATGCAGATCCTTTTGGATACACCCTCACGATGGCATACAGGCAATCAGCAACGAGAGATCAATTTGGGTTTCAAGAAGCAGTCCAGGCCATAATTAGTATGGGAGGACGAGGAAATGAGACCAAACAAACACTTAGTAGCTTACTGGCCCGGACGATCTTCAGAGAATGCACGGTGGAAGTGGACAGGATATATGGGGTGCTTGCACTGGCTTCAGATGCGGCGCAGGCAAAGATTGACTATCAGCGAACACACGGCGAGGTGGTATCCGAATTAGTTGGAACGGGACTACTCCCGATTCATTTCATAGAGGGAGACTCACCAACACCAGCGGCACAGGGCAAAAGCTGGCGCACCACTTCATCGCGGACCTCGTTTAACGTGTCCACATGGCAGGGAGTTTTCTCGCAAATGCGCCAAGAAGGTTTACCAATAAATGGAAGGGAGGTGAGATACGATAAACGGGGACAGCTGAAATGGAAAGTTGGAAGGAGAAGATACATGGCGATGTCAGATGGCCCTTGGGAGGCTGGGGTGACATATTTGGTAGCCAACTTGTGCGGAAGAAGCCAGTGTGAGCAGACACAGCATTGCAAGTTTCTGGAGCAACCGACGTGGCTGGTTCTTACCGGCCAAAGAATGGGTAGTAATGCGTGGCACAAAACGAAAGCAGACCTGATAGAGACCAAGGATAGAAAGACACTAGGGTGGAAGACGAAGGACGAGCTAAAGGAATTGGTAGTAAAGTGAGAACTACTTGAAGGGCTCCCATGTGTGGTGATCAAACGGTACGGCTCACCAGGATAGCATGTTGCTGGAGAAGAAATATTGTCGTAGACACCAAAATAACCAGCTTTCGGCTTTTTCCCCATCATCTACCCCTCATCTGGATCTCTTGTATGACCTGGGCTTTTCGCTACTAGATCAATTATCTTGACGTATCTCGAATTTGTAGGGCACCGTTGAACACGTATCTGCTCCAACTTTCAAAAGCATGTGTAAGACATGGTTTAAAATGGAATTGTTCCAATTGTCAATTTGGCGTCGAATATGTGCGTATATATTTACAATCATATATGCCATGTGTAACAAGAAGTAAATACAAAATGAATTATGTCCACAGAATGTCCTATGTAGGTGAAAGAAAGCCCTATACCCCCTCGACAGGCACAATCACATGCCCGTCCTCCATTTACCAAAATTGCTTAGAAGCTGAGAGTCTGGCCAGCAGTGCCAACAACCTTGCTCTTGACGTTGGCCTTACCGTACAGAGTGAAGCTGTAGGGAATCTTGCTGGAGCCGAGGTCGCCCTTGGGAGCAGTGTTCTCACCACCACCGTAGGACATGTCGGAAACGGTAGCGTATCCAGTCTCCTTCGAGTCGGCAGACAGGATGACCTTCTTGCTAGAGTTCTCGAAAACGGACGACTCAACACGGACCTGGGCGCCCATGCGGGTGTTGACACCGGTGCTGCCGACTTTGTTATAGAAGTTGTTGTAGATGTGAACGGTGCCGAAGCGGACGGACGGGTTGCGCGAGTTAACGTTGTTCCAGTAGTTGTTGGCGTAGGTGACGTGGAGCTTGCCCTTATCGCTGGTGTTGGTGTCGACGTGGCCGATCAGGGAGGTCTTGTAGTGGTCGTGGATGTAGGAGTTGGAGATGGTGACCCAGTCGGAGCCCTTGGTGATATCGAGGAGGCCGTCGTAGTAGTCCTTTCCGTTGCTCATATCAGACGAGACATCGACGTGGTCGACCCAGACGTTGGTGGAGGACTCGATGCCGATGGCATCGCCGTAGGCCTCCTTGACCTTGGCAATGGCCAGGTTGCGAACGATCACGTTGGAGACGCCCTTGATGTAGAGGCCGGCACCGGTGATCTTGGAGCCCTTCTGGCCGACGATGGTCTTGTCGGAGGCGACGCGGACCTTGGCGTTGCCGGAGATGGAGCCCTTGACGACGATGTTGAGCTTGCCGCTCGACTCGGCGGCCTTGGTGAACTGGGCCAAGGTCGACACGGTGGTGGTGGAGCCGCCCTTGCCGCCGGTGGTTCCGCCGTTGGTGCTGGCGTAGCCGATGTTGCAGGACTCGGTGATGGAGGCGCGCTTGACGATGGCGGCGGTGGACTCCTCATCGACGGTGGGAGTAGGGGCGGCGGAGGCAACACCCAGGAGGGCGAGGTTGAGGACGTTGGTGAACTTCATTTTGAAAGAATCAAGGTAACTTGGTTGGATGAATGATGGAAGATTTGCAAGTGTTTGGTAGAACCCAGTTCTCAAGAAGAAGTGAAAATGTCGAAAGATTGATGCGAAAAAAGAGTGACGCTGGTTGAGAATGAAGCTCAAAAAAGACTTGACTCAGAAAGGATTGACACTGGTTTATATGTATCATGAAGCAATACGGCGAGATGTTGCTCGCGGGGCGTATGCTCCCCAACTCCACTCATCTCGAGTCCCGGCCAAGATGGTTAAGTCGGCAGTGAGGCGTTGGCATCGCGTTGGCATCATTTCCAGACCTGCATGCCGCTTGCCCCGTTAAAGAAACAATGGCGAGACCCACTGGCCTACCCAAATCGCTGGTTCATGCCCGCTTAGGATGCTGTCGACATTCACGCTAAACTTTGATTCTTTCTCCGCATTGTCTTAAGTGACAGGACAATTGCCGGCAGCTCGATGCAAGTTTTCACGATTGTGACAACGCAAGTTGGAGAGCAACGAGCACGATACGGGCTCGTCGGAGTCGTCAAGATGTTCAGCGACTGTCGTTCTCGGCAGAGCCTCATTGCCACGGCGCCAGGAGGAAACCAAATTAGCCCAAGACTTTTAACACCTCTTGGGTACTATATATCCCCGGCGGACTCACGGAGCCATTCCGTGGGTGACCCTCGTGAGGCTCGATCGGGTCGGTAACTCGCTCAAGCCTGACAGGGCTGATGCCCACGAGACTCTGTGATGGAAGTCTGCCCACGCCCCCTATTCGTGGGCATCGTATTTCACCGCACAGGAGAATCACCCTTAAATTTACGGTCAATGTCTGGACCAGAAGCCAAGCGTAGCTAAACCAAAGTAGGCTCTTGGTATTGGGGGACGTCGTACGAACAGGTAGGATCGTTTCAATGCCGGGGTAGGATACAGGAGTCTCAGCCGCGATCAGCCTGTCATGTTGGGTTTTGTAAATCCGCAAATCATCAACAAGCTTGGATGCCATCAGATCAACCTGCAGCATGCAAGGAGGGTGAAATCACTGCCTGGGCAGCTTCTCAAACCACAAACATTCATGTTTTACTTCAACCAAGAGGGAGAGCTTACAGGTGAGATGGAATGTGGAATACGTACGCAAGCATCTCCACTAAGGTACAAGGGCCGGCTTCACTACCGATCACGGTGCAGCCTCCGAGCCCCTCTCGTGAGGTTTATTCCCGAAAGATGGCATTCTGGTGCTTTCGGACTCCTGAAAGACCCATCTGATCCATGGGCCAAGCAACCTTATATTAACGCCAAGGCCAAGAGGGATCTTCGGCATCGTGGTCTTGGATCGCCAGGGCGTCTTGGCATGGCGGAGCGGAGCGGACCAATCTATCGTCCGTGTGAACCAAGGTCGCAACAGACTTATTGAGTTGTATTAATATGTCTTGATCTTATAAGGTTTCTTGCCGCCATCAGTGTTCGTTCAAAAATACCTAGTAAATTCCGGGCTTTGTCAAATTGTCAACTCACTTCTAACTCAGCTTCGAGATTACTCAACCGATGTTCCCAAACCGTGCTATAATCACCAACTATGCAACGCTTTCGTAAGAGGTCCAGTGCAGATATTTCACTATGTGGAACGGTGCTGTTCGATTTCAATGAATATGTAACGTCGACAAATGATCAAATTCCAGGTCGTGTATATCGACTCAAGCCTGAAGAAATATGTGCATTTGCTTATCGCAAAGGACTCATGAAAAATAGGACAGAGCTAGGTAAAAGAAGAATGAAGATGAAAGAAACATTTTATAACCCGAACCCTCTCTCTTTCTTTTTCATCTTGAAAATTGTTGGATCACGGTTCGAGAGGCGCTCATCTTCAAGAGTGGGCAGCGAAAGTGGGAGTCTCTGAAGTGGGCGCCGTAAGTGGGGGAACGCCGCATTCGTGACGACATTCGCCCGCTGAAACCCAACCCTTTCACTATCTCTCGTACGACCAAGTCAGTGGTGAATACCTTATTCAACAAAACAATCAAAAATATTCATCCTTCCAAAGAGAGTCAAACGGCAAATGTTTGAAGCCTGGTTCCTCGGTACCCAGAATAACGCGATTACGAGGCTGACTAATACCATTGAAGCTTACGGAATCACGAAAGGCAATGAAGCTTCCACCAGTGACTCAAGACACGTCTCCGCACGAGGGGTCGCGATACAAGAATCCCGCTTGGCCCTTGGCGAAAGCTCGAAGCTGTTCCCTGTAGAAACTATACCAGCAACCCATACAATCAAACAATCAAAATGGATCTCATGATATGCGGCACTTGCGGCGTCCAATTCGACAGCCACGCCGTCAAGTCATGCAAGATCTGCGATGACCCGCGCCAATACGTCGCTGAAGACGGGTGAGACTATCTCTACTACGAGTCAGTCCTCAATTCTAACCTGACAATGCACAAAAGCCAATGGTTCACCACCCTCCGCGAGCTCCAAGACTCCAAAGAGTACACAAACACCTTCACAAAGGACAAATTCAACTCCGCCGTCATCGCGATCCGCACCGAGCCCCAGCTCGCCATCGGCCAGCGCGCCTTCCTTCTCCGCTCGCCCGGCGGCAACGTCCTCTGGGACTGCATCACGTACATCGACGCCGACACGTTGCGGCGCGTCAAGGCGCTCGGCGGCCTCGACGCCATCGTCATCTCGCACCCGCACTACTTCTCGACCGCGCTGCACTGGGCCGAGGCCTTCGGGTGCAAGGTGTACGTGTCGGCCGAGGACGGCGAGTGGCTGACGCGCCGCGGCAAGGCGCACGAGCTGTGGGAGGCGAAGACGATGGAGTTCGTTGGCGGGGAGTTTCTGGTCGTCAAGGTGGGCGGGCATTTTCCCGGCAGCTCGGTGTTGTTGTGGAAGAGCGAGAAGAAGCTATTTGTGGCGGACTCGGTGATGGTGGTGCCCAGTGGGGTATATCATGTTGATCGGCCGAAAGGGACGGCGAGCTTTGCGTTTATGTGGTCGTATCCGAATATGGTGAGTGAAATTCGTGGGAGACGATTTGAAGATGAGTGACTGATGGGGAGTTTGTGCAGATTCCGCTCTCGCCTGATGATGTGCATGGAATCTGGAAGGCGATCTCTGCGCTGGATTTCGAGGATGCGCATAGTGCATTTCCCGGCCGCGATGCGAGGGGCGGTGCGAAGAAGCGGCTGCTAGAAAGTGCGCAGTTGTGCGTGAAGTTCATGGGATACGCTAATCATGCCATTCACTCCGAGAAAATTTGAGAAAGATGGGAATAGAATCGCTGCCGTGTTGACGGATCCCTCTTTCATGGCCATGTCGCAACTTTATCTAGCAAGACAGACTTATTCAGTTGCTGGTGCAGGAGGAGTAGTCCATGATCTACAATGACACAAGACAAGACATGAACATGCAAAGTTATATTCAATTTCATTACTGGGGGTATTCCTCGGATATCCTAACCTCATTGTTCACCATCCAGCAGCGCCTCTAAAATCCACCGGTACCTTCCAATCTCTTGATCGCCCCAACCAAGCCCTTCGCCCAGCTGAACCGCCCAGGATCAACTCCCGTCGCGCCATCCGCCTCTTTCCCATTCTCATCTCTCCAAACGCCATCATCCCTGTTCAGTGCTCCATACCGATGCGTGTTTTGGTTCCGCCTCAGACCGTCGATCCAGACCTTGCACACGTCGCGGCTCTCTAGCATGATGTTGACCTCTTGGCTGTGGAACCAACTCTGCGTATCCTGGTTGCCGGACCCGACAATGGCGATCGACTCGTCCACGATCATGAGTTTTACATGGCATGAGCGCTTCTTCTTCTCTGCGATGATGGGTTGTATCTGGTCTTTGCCAATGTACCAGGAGTAGTGGAGGTGCTGCCGCCCTTGAGGTGAGAGCTTCTCGTACATGTGGGCGGCGACCATCTCGTTGTGACCTCCTTGCATCGGCAACAGCTCGCCCTGAGTTGTATTAGCAATCATCCTCAATTCCAGCGCTCGTCTTCAAAACTCACAGCATCATTGTACCCAAGACAGACATACGCAAACACATCAACCCCCCGCTCGCACGCCTCAATCATAGCCGGCACCAGCGGCTCCGCATTCAACGTCGGCGTCTGGATAAACACGTTCTTCTCCGCATTGCGCAGCGCAGACAGCCACGCTGCGTTCTGCGGGTTGCCCACCGACTTGTGGTTCGGCGGCCCGTACGGCGGCCTGTTGACGAGCGCGATCGGGAACGGCTCGTGCGTGGGATGCGGGATGTACGGCGTCATCTCGTCGGCCGGGTCGCACTCGGGGGCGGTGCCCTTGAAGTCCTTGTTGATGGTGTGGTTGAGGTGCCGGCTGATGGCCTGCATTTGTGACTCGTTGGGTTTTGCGGAGACTGCGGCTTGTACGCGGGCGATTTCGCCGGCGATGTCGGTGTCGTAGTGCGGGTCTTCATGGGTGTGTTCGGGTAGAGAGCCGTTTGCTATTACTTCTGAAGCTGGTGCGGTTTGGGAGACTGAGTGCCCGTTTTGGGAAGCTTGGGTCGGGGGAATCGTGGTGGTCGTTCCGTTCGAACCGTTGGCCTCGCTAGGTGTGAGGATCTGGTCGGCGCCGGGGCCGTATGCAGCAGCACGCTGGGGTATCCGGGCCGGGTCAAGCACAACTCTGTGTCCCTTCAACGTCCCTTCGGGGGTGAAGATGGAGTCATGACTGAGTCCAAAGCTACCCAGCTCACCGAGCGCAGCTGGTCTATCTCTAGTCGGCAGAGGCGGATCAAGCTTCTTATGCCAAGTAAGCAGCGCCATATCATACAGACTATCAACAATCGGGCCCTCCACATGAACCATCATCTCCAGGTTATCGTTATCCTGGATATTATTGCTCTGCACCACGCCAATCTTGCGGTCCACAACCATGAACTTGGAGTGGAACGTGCCGAGCATGGGGTCGTGGTAGTTCATCACCTCCAAGTCGATGTTGGGAATCTCCGCCTTCAACGGCAGCCCGACGGCCTTGCCCGTGTACTCCTTCTCGGGGACGATGTAGTGCGGCTCGAACAGCTGCTTCGGGCTGCCGCGGTCGTAGAGCACCTTCATCGTGAGCCGGCTGCCGCGCTCGCCGGCGCGGCGGGAGGCTTCCTTCATGGCGTTGGTGATGTACTTTGACGCGGCGCCGTTTTGCCAGAAATTCGTCGCGAGGATGACTTCTTTCTCTGCTCGCACGATGAGGTTGGACATGTGTCTTACGATGTCGGGGATGCTGGTGATTGGTGAGCTCATGGTTGGAGTCAATTGAGTCAGGGGGGACTTACACTGAGAGGATGGTGAGCGGGGCGACGCCGCTGCTGCCAAGCAAGGGTGGACTCGCCATCCCGTGAGCGGGATTGTCGTTGAGTGTGCATAATGCATCGTGATACAACTTTTCACGGTTAGCGACGCAGAATTTGAGATGATGAATGTTATTGTTACTTACCCTCAAAAATAGCCTGCTTGGCCTTGTCGTCCCCCATTTCCCACACTTGAACGCGACTTCCAGCTCATCGTCGCTCACCTCTCCTTGCCCAATATCTCTAATATCCTTTGGCTCATGTGAATTGCTCTTGTAATGGGTGGCCAGCTTCTTCCACGCATGGCCAGGCTGCAGCGTGGGATCCTCAGCAAGAAATCCGGAGACGGTGTTGCTCGACGCGCAGAAGCTGGCAAGCGGCTCGCTCAGCGTGTGCGCATTCCGATACTCCGACTTCGTCCGTGCGTGAGGCATCGTCGATGGATCAGAAGAAGAAGAAGGAGAAGGTATCTTTTGGTCGGGGACTCTGGGGACTGAATAGGCACTGTAGGGGAATTGAAACACGGTCTGGTAGAGAACGTTGCCAAGCTTTGGCAGGCCGGTCTGGCCCGGGGAAGACATGTTTGCAGTTATACCTCAAAAGAACAGCAGTTCTCAGTATGTCACCATCAGACGCCAGCAAGAGTAAGTTGAATGGGTGTGGAGAAGGATAGCTTCGCCCAGAGATGCGTCGTCGTCAGTGAGGGCGAAAACTGGCCGTTCTAGGCGTTATGTAGGTGCCGTGCCAGCCGTGCGGCCCACGGGTGATGATGTAAGACGAGTAAGGTTTGACCAGACCACTGCCAACTAAAAATGTGGCCATCTGCGTCACTCCCCCCCTCCAACTACCAACTTGCCCCCAGACCGAGCTCAAGCAGACGTGCCGCGCATCCGATACACTAGCTGGCGAGGCCGTGCCGGCAGCCCGTGGCAGGGCGTGTTCCGAAGGAGGCTTGTAGGCATCGGTGCAGCCACAGTTGCAGCAGCGAGGAACGTGATTGTTTCTTGGGGGCTGGTGGTGATTGATGGCGCACGGCACTCGGCCCATGGAATGCGCACTTCACCAGTGCTGCTGTGGTGGCATTCTTTGGTCGCAACCGAAACCAGGACATGATCCCTGCGAGGGAGAATCCGTCCCGGCTGTCGCTGCCGGTCTTGCTCGTGGGGATGACGCACGACAACTCTAAAACAGAGACAAAGATGTAGGCTCGGCGTGGAGTTTAAATTAGCTAAACGCTTGCCCGAATTGATTTGCCGCGCAGTGCACTGTCGTCGGCCCGGTGCATTGGCCTGTGGCCCCGTTTTCCAGCGCATTTCCGTCTTCGGCGTCTCCGAGTGCTGCTCGCCCGTCAGAAGCCGCCAAGGCTCCACATCTCCGGCGCCGGCCAGTGCAGGCTCGGACGGGGCAGAAGCTCGGGGTAGAAGCCCGTCGCCGATGGGTTTGCTCCGGTGATGCGGCGACAAGTTCGGACAAATTGTCTGTCGCCGTAGCTCAAGGCCTCAACCATGGTTTCATGCAAGGGTCGTCGACTGCGAGCAAACTGCGTTCTTTTTCAGCAGCCTTTAGAACAACCGTGACTGGACACATGACTACGAACACTTTCAATTGAACGATAGCTCATTAGACCGGTTTGAATACTGTCTTCGATGAGGACAGGTTTGTGGCTTTTTCTCTCGTCCCTACCCAGATACTCCTTTCTTCATCGTTTGTGCCACGATACCCACGCCGCCGCACGACTCTTCACATCAGCAAAGAGCAATTCGGCGCATTCCTCGCGAAAATTCATAGGTAGACTTTCAGATGTCGACGACGTTAACGCAAGAGTTCCATCAAGAACGTTCGTGTAATTTTCCAATAGTGGAAGTCCTCGGAAAATCTACCGGATCTGGCAGCTCGGCACCATTGCCCCCATCTGTCAAAATCATGGATACCATGATAATGGATCTATCCGTTTGTGTTCCCGAAACTCAAATTGAGCCCTATGAGACCATCTATCAGACGCCTGTATAATACGCGCGACAGGCAAAATATCCGCCGGCATGGAATCCACCGGAGTGCTCCGCTAAAGCAACTCATCATCCTCGCAAAGACTTCCGCCGGAAAGCTTACCTTTTGATCGCAGGTCGGCTTACTCAGGGTGTAAGTATCGTGACACAGCTGTATGATAGCTTTATAAGCTCGATGCAAAGACACCCTCAACTTTTTCATCATATATTCCCGCGATCATCAACTCGTAAACAACCCTCATTAACTTGAAAACTAAGTCCCATTAACTTCAGTAACCATCTCCCAGGCCTATTCACCCAACCTGGTTTCCAAACTCAACGACCGCAACATCTTACACCACCAACAAACCAACATGCCTCGCCTCGCCTCAAAAGTCTGCATAATAACAGGCTCCTCCTCCGGCCTCGGCCGCGCCATAGCTCTAACCTACGCTGCCGAAGGCGCTCACATCGTCTGCGCAGATCTACAACCCACAGCCCGCGCCGAGGTCGAGTCCGAAGGAATCGCCAACACAGACGACCTCATCCGCCAGAACGGCGGCAGGGCCATCTTTGTAAAAACGGACATGACGAAACCCGAGCAAGTCCAGAATCTAGTCTCAAAATGTGTTGAGGAGTACGGCAGACTCGACGTGTAAGTCTTTCCCTCTCCCACCTCACAGCGCTGGGCCTAGGTTACCAACACCCCAAAAAGCCTCGTCAACAACGCCGGCATCTCCCTCGAAGCAGGCCGCCCGCCACTCGGCATCCACGAAACCCCCCTCGAGACCTGGAACGTCACAATGTCCGTCAACGCCACCTCCGTCTTCCTCGGCTGCAAATACGCCATCGCGCAGATGCTCACCCAGCCGCTGCTCCCCTCCGGCGACCGCGGCTGGATCGTCAACGTCTCGTCCATCTTCGGCCTCGTCGGCGGGCGGCACAACATTTCGTACGCGGCGTCCAAGGGCGCCGTGTCGAATCTGACGAGGCAGGTCGCGATGGACTATGCGGAGGCGAGGATCCATTGTAATGCGATTTGTCCGGGGTGTAAGTGCTTTCTGTCTTGTGTGGGCTGAGTGAGGCGACTGACGAAGGGGAGTAGATGTCAAGACTGCGATTTTCGTGAACACGGTCAAGACGCTTCATAGTCCGGAGGCGATTGCCAAGCAGCACCCTTTCCGCGGCGTGGGTACGCCGGAAGATATTGTTGGCGCGGCTGTGTTTTTGGCGAGTGATGACGCGAGATGGATTACTGGGATTTGCATGCCTGTGGACGGAGGCTATACCGCGCAGTAGACGATGATCTACGGACACGGCTCACTGAATGACGAGAACGATAAAGCATATAAATCGGAACTTTTAGCATTTACCGTTTGAAAATGTCACACTCTACACGTCTATTCCTCCCGTGAGCGTCCCTGATTCTCAATAGCCCATAGCTCGCCAAAACGGCTCCCCTCCGTCTCCACAAGCTTCCTCGGGCTGCCCGTCTCCACAACCCGCCCCTTATCCATCACAATAACCGCATCGAAAAAGTCCATCACCATATCCAGCCGATGCGAGACCATGACGATCGTGTACCTTCCAAACTCCTCCTTGATAATCTCCTGCATCAGCCGGTCCGTCGCGTGGTCGACGCTCGAGCTGACCTCGTCCAGCAGCAGGATACCACCGCTGCGCCGCTTGGAGCGCGCGTCCTTGACGCGGCGGCGGAGGATCGCGCGCCCGAGGCTGAAGAGCTGTTTCTGCCCCGCCGAGAGGCTGTCGGCGGTCATGCCCTCGTGCAGACCGCCGCGCTCCTCGACGAAGGTGGAGAGTTGGACGGTGCGTAGGACAGAGAGGCATTCTGCGTCCGTGGAGGCGTCGAAGGGGTCGAGATTGGATTTGATGGTTGTGCCGTCGGGGAGGAAGACGGCGTCTTGGGGTACGGCGATGATGCGTCGGCGGAGGGTGGCGCGGTCGATGCGGTGAAAGGGGGTGTTGTCCATTTCGATGTTTTGTGAACAGCTTGGGAGGGGGTCGAGGAGGCGGAGAAGCAGGAGAATGAGGGATGATTTGCCGCTGAGGTGTGTTAGTGGGTGGGTAATGTGATGGGAATCAGTTGACTTGCCTTCCTGTGCGGCCGCAGAGGGCGACCTTTTGACCAGGTTGGATGGAGAAGGTGAGGTCTTTGAGGGCTAGGCTTGGTGGGGTGCTGTCGCCATCGAGAGTCTTCCCTTGGTCATTGCTATAATTTCACGTTAGCTTGATTCAATGAGAAGGTGGGTTTAGCTTACTTATACGACGCTGAGACGCCCTTTAGCTCGATGCTGCCATTCTCCGGCCACTCCTCAGGGGGCTCAATGTCCTCACCCTCAAGACTCTCAGGCTTAACCCTTTCAGAAAATGTCTTGATACGAGCGACGGCGCCAATGGAGGTTTCCAATTGGGTGTAGAAACGAATGAGGTAAGCGATGGTCTCGCCCCACGACATGAGCGTGACCAGGGAAGCGCCAGTGAAGCCAGAGTTTGCCCTCAGTTGAGTAGCCAGGGCGACGAGAACGACGGCGATGCACGCGACCATGAGATGCATCGCCACGACAAGCCACTGCTGAATCATCGCAAGGAGGTACGCCGGACGTTGGGAGGTGTCGAGGAGGTACTGGTTGTGTGCAATATCCCTACCTGTCCAACCGAAGGCGCGGATTGTGGCAACTCCCTTGATGGTGTCGAGGAAGTGGGTGCTAGACTTGGTCAGCATATACGATAGTTAAAGGTGAGGCTTTTGCTGACTAAAGTGGACTCTTGGACTCTAGATCCAGTAGACGAAGCTGCCGCGAAGTCCTCAGATAGAACTTTTGGATGATCCAGCAAAGCCCGATGACGAATGGGTAGCTGATAGACATGTACGGCGACGCGACCGCAATAACTGCTCCCATCGCCACTGCATCAAAGCCGGAGATAACCGCATTGAGGAGGGCGTTGGGCAGCTCGTTGTCAATGAGGGTCATATCCTGCGAGAAGAGGTTGGTGACGACGCCAGAGTCCGTGTTGGTAAAGAAGCTGAGTGGAGCGTGGATGACCGTATGTAGAGCCTGTTGATGGAGGATAGTGCCTGAGGAGGAGGTCATCCAGATGATTTGGGCAACACCGGCAACCAAGAGCGAAAGAAGCTGCAGAACCTTGAAGAAACCGAACAAGCCAGCGTAGTAAGCGCTGCTCTTGTGGAGAGTGTCTTCCGTCCAAAACTTCATCCAGATCGTGGGGAAAGTGTTCCAGAGGGAGTAAAAAGCGCAGCCTACGACAAAGATGGTGACGGCGTAAAGATTGAGACTCCTGAAGTAGTGGACATAGACCTTGAAGTCTCCGGTCTGTCTCGACTTCTCCATCAACTCTGCAGCGACAGCTAGCGGGCGCTTGGGTTTCGAGGACGACGCTGCTTTTTCTTGATCGGCGGGGATGTCGCTGGAGACGGACTCCGTGTCGGAGTCTGTGCCGGTGACGCCAAGACTGGCAACGTACTTCTTGTCCTTCATCAGATCAGAGAATGTGCCCTCTTCGACCATCGTGCCATCTGCGCCGAGAGCAATGATGTGGTCGGCCAGGGGAAGATACTTGACAGCATGCGTGCACAGAACAGCCGTGGCTCGGCGGCGGCGAATGATGCCGTCCAGTCCGAAAACGCGGCGGAAGACTTCGCCGGCGGTATCATTGTCGAGGCCACTGAGGATGTCGTCGAAGATCATGAGATCGCAGTTGAGATAAAGAGCGCGAGCAAGAGAGACGCGCTGCTTTTGTCCGCCACTGAGCATGATGCCATTGCTTCCAATCTTCGTGTCGTCGCCATAGGGGAGTAGGAGAAGATCAGTCTGCAGCATGCACGCTTCAATGATCTCGTCATATCTCGCTTGTTTGAATGTGGAATAGCCGACGATATTGTCCTTGACGGATCCGTTGGATAGGAATGGAGTTTGCTCGCAGTATCCGATAGCTGCGTTCCGTGAGGGCACAGAGACGAGACCACTGCTGTGCGGCACCTCTCCGAGGAGAACTTTGCAGAGGGTAGACTTGCCAGATGCAACGGGGCCGACGACGATGGTAAGCTGAGATGACGGGATCGTGGCTGTGATGTCGCGAAGTACCATCTTGTCCGAAGTCCACCCAAAGCTGCCGTCCACGATGTAGATGGACGGGGTCGAACCCTTACTCTCGGAGCTCTGCCGTCTGTCCTTACCAACGGGGCTCAAAGGGATGCCCTCCGTGTCGTCTCCAAACGTGGTGTCTCCGGATGATCGGTCTATCGACGGGCGGGAAGACTGGCGGAAGTCAACACGAGAGTCCGCTTCGAGGAACTTCTGGATGCGGTCGAGACAGGTGAAGCCGGCGACGACGGCAGGGACCATCTGGAAAAGCTGGCCCAGCGGTGCATTGAGGAGGACCAAGAACGAGAATGATGTGAAGATTGTGGTGGTATCCAAGCGCGAGGCGGCGAAAGCAAAAGTAATTGCCGGGGAAATCATATTCGGTGCGAGCGCCGCGAGAGCAGTGATGATGAGCATCCATCGGAACTGGGTACCGTAGTGGATCTCTTCGACACGCATCTTCTGTACGAATTCGGCGACAGGCGATGTGATGCCCGAGATGCGCAAGTACTTCATGTTGGAAATGACGTTGGCGGTGAGACCAACGCGTTTTTGAATCTGTGCCATCCATCGAGCCTGGCGCTCACCAGTCACTTGGGCGACAAGGACCGTCACACCCGTGCAGACCAGAATGACGACAATAGGCGCGAGAAACGAGATACCCAGCTGGCGCTCCAACAGCCAGCAGCCGAGGGCAACTTCAATAAGATTGGCCCAAAATTCATGGAGCCCGTAGAAGCCGCGGATAATGCGCTCGGTGTCGGTGCTCATCAGCGTCACCGCGGCAGCATCCCCGGCAGCGGTGATGTCGGCCTCGGTCGTCTTCTTGTAGATGACCGCTGACAAGCAGCCGCGCGACATGTAAAGAGACCGTTGTGAGAAGTAGTTGTACAGCGCAGTTGAGACGGCGATACCAGTGTAGATCATGACAGCGGCACCGATGAGGCCATATCCAGTGCTTTTCGGCGCCTCGGGGTCCTGCAGGTATTCCAGCAGGGTCTGGATGAAGAAGGGCTGGCTGAAGTTGAATCCGATCAATGCGATTCTCGGCGCGACTGGAAGAAGTAGCGGGACTGCAAGAGCCTTGCCGAGAGCCCTCGCAAGACCATATTTCTGACCGCGATAGGTGCCTTTCTCCAGCTCCTGGTCCAGGGTGATTTGCATCGTCTCGGCAATCATGCCTTGGTCGAGGGAGTACAAGTCGCGGACTGAGAGGACGTTGCGGTATCCGTGAAGGAAGAGGCGATTGAGCCACCAGTATACTCCAAGACTGAAGAGGCCGCTCGTTTCCTCAGGGCTGTGCTCGCTTGCCGTCCACCGGATCCATCGCGTCTTTCTCTGTGCCTCGATGAGGAGGATCACAATCTTCACAACCAGCGACGCGGTGAAGAGCCTGGCGAAGAGTTGGGTTGAGAATGTCCTGGCCATCAGCCAGGACGTTCGAGTTTGAGCGATGTCGAACAGAATTTGGAGGAACACGTAGGCTGTCAACAAGATCGACGGCCTCGGGGCTCTTGAGTGCTCGGCGTAAGACAGGCCCAGCATGAACAAGGCTGCGACGAAAGCGAGAGCTGACGCTGACACGGCGAAGCCATCAACGCGCGAGCCATTGTTTGTTGTCTGAAGAACGAGAAGAACAAATTGGAGCGTCGCAAAGACGGTGATCGTTGCCTATATACCTTATTAGATTCTCACGTGAAGGTCATCCTTCATCGGTTTGTTCATCACGAACCAGTTTAATCGCCTGAATGCTTTTGGCGCCCACGATCCGCGGTTTCCTAGCCAAATATGCGATGCGGGGTAATGAAAGAGCAGCAAAGACGGCTGCAGGAATGATGGCTAGAAATATCCTCTCAAATCGGAGGGTGAAATCGAAGTTGCCTCGACACCCTTGGACGCCGGGCCCGAGGGAGTCGTCGTTGAGACACCTCGAGCTCATGGTGGGGTGTGCCTTGGCGCGACGGCCGCTAATGTAACTCTACCACGACCGTACCGGGCTCGTGGGATTCAGGGTCCAAGTCTGATTTGAACTCGCAGCTATACAGAAGGGCGAGGTGACTTGGCTCAACGATTGACAATTTAAAGACAAATTGACCTGGACCGAAGGAATGGAGTCAGCCGCGGAGGGGGCTTGTCAAATAAGCTTAATATTGATATCGGCGAGGATGGTACCGAGGATGACGGTGCTCGTTGACTCACGTATGTGAGTGCCAGGGAGGGACCCCGGGGGCGGAGGAACCGGCGGGACGAATCTCACGCGCGGTCTGTAATACCATGTTGACGAGGCCTGATCAACGTCGACATAAGTGCCGCTTGGCTGGGCCTCCCGGCTGCGCTTGTCCGGGCTGCAGAACTGTGGCGTCGCGGCCATTTAGAGTCGCAACAAAGACGCGCAATGCTGTTCACAGTAATTTTGCTGGAAGCAGAGCTCTTGGCAAGGGTACGCTGGCGGAGCTCGCAGGTCCAGACGTTGGCTCGAAATTCTATGTGAGTGGTTCGGCCGCGAGTCTGGCTTTTCGCTGCCAGCTGCAATGGATTGTGGCCCGGGACGAGTACCAACATAAGCGCGAGGACAGAATAGGAAGGTCGTTAGCCATGGGTTTGGCGAGTTGGAGAAGACGCTTCGGCGGGGTAGCATGGGAGTGCCTGTTCAGTCGAATGAGATCGGAGCGGTTCCGCTGATTAGGCAAACCGATGCGCCAGGATAGCAGTGTCGTTGGTGCCGGGACCCATGATAGCACGTAATGCGTCGAGAGGACTTCTCAGGCGGCTGAAAGCTTCGAGAGATCTCTTAGAGCATGTTCCTGGCCTCGACAAAGCTCCTTCATCTCGTAGACAACCCAATTTCCAGTGGTCTGTGATCGAGTACGATAAACATCCAGCGCGATTTGCCGCCTCCGTTTGAATCTCTCCGCTATCGTCCATCCCTAGTCGCCTAACACCAGAACTTCCTACCAGGATAATTGCGGCCGTCGTTGGCTCTGGAGGGGCCGCAACAAGGCAGCGACATATCCACTTTGCCGGAGTCTCCATGTCAGTCGGGTAATCTTCACGCCGTGTATGACCGGCGACCAGTTGTGATGAGCGAGTGTCATCGCTGACGAAGCCGACCCATTCGATAAAAAGAATGGGAGTCACACATGGGCGTGATGGGCAAACGGTGAAGGTCGACGCGTCTTCTCAGTGCGTCGGGTGGTTCTCTGGAAACGAAACTGCTGACGAGGCCGGCAACGTTCGCTTTTGAAATCATTAGGCGAGTCCCGATCGACGTTGGACTGGGACCCAGAGGGCTGGTATTCGGTAAGCCAGTCCGCGTTCTTTATGTTTCGATGGACGCTTCCAAACTTGTACCATGGGTCCCTGGGCTGGTCTTGTCTGTTGGGCCATTTTCAGTTGATTGGGGTGGTTAGGTGCTGGGCGCGGGTGATTGCGGATGATGAACAGTGGCCGGGAATTATCCGGAGCAACTGATGGGTTACATAAGCAGCAACGACAACACCGCCACAGCCATTCAACTCCAGCCTCGAGTTCTCTCCCGCAAGCCACACCTTCCTTCCCCACGTCCAACACCAAAATGGAGAGACCAAGTCCCCCGCACGTCACAGTGCTGTCAGCTGCAATCAGCTGGTCCATGTACAGCGCTACCTTTCCCTGCAGATTCTGTCCTAGCAGGAGGCACGGAACGCTGGGCACAGTGACAAGGCCCCGACCTTGGAAGTCTGGCAGCCCACATTGTGTCATTCTCCGGCCGGCACCGCTGTCGGAGTGGACGAACGGGGACGCTGCCACGCTGCCACCAGCCGCCAAGCGTCCGCCGTCAGACGATGCATGACAACCCGAGGCCGAGGCAGACACACGTCCAAAAAGCCAAGCATACGTGTTGGGCCGAGCTGATCTTTGCGTTGCGTTTTGAAGGTGGACTGATTTTTTTGAATCTGGATCTGGGCTTTTTTTAAAAAGGAAGCGGCAAACAGACAGTCGAAAAGCTTCCCCGACAGTTCTTCAAGCCAAAGCAGAAACACCGAGAGCCACCACATCAGTCATTCATCCGTACACCACGTCCGGGCGTTGATTCATCCCAGCTGCTAGGTTGAAAGGATTACGACCCCCGCTATCGTTGCAAATCAGACCGAGGACATCGTCAAAGACGCAGGAAGGAAGGGAGAATACGCACACACGACAGACGGGCCATCAAAGAAGCCTGACTCGACAAAGAGAGGAACACCACTCCTGGAAACCGCCAACTCGAAAGACAGCAACGAGCACATCCGCCCACCATGTGCATCGTCCTCCTCACCACCGCCCACCCGGACTACGCCCTCATCGTCATCGACAACCGCGACGAGTTCATCCTGCGTCCCACCTCCCGGCCGCACTGGTGGACCCATCCCTCGGGCGCCGCCGTCCTCTCCGCCCGCGACCTCCAGCGCGAGGAGAAGGGCACCTGGCTCGGCGTCACCAAGACCGGCCACCTCGCCGTGCTCACAAACTACCGCGAGACCGATCTCGGCGACGCCACCCACCCCATCCACGCCGCCCGCAGCCGCGGCGGCATGACCAACCACTGGCTCGGCTCCGACCCCGCCGAGCCCGCCCCGGCCTCCGTCGCCGACCTCGTCAAGGACGGCGGCGTCAAGGGCGTCGGCGGCTTCTCCATGGTCGCCGGCAAGCTGAAGCGCAAGCGCGGCGAGGATGAGAAGCCCGCGCGCGCGCTCGAGGGGATCGCTATTGTGTCGAACCGCTGCGACCAGCTGGAGGACGTGCCGTGGATCGCGGAGAAGCGGGGCGAGGTGTACGGGCTCAGCAACACGGTGTACAACGACCCCAAGCCGTGGCCGAAGGTGGAGCTCGGGAAAAAGCTCGTCAAGGAGGCGGTTCAAGAGGCGGTCGACAAGAATCTGGACGAGGATGCCCTGGCCGAGCGTCTTCTTTCTGTGCTCGACACCGACACGCTGCCCAAGCATCCGGATATGAGCCTGGCGGATTACATCAAGGAGCTGAAGCAGAGCATCTTCGTGCCTGCCATCGGCGATGAGAGCCACCGCAAAGCGATGGCGGACGCGGTAGCGAGGGGACCGGGGCATTTCGCAACGGATGACCAGAAGGCAGCCGAGAGTTTGCAGCTGGGCGAGCGGCCTGACCCGCCGACGAAGCCTAACCTTGGCTTCGAGGTAGGGCTGTACGGCACGCAGCGACAGACCGTCATTATGGTCGACTGGGACGGCAATGTGTCGTATCGGGAAAGAGCGCTGTGGGACGGCAACGGCAACCCCATCGAAAGGGGAAAGGGCGACGAGGTTTTCCGCTTCAAGATTGAGGGATGGGAGAGCTAGAGACGCGGTCTAGGGAAGGTTTCATCTAGAGTAGAGTTTGCATAGGCTGGTGCGTGCAGTTGGACGCTCTTGCCGTGCATCGTGGTGAGAAAGGCCTGATGAAATGAGATTCATGAACAGCAGCCACGTACAAATGATGCAATGCGAGGCTACCTGAACGCAAGAGACCGACTATTCTCGCTCTGTATAAGTGACTACGTTTCCCGTATTCTCGGCCACTGCGATTTATGGACCAAACACTGGCCGAACTTCTCTTACTGGTTTACCACTCCCGTGCAACTTCTCGCTGGGCGAGCTATAGTTACGCAGATTCAGGATATCCATGGATATCAATGGCGTGTCTAAAACAACTGAGTGGTAACTAGATGCTCAAGCGCAAATAAAACATCAAAATGAATCATAGAAGAAAACCCACGGTAAAAGACAAAAAAAGAGTAAAAACAGAATAGATGATAGTGGAAAACTCATAAAGAAAAAGTAAGTAGAGAGAAAACAGAATGAAACAAAAAAGACACGCGGGATAATTGTCCCCTAATGTATCCCTAACAGAGATTGAGAGTAGGAAGTAATGAGAATAACAATAGAGATAGAGACAACAGCATTAAGTAACAACAGCAACAGCAACAAGGGACGACGACAAAGAACGACAACATTAGATAACGACGATAGACGTGACGATGGACGAAGACGATGGACGATGGACGAGGACGAGGACGATGGACGAGGACGATGGACCACGACGATGGACCACGACGAGGGACGACAACGAGAGATGACGGCAGAGGCAACAGAGACGACGGTGAACTATAGTCGATATAATTGCTATGTCACGCGCCATTAAATTAGGCAGTCGCAGCTCCTTCAATTGAGGATATAGAGAATAGATACAGAAGGCACTTAGAGACGTGATGTCTGTTGTTGTTGACCATCACGAGAGTTCCTGCCGTGTGTGAGGCAGATGCGCACCTTCCGCATATTATCATCCGTACCTTCCTTCCTTCCTGCAGTGGCAGAAGCTGCGACCAAAGAGCAGATTAATCGTCATCGTCCGTGCCTTCGGCGTTTACCTTGCGACGCAGTCAAATCATCCAACGACATCGAAACATCAGAGCACCTTTTTTCATCTGAAGCTGAACTTCACAGATCCCACGGCCCAATTCACCCAGCCCACCGCGCGTCTTGTCGGTTCGCCCAACCGAGCACTCTGCGGCCCGTCTGAAGGAGCCTTTTTCTTTTTTGATTTTTTCCTTCTCGCGACTTTCTTTCACTTTGACAATGCCCCCCGCGAAACCCGGGTCCCTCGGCTTGCTTCTGCTCTTCCACACTACGCGAGCACTCTACACCCTCATCGCCCACAGTCTCTACATCATCCAAACCAACCTCCACCTCTGCTTATATCTTGCCAGGACAGTCGCTGTTTGTTTTTCTATTTTTGCTTCTACCTTTCTCCACGTCGGCCAGATCTGCAGCACTGCTGTGGAAGGCGCGCTGGCCACTTGGACGATTTCCCTTTCCGTCGTCTTTGTCTGGGCCGTCCCCTACGCCATCTTCCTTTCCGGCGTTTTCTCTGTCGCCGTTTTCGTCGTCGTCCTGGAACAATGCGAGACCGTCTATCTAATTCTTCGTTCCTTCCTACGCGGAACCGAGGCTCCCGTCTCTCCGGAGGCGGCGTCGCCCGCCCGACAATCTCTGGCCCCGTTGGACCAGTCCGTCGCAATGACGGAGCTGACCTCCAACGAGCCGACGCCATCACCATCATCCACAGCATCAACGACGCAACCCAATCCCAGCCAGAACTCTCACAGCCGCAGCCGCAGACCAGTGTCATTCGGCAGTTTCATCGGCCAGGCCCTGCATCTCATCACCAAAAGACCCCCCGTGGCAGTCGAATGCCCCGATCAACTCGAGGAAGAGCTCCCACCCCGGGCCCGGATGGAACCATGGAGAAATTGCAGCAGGGATTCGGAGGACGAGATGGATCTGAGCAGTTCAACGAACCCCGTTTCTCACCTGAAGCACTTCCTGGTCTCAACGATCGTCACGTTCTGGGAGAAATATCCCACACCAACACGGACTCCGCCCGCCTTCCCTTCAGTGCCTCGCATGGCCACTTTGGAGACCCCAGACGCCTCCCCAAGCCCCCATCGACAGGCAAAGCAACAGGACACAGCGCTGCCTCCCATGCAAGACGAATCTCGGCAGGCTTCTCACACGGCGGACCCCTCTCCAGCAATCCCACGGTCGCCAGTTTTGACGTCAATGCCCTCACCGGAGCGGCTGCTCGAAACGATGAGAATCAGCCGCCTTTGTCAAAGTCCGGAGAAGTCACATTCACCTCTTCGTCGGAAAGCAGCCCGTCGCTTGCTCCTAGCTCAGGAATCCAATCCAAATTCAACTCCCGTCCTTCCAGCCGCGTAGAGAAGAAACGCATCCCAAAGTCACGGACTATGACCGTCTTATCCAACCTCACGGCATCTCTTTCAAGGACGTCACTCACGAGCTTCACAAGTGACCGCAAGGCATCTACTAGCAGATCGGTTTCCTCGCGCAAAGTCAGTGGCTCATCAACTAGCACACTTAGCACCACGGACACATCCCGAGTCCCCACGCCCATGAGCGCTGAGGTCAACCCTCTCATCATCAATACTGCCCAGTCATCCCAGTACTGGGCAGGTCGCTTTCAGTCTCTCCACGATCGCTTCCACAACGAGGATCTCCAGCCTCACTCTCTTGGAACCCTTGTTTCCGCCCACGCCTCAAGATCAACTGTTGTCCGCGACCAGCGAGCGGCTTACCAAAGCCGCGGCAATCTCCCTCTCAGCACGACTACCGCATTGGACCGCTACAGTACTACAGCTGTCAGCAGAGAGACCAAGGTTCTCGACGAGGAGGACAACCGCTGTCTGCGCGTCTTCTTGCATCTCGACTCGCTCTGTGCCACACCCGAGGCGCAGAAGAGCCTGCATGCCTGGCAGGAGATCTACGCGCGCCGCAACAACCGCGTGGCACTTCTGCCTCACGGCGCGAGCATGGACAAGGGGTTCGTGGCGAGGATTTTCGGCGGCGGACGACGCAGCATGGGCGCCCCTCGCCCTGAGAAGCAGGTGATCGAGGGAAAATACCGCACTGGCAAGCGTGTCAGTATGCTTTGAGGTTGACGTGGTTTGGCATGAAGGATTATTAAAGTGCGACAACATGGATAGGCGTTTTTGTTTTGGGCTGAATTGGAGGGATAACTGGGAAAAGCATCATCACATTGTCAAGACTCTCATGAGAGAGCTATCGCGAAGCCTGTACAACGGACACAGAAAAGTCCCTGCATCTGTATATATGGAGGCTATGAGAGACGAAAACTCAGCTGTAGACGAAAACTCAGCTGTTAGGACCAATACCCATTTACTTCTACACCGACCAGTCCGTGGTTCCTCTCTCCCAAACCCCAACGCCTGCTAATGCATTTCAGTGTGTGTATTTCCGCGTGTACTCGGCGCCTCTTCTGTGGTGTAATTCCCTTGGTTCGCCCGCACGCGCCCGCTGTCCAGTCCAGTCTATCTTAATCCTCCGCCTTCTTCCGCAGCTTCAGGTAATCCCTGATCTGCTCATGCTTGCTCGCAAAGAACATGCCCAACTTGTCGTTCCGCCACGTCAACACGCCAATCTCCGCCGCGTAGCCCGCAATGTCCTCGTACTCCCTGGGGCTGTCAAAGTCGCGGAACAGGAACCCGCTCGTGGTCGTCATGCGCTCCGTCTCAAGCTGCCACAGGCGGATCTGGTCGATGACCGTCGGCGGGAGCACGGGCTTGTTCCGGACGGCGGCGAAGCGGTGCATCTGCTCGTGCGCGTGGGACGCGAGGTAGGAGATGATCTGGTCGGCGGTGATGCCGCGCTCGACGGCGTTGCGGATCGAGTTGCGCGTCAGGCGGCCCGAGACCATGTCCGCGAAGCGCAGCTTGAGCTTGCAGAAGAGGGAGAGCACGGCGATCTGGAGAGGGGTCTGGCCGTAGGCGTAAACGCGGTAGTTTGTCTCGACGATGATGCTGCCGCTGCGGGTTTCTTCGGAGCCGCCGCTGCCTGGGGTGGCGCCGTTGCGGGGCCCGCTGCCGCCGGGACCGGGGCCGGATGCTGCTGCCAGGGCGGCGGAGAAGCCTGCGCCTGCGCTGCGGAGGGCGCTGGAGCTGCTTGTGAGGGTGGTGGCGAGGCGGGTGGGGAAGTACTGCTGGGGCTTGTGGGAGGGGATGTAGATGAGGCCGAAGTCCATGAGGGAGGGGAGCATGTTGCGGCGCTCCTCGGTGAGGGCGTTCGTGTCGTAGGCGCGACCGAGCTCGAGGGAGGCGAGGAGGAAGAGGAAGGAGAGCATGTCGGTGGACTCCATGCCGGCGGAGTCCTGGGCGTGGTCGGTGGCGTCGAGCCAGAGGAGAAGGAGGGTCCAGACCTGGGCGTTTGCCTCCTGGAGGAGGAAGGTGAAGCCGGCCTGGGTGATGCCGACGGCGCCCTGCTGGCGGCGGACGAGCTGGCCTGCGACGAGCAGGTTCTTAACGGACGACTTAGGCCCGCTCAGGTCGGCGCTGCCGGGGTTGACGGTGGCGACGATGTAGTGGAGGATGTCGTCCCACTTGCGGCGGGCGTAGCGGTCGAGGAAGGGGATGGTGATCTCGGGCGGGACGGGGAGGGTGGAGGGGACGCCGAAGGAGTTGTGGTGGCCGCCGCCCTCGAGGGCGAGGCGGAGGGAGGATTTGAAGTTTGTGGTGAGCTGCATCTCCTGCGGGCGTTCTTTCGACGGGACGGTGATTTGGAGGATGTGGAGGGAGCGCAGGGTCGAGATGGCTTGGTCTTTTTGCCTGTGGGAGGGAAGAAGCTGTGTTAGAAAGATTGTTGCTGCTGCGCGGTGGGAGAAAGGGTAACGCGTGAGGGAGAGGGCGTTGTACCGTCGCGAGTCGGGCTTCACCCAGAGATCGAGGTCCTCGAGGAGCATTGGCTTGGGCATGTACAGGATGGCCATGACGATGGTTTTTGCTGGGGAGGTTTGGATGCCTGGGTTAGCTAGCTTGTTCCATGCTCAGCGAGCGCCGCGGAGACGGCGACGGCGACGGCGAGGCTCACCCAGCGGGGGGATCATCCTCCTGAAGATGGCAAAGGCAGTCGACGGCTGGAGGTACAGCTTCCTGAAGGTCGTGCCTGGCAGCTTCTCCAGGTAGTCGGCCAGCTGGAGTGATTGACCCGAGCTGACCGACATGATGGGCGAGTTTGCGCGCGGTGGTTTTGGGGGGGAGGAGGAGGTCGGCGAGATTTTCGTGTGTTATCTCATGATCGGGCGGAGAGGAAGGCGCGAGGCTCGTTCGGGGGGTTGTCGCTGCGCTGGGGGCGTTGGAGTCGTGGGACTCGGTCGTGGTCGTGTGCTTTTGGGTTTGGACAAGTTCTCGACTATTTGCGACAGGCGATCAGGTCCGTCATTCAATCATTGAGCAGGGATTACTAGCCAGCGGAACTTTCCGTCTCAGGCCCCCCTGGTGCTGCCTGCGCTTATCTTATCGGCTGGTTATCGGCGTCTTATCCATGTCGGCTGTGAGAAGGGACGAAAGCCGGGAAGGCACGTCATATTAATAGCTTGCGGGCGGGTGCAACTGCCTCCAATTGCCGAAGACCGCCGAACTCTTACTCACCTGGACGAATGAATCTCATCTCAACAGCCATTCATCGAATTCTCAGTGCCAAGATGCCTCCCAAGCTGCCACCTCTTCGCTTCGTGCGATCTGTGAGTCTTTTATGAGTCAATTGGTTCGAGATCGGCACTGACCATCACTCCAGGTCCTCAACTCCTTCTCCAAAGACTCTGGGCTTGAGCCGAGGTGAGTTGGGGTTGCATCGAGATGCTCGTCCCTGCATTCTTGTGATATATCTTTCAATGTGCATGCAGCTAATGAAATCTTAGACTACTTGGTAACAACGTATGGAAAGTTCTTTAGTAGTAGTGTTATTGGCGCGAGACTCACTTCACTGCAGTTCAGAGTAACTGGCGCCTCTGTCGGTAAGGTCGAGTTCGAGCTAGCCATCCAGAAGGAGCATACGGTATGAAGTCCACGATGACCGCAGGGTAGACGTTTTTCGTGGCTCATGTCATTTAGAACCGTCTGCAAACCATCCACGGAGGTACTCTCGCCAGTCTTGTCGACCTTGGCGGTTCCCTCGCCGTCGCCTCAAAGGGCCGCTTCATGACTGGCGTATCCACTGATATCAACGGTTCGTCACATCAGGTCTCAGATATTCACCGGTACTGACAAGTCTAGTCACATACTTGAACCCCGGAGGAACACCTGGCGACATCATGACGGGCACTGCCATCTGCGACAAGAGTAGGTCACTCTGAATTCAACGCGCAGAAACCATTGTTGACGACTTGCAGTGGGAAGGACCCTCGCCTACACGACCGTTCAATTCTTCAACAATAAGGGAGAACTTGCTGCTAGGGGAAGCCATACCAAGTGAGTTTCGATAAGGGCGGAAACGGAATCGAGGGCCTGCTGACATGTGGCTAGGTACATCGCAAAGACTTGGGTCTCTGAGGATTTCGTTGCACCTGACGAGTACGTTGCCGAAGAAGAGAAATGAGATGACCTGCCAAGTCCGCAAAGAGCAGCTGGTGCTGGCGGCTTTGCAGACAATCTTACCAGGCCAATCTCAGGGGGCGTTTCAAGCCGGAGATCGAGATCTACAATTCTAGATAATAGACGTCTATTACTCATGTTCTGAGAAAGCAAGTGTATAATATCGCTCGTTTTGGAACGTTCTCATGCGGGATTTCCATTGATAACCCTCAATCCATTCCATGCATTCATACCAGTCTTCTTTGCTAATCATTGCTACGTAACAACTCCCTTAACTTCATGTCACATCATAGTCTCGTTCCGTATCTCCGTCTCCGACAACCGACTGCTCAACCCTCTCAAACGCCCTTGTCGGAATCAATGGCTTTCGATTGGTACTGCATCTTGGACATGGCGTAAGACTCCTTCGTCGCCACGGAGTAGAGCAGGACCAGAATGACGAGGGGTAGGTAAGTCGTCAGGACGATGTCCAAGACACAGAGCACGATATAGTAACCCCAGTAGGACCCGCCTCCGAAAAAGACGTTGACCAGGCCCCAACACTCGCGAACGAGAAAGAGGGAGGAAACAGTCACCACGATCTTGGCCGCCTGTAGTAAATGCATTAGGATACCCGCGATCTTGTTGCCCTGAGAGACGGGAAGCCCCAACGTACCTGTTCCAATCCGCTACCGAACGCCTTCTTGCGTGACTTTGCAGCATACACAACAGACCCGATGGCCATGATGATCAAAATGCTGTAAGAGGCAAGCATCAAGCATGACGCGACCAGATACTCGTATTCCTTGTAATATCTGCCGAACCTGTCGTCGAGGTAGAGACAGAATGCAACGAACGAAAGCAGGACGACCAAAATCGAGCCGCCAAGGGCGAAGCCACGGCCCTTGCGATAGGCGCTCGAGACCTCATCGCCCTCGGTCCGGAGCTGTGTCAGGGCGTGTGCCATGTAGAAGACGGCGAGGAAAAATGAGAGGTTGAGCACGACTTCGACGAAGAATTGCATGTAGATAAGCACATTGACGGCTACGCCGACGGAGTGTCGCGGCGCGAAGAACCTGTCATATGCAGCGCTGGCGAGGCAGGACCAGACGGCGATGTAGAGGAGGTGCGATCTGTTGAGTTCGTTTTGTTAGATACGTTTTCCTGGCATATTTCTGAGGGCGTGGTTGAAGGCAGCTTACAGCATCCAGAGGCCAAAGCCAACCTTTGTGTAGTCTACCCATCTGCGTGTCGTGTCATGGCGGTATCCTGGCTTGCGGACGAGCTTTGCGAAAAGGACCACCATCGGGATCAGAGCTAGTACGACAACGACAATCCGTACGATGTACATGATCTGCTCCGGACTGAGTGTGCCGCCCATATTGATAGTGTTCTTCGTATCCTTCTCTTTCTCTTCTGTGTAGATAGTGAATAGCAAATGTCGTCTGGTGTATGAAGCGTTCTCGAAATTGTTGTCTCGATGTTGTTCAATCCAATGATCAAGGGATAAGATGCCGTAGTCACACAGGGCCGCGGATCAAGAGACACCTTAAGTAATCTACACATCAACCAGAATTCCAACGGCGAAAACCGCATCTTGGCGAAGGAGCGCCGTAAAACTTGGCGGCCCTCACTTCCAAGACCCGCAGCCAGGCTTCCGTCTGCACCCCGGCCGGGCGACGGCTGTGCCGCACTAGTCCCGGGCACCACACGAGATCTGCCTCGCCCAAAGCTGGGCTGAGCAAATCCCGCACAAGGGCCGCGGAGCGCAGACCTGCAGTTTCAGTGCGAGTCGCCCACTGTCGTTGCCCGACGGCGTCTTGGGACATGGACCGCTGAGCGAAATGTAGTGCACACGGCGGTGATCTCGCTTGCCGTACGGGGCGAGACACAGCTTCGCCTCTGCACCATTGGGCGCGCCCCCTGCCGTGCTGCCGTCGGGCGTAGTCGCGTAGGTACGATGGGAGTAACCTGCAAGTGTTTAAATCCCGCTTTGCTGGCAATAAAGCGAAAGGTCCCGTGATGGAAATGCTTCGCGACACTCTCGCACTGCTGGCTGCGGGGCTTTCGCACGTACGTTGGCTGGGCGTTTTCCCCCATCTTTTGCCCTGGTCTAGCATCGCCTAAATTCAAGCTTATTTCTATGGGTGGACGCCACAAATGCCCTGCGACATGATCGACCAGTTCCATGAAAGGGATCAATAAAGACTGACGTCGGAGGGACAGTCAGTGGAGCGACGCATGTGTTCAACTGAAGTTTCTCATTCAGCCGTTGTTGATCCATGAGACGGCCTCAGAGGTAAACAAGGGAGCGAAGATCGCAACGTAGGTCAAGATGGAGGTCCAAGAATTCGTTCAGCCACAACGTTTTCAGGCAAGAGCGATGTTGCAACCATCACGTGAGTCAATTGCACCGCCTGAATGCGATGAGTCGGTCTTCCTTTGGTGGCTGTAGAGCACTGCGATCGACAGAGGCTGCCGCTTACATCCCTAGCCGCTACTGTGGGCAGTGTTGCTGCAGCCACCTTAGGTGATGGTTTCTTGGCAATGGTACATCGATTGCATTTTCACCTTCTCCTATGGGAATTTCCTTTCACGCAAGGAACCATTCCAAAGCTATGATATACTGGCTGGTCTCTACAGCGCATAAAGTGAGGCGGTCAATACGCTCAGACGGTCAAGAGAAAGAAATTAGGACATATGTAATGTTCGACCTAACGAAATTCAACCCATCTATTCATAACATAAGGGGTACTCATAGGACTCCTTCTAATCTAAAAACTTCCTGCCATAACCGGAGAGCCTAAGAGCGGTCAACACGGTCCAACAGATATTACATTGACAGAACTCATAATAATCCGCATACGTCCATGTTCTTGCCACCGAATTGGTGCCTTGCAGCAAAAGACGCTTCTTCCCTTCACACAACTTCATGATGACTCTTCAGAATCCAGAGGCTTCCGGCCATATACCGAGTACCTAAACACAGTCAGAAAGTCGATTGGCGATCGTGTCGAAGACACTTACAGTGGCCAGTACGCATGTATGGTCTTGTCCATGAATTCTTCGCGGCACAGGGCGTTGGAGACAGCCACCTCTTCCTTCGTCCACCCGTGAGCCCTTGTCAGCAACGTCAAGCAAAGGCCATCCCAGCCAGAAACAATGTTCTCGTGGCTCCATGCGCCGATATCCTTGAACCTCCTTTCCTTTGGCCAAGTGTTTGTGGGCCACTTGTACTTCAGCACATTGACGTCTACGAATCCAGCCCTGCTCAAAATGCCTTTGAAATTATCCACGTTCATCGTAGGCCGCCCGCTCTGCTCCATGGCCTCCTGGATCAGGTCTGCGATCTTCGCAATCTTTGCGTCCCTCGGGATGGTTCCGTCGTCACATTGAGGCTTGAGAGGGGTTTCGTTGAACTCAACCCACCCGCCAGGGTTGAGGTTGCTGCGGACGCCTGTCAGTCTATGCAGGTCTTTCGAAACTCATGCCGCAAAGCAAAATAACGAAAGCAAGACAACGAGTAGAACGTATCAAGATTTACTCACTCAAAGCACTTCCTAGCGTAATCCTCCCAGTCCTCGATACATCCGTTCATTAATCTGCTGTGTATGTAATCGAACTTTGGAGAGAATGCCCACTCCTCCTCAATATCATCAACCTCAAACGTGACATTCGGCGGCGGGCTACATTGGCTTTCAGGTTAGCAACGCAGTCATTCATGAACGGGGCTCAGAGGTCGTATGACTTAGCAAAGCTAGCCGAAAGGTCAACGCCAAGGACTTCGGCCTCCGGGTGTTCGTCGCCGAAATCGATGGCCCAGACACCTGTTCCTGTTCCGATATCCAAAACTCGCCCAACTTTGAAATCCCTGTCATTTGGGGGAGCGTTGCCCAGTTTGTCGTTAAAAGTGAGCAAGAACAGGTTATGCTGGAGCTCTTCCTCACTGTCAGAATCCATGTCTCGAAGCTTTACGAGTACTCACCAAGCCTGTCGTTCTCCGTTTCATCGTTCGGCAGGTTGTATTCTGGAATAAAGGTTAACAAGTCCGTCAATAATTTGGCTTCAGAAGCTAAAACCTACTGCCTTCTTTATAACCATGGTATGTCCTTCCATTCTCCATTCGATAGTCCATGACATCCGCGGCAAGACTCACATTTGACGACGAGACGCTCTACTCATCTATTAGCAACAACGCTGCAGCATGAAGCTGGAGTCGTCATATCTTACTGGGGCGTTTATAGACTCTGTGTCGTCAAAATCAGGCTGAAATGATGCAGTGGTTAGCAAGCCGTCGCAGCAGCAGTAGGCAAAACACTACCTCGTCGTCTGGCTCAATTACCACTCCGGGGTCGAACCTTTCTGCTCTAGTTCGAGTCGAAGACATTTTGAGGACAGAAGGACGGCGAAACGTCAAGAAACTGGACTTGTGATGGTCGAATGATGTGTCGCGGTGTCTGGGAGACGCTTGTTCGCGATATTTATCCGTCCTGGTCCAACAAGCGCCTCCGTGATTATGACGGCTGTTTGTCCCGAGATACCCATGAACCCACTCGTCGGACTTGGCTTCCTCATTGAGCTACAAATCCATGCATGAGTGTGCAGTAGGTCGGCGATGATAGGTCTGCGAGCATCGGGCCAGGGTGGTTCATATGCTGTTGGTGGTGCCCCTGCCTTTGTCGAACCACTAAGCGCCCACACAAACAACAGAACCCTCCACTTCGCCATCCATGTTGGTGCATGTGCATGCAATCACACGGCCAACCTCCAACGCGTTCGTGCACAAATGTTTTCAACTTGCATTATTCTATGAACGAAGTCTATCGCACCTGTCCATGATGCTTCTATGAAGACGAGCCTCCCGGTTCGCCACGTATATTATTGTTGGAGTCATTACAATGAGAGGACAAGTACTACTCGCAATGATGTTTATGGAAAGTTGTATTCAATATGAAAAGTCTAAACAAATACCACCAACTTGCGGCCGAGAACTAGTAGCCATTATCAATTAGCCCGTGTTGGCTAGGGGGTCGCTGCGACCTCTGCTTCAGTTGGCTTCCTGCCAAAAGCCGAGTACCTACACATGGTCAGTATATAAGCTAAGAACACGACTGGGCTGGAAAACTTACACGGGGTAATACGCATGGATGCTCCTGTCGTTGAACTCATTGCGGCAGTGCATGGTCCCAACCAGTACCTCCTCCTTCGTCCAGCCGTGGGCTCTGGTGATTGTCGCTAGGCATAACGGCTCCCAGCCTCCCAAGATATTTTCCTGAGACCACTTGGCAATCTCCTTGTATCTCGCATCCTTGGGCCACATATTCGTGGGCCACTTAAACTTCAGGACTTTAACATCAACATAGCCTGATCGGATCAGGACATCCTTAATGTCCTCCATGTCGGTGGCGACGCGGCCAAATTGGATAGTTGCCTCTCTCACCAGCTTGGCCATTCTGAAGATCATGGCGTCGTCCTTGAGAGTGCCGTCATCGCTTTTCGGCATTAAAGAGATCTCGTTGATTTCGAGCCATCCGCCGGGGTTGAGATTACTGCGGAATATCAGCGGCCGACGTTCGATAAATGAATGTTCCCCAAAGGGCAAGTCGAGATCGTCTTCTTACTCAAAGCACTTTCTCGCGTAGGCATCCCAGTCTGCGATACAGCCGTTCATCATTCTGCTGTGAATGTAGTCGAACTTCCGCGAATAGATCCAGGGTTCCTCCAAGTCGTCGACCTCAAATCTAACGTTGGGTGGAGTACTATGTTACGAGTGAGGAACAGGCTTTTCCTCCCAAAAGGATTCGGAGCTCACAATGATGGGAATGTAGCGGAGAGATCAAAACCGAGCACTTCCGCCTCCGGGTGCTCGTCGCCAAACTCACATGCCCAAATGCCGGTGCCGGTGCCTACGTCGAGCACGCGTCCCACCTTAGCACCCGGATCGTTGGGCGGCGCGTTTCCAAGTCGGTCATCGAACGTGATGAGGAAAAGATTGTGTTGTAAATCTTATTTGACGGTCAGTTTTACATCATAATAGCTTGGCACAGAAAGTCAGAGGCGGTGGCTTACCCAGTCGGTCGTTTTCCCTCTCATCGTTAGGCAGGGTGTATTCTGCGAGACTCAGTATCAATCTGATTTCCTAACTTTAGTCGGGGTGCTTGGCACTTGAACTCACTGCCGTCTTTGTAGGCGTGGTAGGTTCTCCCGTTTTCTTGGCGATAGTTGAAGATTGAGGCCGTAACACTTTGGGTGGACTCGCTCGTACTCTAGTAGTTGATAAGCACATGCCTCTCGCTATCACCGTAATAAACAGGCTTATCTCACTTCTCCTCTTTCGGACGCAGTGTCATCGAAGGGCTATTGGCAGATGAAATTAGTAGACATTCATGCAACCAGTTCCAGCAGGCCTACATTTTCATCGGCGACAATTTGTTCTTCGTGATCCAGCGCAGGCGCGGCGTTGGTGGGTGTTGCGACCGGAGAAGCTTCTTCCTCACGGCCAGGGGTCGCCGCAACGGTGGCGGGTGTTGCAACAGAAACCGCTTCTTCCTCGGTTGCAGCAGCGTTGGCGGGTGTTGCGGCCGGGACCGCTTCGTTCTCTCGGCCAGGCGTTGCCGCAGCGTTGGTCGGTGTTGCGGCCGGAACAGTTTCCTCCTCGCGGTCCACCGCAGGCGCGGCGTTGGTGGATTCTACGGCCGACATCCTTGAGAGTTGAATCCGGCAGTATTTCTTGAGAGTGGTTACAGGTGCGTGGAAAGCCTGCTCTCTCTCTGCATTGGCATGCGATCCGGGTTGGGTTTTATCTGTTGGTCCTGTAAGATGGGTCGGCTTACCCCTCCCTTGGCTGTTTGCACATCGTCGCCAAATGCGCGTTGCTCCCCCGCCAGCGGAGATGGTTTCCCCAAGCAGAACTGCGTTCCACGTATCACAAGCATGCAGCTTTGCAACGACAGGTGTTTGTCGGGAGTACGTGGGCCTGGTGCCGCCTGTTGTTGGTACTGTTTTCTCAAACAAGACGCACCAAGCCCAAAATCGCAGGACCCTTCGCTTCGCATTACGACCTCAAATACCTAGCCAATCAAGCTGGCAACGGCTCAGGTGAACCCGTGAGCCGTTGCATTAGTTTGGCGAGAGCATTAGCCTCTTTGATCACGTCTCCGTAGTATCCGTACCCAGCGAGGCTCGCAAACCCGACTCTGGCTATGCTACGGAACCGAACGTTTTCTCGACCGGTGATTCAAGTTTGGATCTCCCCAGGCGAGATCCAAAGACCCATTAAGGTACTTGGTGAAAGGGAATGGCAAGATCAAGCTGCAAAAGGCGGATTCCTCGGCACACCGCGGGTCCCAAATCCCCATTGGTTTGGTTTGTTTTCCGGCACCCCGGAAATAAGGCTTGCACCGAAGAGTCCAACACCACCCACGCTGTAGGAATGCCTATTGCATCAGCAATAGCCGAGTTGAAAACCCACTAAACACACCAGCTAGCGCCTTTGTCTTTGGTCGCTCTGGAACAGCCCATTCTAATAATCGTCAGTTGAGGACATGGTACGTATGGTGGCTGAGCTCACAATCAGGTGTTCACTTCAGTGACGGGCGGCACTGATAAGATCGATAACAATGTCCAATAGCCTGTTTAATACCCATGTCCAGTCGAAGACTGTGAAGATGTGGCAGTGTTGGCACACTGCCAGGTTCTGTCTTCACGCCGACCTGCGTGTCTCACTGTCAAATTGAGCTGCCTTCGAATGGCGGGACGACCACGGTTTGCCTCACTTGTAATTAGTAGGCGACGCGATGCACGTTGATTATCGAGAGAGATTTAAGCCCCCGACGCCTCCCAACCTTGTTTCTTTCACAACACATGCATATTCATGGAGAATTATGCCAATCAGCCTTCGCCGTGTCGCTGAACGCCATTCCCAGTCAGCGGTATGGCCAACGTAACAGACTATCTCGTAGCCAACGGGCTGTGCAGGGCGCTTGCAGACGTTGAAGATCCAGATGTCACGGGCCTAGGAGTATGATAATTTGACGTCAGCCACGAGGGTCAAATTAGACGGATATGCTAAAGTCCCGTAGGTCGTAGTCTCATTCATGATATCCATGGTCTTCAATTTCTTTGTGATTACGATGGCGTATGTCTTTGACTGGCTACCCGAATCAACCGACAGCAACTCAATTGACGAGGCCTTTCGCCAAAACTTGCGTTGGTTCTTTTCGTGCTCCAACGACCACAGCAGTCCCGAAAACGTCACCAGACTCAAGAGAATCCAGGCCTTTGAACCGTTCGTGCTTGGTATGAGCGATCAGCACTTCATTATCGGAGTAGCCCTGGCGATCGTTAGCATGTTCATGACGTTCAACAACAACCTGAGTGAAAAGTTCTCGGTTTGCTTCTTTCAGATCGCGACCAGACTCGGGTACTTCTCTTGCATTGTACGTCTTTGTACAATCTCTCTCCTGCGCGAACATTTCGAAGCTTACAAGCGCCTGAGGACATTCCTCGTATGTGTGGTGGCCGTACTACTAATCCTTTTGTAGTATGCATGACGATATCTGAATCGGTAACCTTCAGATTCAATCGCCACATCTCAGTCAAATGCGTAAAACAACATTTCAAATTTATCGACCCTGACCAGCCTTGGTACGTCTCGTTTTCATACAAGGTTGTGGTACTTTTGATTCAGAGGGCCCTCGTCTTGGTTATAGTCCTCGGCTATTCGAGGCGGTCCCTTGAACTTTATCACAAAGATGCCCGGGCGGACTACCACTACTGGTCTCGATGGTCTCTGCAACGACTGCTGGGAGAGCTAGCTGAAAACAAGTACAACAACGAGTTCACGCCCACGATGAAATCACTGTTTAAAGAACTTTGTAACAGCAGGGACGATCCTACTGTGGACCGTTGGATCTTGGCGTTAGACATATGGGCTAAGTCTATATCCAACAGCTTTCTCTGGGGAATACTCTGGCTAGGTTTCTACTTTGTCTTTAGAATGGGCAATTCCTGAGAATTCTACTTGGATGCAGGTCTGACGCACCAGATTGACGCAAACTTCGGTCAAGTGATACCGTTGATTCTTGTTTGTATTCGGTTCTTCTCTGCTTGGGCTGCTTCTTCATGTAAGTGCTCCTTTAATGCGTTGTTGAACTTAGCCAAACCAATGCATGCAGCCACAATCGCAACCCATGAGCAGCATTCGAGAAACAACCCATCCCAACCTCCCTGAACCCAGCCGTGTAACTCTCCACGGCGCCATGATGAAGAGGTAAGCTACAATACTAAAGTCAACGCACCGCAGACTGAGTCTGGAGCTCATAAGAAGACACAGGCAAGAGAGGGGATCATGGATTTTGCAAAAGAAGTCGGAATCTTTTTACGATGGTTGGAAGCCTCCACATTCATGTACGCTTTAGGGCTGACAGTATGGTCTCTGATGTTTGCAGATGTGATTCATGAGGAATTCTACTTATCAATTGTTGCCTGTAATGTGTCAATTGGATTTGTTGTTGCTGGAGCTGGAACTTGGTTTTTGGCTGTGTTTACCGTCTGTTGCGAAGGATTGGTCCCCATCATCTATGAATAACTTCACCGACGATACATTTTCCTGCGGTCGTTGTTCGGAAAAGGCATGACAGTCGAGATATAATTTGATGCAGTAGATAGATTGCACACTGTTTGAAGCACCAGCAGAGCCAGAAACTTGCTGGATGTAAAAAAAAAACCGCCACCGCGCAGAACAGATGTTTGGCCGAGATGACAACAGTACATCGGAGCGGGAATATTAACTTCAAGTCCACTACAACGGCTGGCATAAATTAAAATATGAAGGGAGCTCTGGCCAAATCTACTGCTGCGGTCAGAGGCTTCGCTAGGACCAGGGCCCGCCACGAGTCCGGTAACGAGTCCGGTATTCGTACTCCCTGTGCTTGCGAGGCGGGTTCAATAATCATCCCATAGGTACCTATGTCGCCAAAATGGTGACCTGTTTGACTAGGCTTCTTCTTCCTTGTCTTGTGTTTGCTTTCAGGACAGTATATTCATAGACCGGAGCCCTCGCCAGGTCACTATTTTGAACAGGCGTGTTTACTTTGCGCCAACTGGTTCGACCGACACACAAGCAGGGGCTAATTTCGGTTTTATCATGTAGCGGCGGCCTCTCGGGGTTTCAAGACAGTCCCTAATGGCAACGGCGGAAAGCCGGCATAAGGAGCATTGACAAAGTCCGGCAGTCACGAGTCGTGACTCGTAAGGTCCACAGGTGAGATTAGAACGCCCATTAAGAAACGTGAAATCTTGGCGCAAGTACGAAGTACGAGACAGCAAAAGATGGAGGGATAAGACAGGGAATGTTTGAAGATCACTTTAGATTTAATATGTCAAACTTTCATGTCATGTGACAAACTGGCCCAAGCATAGCGGTCAGCACCGACTTGTTGCGTGATATCGATGATTGACAAGGAGCCCGAATACGCGGTTCTCGTTCGCCTCGATGTTCCAGGCTTTATCGATGACAAGGTGACGAACCGCAAGGACCAACAGTGCGTCGCTGTCATCGCAAGCCCCCCACTTCAATCTAATTGAGTTTAACAATCGATGCATCACCTGGAATGCTCCGACAGTTCTTCAGCCTACAAATACTACATACGCCTAAATGTTCCTATCCCTATTTGAACTCCTCGTCTACCAAACTCACCATATCCCCGCCATCGGCCACTTGAAATCCCCCCAACCTAAACTCGACGTACCATCATTGTTTATCGATATGAAGTACTTGGCTGTTCTTTTGGCTTTTGCCGCCTCTTCCAATGCTGCTTGGTGCAACGCCGGATGGGGCAAGCCCGCAGGAGCCTCATGCCCGTCTGGCTACGTAAGTTCACTTGCAAAATTGATCAGAATCGTACTCAGCTAACCCTATCCTAGACCAACACCTACTGTGTACGATAGTCCCCTCAACCAAAATAATGTCTCACTAATATATGTGCAAAGTGTGAGGAGCCTGGAAGTCAACACGGGGACTTTGGTTCGCAAAAGGTCTGCGTTAACCCGTCCAACGGCGCCGGCACTGCGCCTGTCCTGAGTTCATGCCTGGGTAGCGGTGTAAGTATCTAATCTCTCCGCGCGTGCTCTAACGAACAATTACTGACAATCTCATCTCCAACTAGTTCGTGCGCTGCGTAAGCTATGCCTTCCTCGGTCTCGGTATCATTCTCACATTTTGCTATAGTGTCCGTAAATCCTTCGACAGATATCCTGTTGAGCAACCACCATCTCGAGGGGAAGGTTCCCCGATTTTATCTCATGCATACTGGGAGCGCAGACAGCACTTGATGATTAAACAGCATTTACCGATAGAAAAGGGCAAATAGGCGCTAGAGGTGCCCAGAATCTCACAAGCCTTTGGGTTATGGGAAAATTGTAACGACATAAGCATGGTATTCCAAGCCGAACTTTTAGGTTTTCATAATTCACAACTCCATACTGTACCTCTCGAAGGCCGCAACTGCGGCTCTGACTTGAGCGTCCATATCTACCCCATTTGTGAACATGCCACCTTCCTTCATCCGAGCCCGCATGTGCTCCAAGTCAATCTCGTCTCCGTCTTGGCTGTACAACCTGCCAAACTCTCTCGTAATGTCCACAACTTTTTGACTTCGCGGCCGTCGAATCTCATCGAAGGCTTTCAAACCTGGCTCAATCTCGTCAACCGATGTTAGCCGATTGAAGATGCCTGCTAGTATGGAGCAATCTTCGATGGCTTGGGCAGCTCCGTTTCCTGCGTGGGGTAGGGTTGCATGGGCGGCATCACCAAGCATGGCCACATGTCCTTTGTAATATGTCGGTGCATGCTCGTGATCTTGCAAGCTCCAATCCTCATTGTGGCTTTTCTCGACGGCCTAGTCCACATGGTTCAGTCAGCCGTTTGCTCATGGTGTCACCCACAAATACTTACAGATATGAGTGCATCAATTTCTGGTAGAAACCCTTTCCACAGACCCGGGTTGAATGGCGTCCCTTTTTGCGGGCATTTGGTGTCTCTTTGCAAGCAACCTATGCTGTAAGTTTGTCCGAGATCGACTGGAATGCCGATGATGAATCCATAAGGGGTGCAATAGCCGATGGCGTTGTCGATGCAATGTTGGGGAATGATTTGTTTGGCCCTTGTCATGGGGATTGCTGAATGAAACTGCCGCCATTCATCGTGGTTGACAGGCTTAGTAGCCGGATGTTCGGGCCCAAGGATGAATTTCCTGGTAGGGCTGAAAACCCCTTCGGCTCCGAACACGACGTCGAAAGTATCATCTGTGCCATCCTCAAAACTGACCTTAACCTCCTTTGTGATAGCATTGCCCTCGATGTCGACCAAGCGTTTGCCAAAATGCAGTCGCTTCTTGGGCATGACATCGTCTTCCAAGAGTCCTTCAATGAAATGTGCTCGATGGACCGTCCTCCTTCCTTTAGCTCTCCCCAATTCTGCAACCAAAGTTCCTGCATGTTTTCCGGCAGAAAGGAAAAATTGGGTTGCCATCTCCATGTTTTCCTCGTTGGCCATGAAGTGGGACTTTTTAAAATACGCCTTTTTGATTTCTGGCGATATGAGATCCATGGATTTAATAGCATTCGCATGCAAAGCGAGGCCAAACCCTCGGAATCGAACGTTGGGATGTCCTTCAAATAGGTGAACGTCAAGATGAGGGTTGCTGAGGAGGCCGATTGATAGACAACAGCCGGCGATGCCAGCACCGATGATGCCTACACGCACACGACGGGGTTCGAAGTTGTCGCCCATGCTTCAGATTTGTCACGCCGACTTTTTCAGGACCTCCTTTTTGCTTTGGTGTTTTTCGTCAAGTTTTGAAGCACAGAATGCGGGGTATCACAACTTCATCGGTTCGAGTTCAAATAGAGGATTCCAATCCATGCCGTGGGTCACCTCCATACATCATGGTGCTACGTCGACCCATGGCAGCGAACCAATACGACGCGCATCGTACCATTTCTCCACTAAAGATTTATTCATGCAGTTCTATGAGCTACACAGTCCACTAAAAGTGGCTTTTGCGTGGGACGAGTCGCACCCGTCATCCAGGCCAGGCGGCTCGTTGAACACAAGTTCAGCCACGGACGACATGATTGGCTTGAAGATGATAAGAAGTCGCAGCTTACCCTATCAGACGGCCAAAGCAGTACGTTACTGGCACAGAAGCACTATCAAGCCTTGATCAGCGGTGAAAGTGGAATAGGTGTTCGCGCAGGAAAGGCGATGTTGATGATAGATAAAGCCCTTCCAAAGGAGGTGTAGGGATAGATGCAAGCAGGCGGCAGAAACCGTTATGGTCATAGTAGTAGATCAATGTTACAGATGCTACATCTCTCATTTATATTTATAAGAAGCGCTGGCGACTTCAGAATATGTTCAGTTTGAATATCCAAGACGCTGCATTAGATGCGACGGAGCGACTTCATGCTGCGTCTGGCGGCGGAGCTGAGGCACTGAGAGTACCACTCATTCTGAACGACGCAAGAGGTTCCGGCGGCGCAAGTAGTGGCGCCAGTCCAGCCGCTGCCACCGCACTGGCTCCAGGCCTGGGCAGTAACAGTCGAGGAAGAACCGGACTCCTCGGTGGTGGCCTCCTCGGTAGCAGGTTCGGTGGCAGCAGGGGTGGTCGCGGCGGCGGAGCTCTCCTCGGTTGCGGTCTCCTCGGTGGAGGTCTCTTCGGTCTCGGTGGTAGGGGTGGCGGCCGTGGAGGAGCCCACGTTGGCGGGTCCAGCGCTGCCCTTGACGAGAGCGGAGACACCGGTGGCAGCGACGGGCTCGACGAGGTAGTCCTTAAGCTTGGAGAAGGTGGACAGGGCGGTGGTCTCCTTGAGAGCCTTCCAGGTACCGCTGGAGGAGTCGACGCTGTTGACCTGGCAAGCACGGCCGATGGAAGAGGTGCAAGAGCTGGCGGACGAGGCGTCGGGGACGTTGAAGCTGTTGGAGTAGGCCTCGCCATCGTAGGGGGTGTCGACGGACTCGAAGGCGTTACCCTCGATCAGGGAGACGGTGCCGGAGTAGAGCTCAAAGGAGTGGCCCTTCATGTTGGAGAACAGGTTGTTGGTCGCCTGGAAGGTTCCCTTCTCGCCGAGCTTGGGGGCGCGGCCGGAGACGTCGTGCCAGTAGTTGCGATCGAGGGTCATCTGGTCCCCGTCACCGTTGAGCATCATGGTCCAGTAGTGGTTGCCGTTGCAGGAGGCAGAGGTGGTGGTGACACCGTCGAACTCGTTGTTGGAGATGGTGGCGCGGGAGCCGTCGTAGTGGCTGACGATGAACTGACGGCCGACCAGGGAGATCTTGTTGTGGTCGATCCAGACACCATCGTTGCCTCCCTACAGGAAGATTAGCTATTGACACAGAATGATTCGAGAATTCGAATATAGTTTTACCTGGAGATCGATGGCATCACCTCCCCAGACAACACCAGGGTTGAGGTTGGTGATGGTGATGCCCTGGATGATGACGTTCTTGGCGTTCTTCTGGATGCGAAGACCCTTGCCGTTGAGAACGCCCTTGCCGTTGGAGCCGATGATGCTCTTGTTGCTTCCGACAACCAGGGGCTCGGTGCCGGCGACGTCGTACGTGACAGTCGCGACGGTGTTGTCGCTGGTTCCGCAAGACAGATCTCCGAGGTACAACTGTCCACCGTTGGTGGAGCTGCAGCTCTTGCGGTCGCATCCCGCTCCAGAGGCCGACTCGCCGGTGAAGTCGTACTCCTTGTCGATAACAATGGTGCGGGCGGTGTCGTCGGAAAGCCACTCGGCCAGCTCTTCGGCGGAGGACGGGGTGGCAGCCTTAGCGCTGCCACCGCCGGTGACGCCGGTGGCAAAGCCGTACGCCGTGCCGACGACCGACTGAGCGGAGGCCGTGCTGGCGGCAGCGGCAGCAAGGATCACGGATGCTGAGAAACGCATTGTAGCGGGATGTGGGGTGGAACGAATGTAGTTTTTGTTAAAGAACGGATGCGTGAAGTCGATAAACGAATGACTCGATCACGCCGGCGCGAACTTAGTCGAAGCTGAAGTTAACACTGGAAAGAGACGTCGAAAAGGAGGTTGACACAGAGAACCAACAGGTCAGCTCATCGCGAACTACCTTCGTACTTTAATAACAAGTCTAAATAGTGAGGCTCGAGCAGAATCCGATAAAGTGGCCAAGGGCCCACACAGCGGCAAGACTACCAAAACCGGGCGGCTGTTTGGTGAACTAAGCCGAAAGTGAGAGCCAAGACTCTGGGCAGCGGGTAGGTGGATTCAGGAACACCTAATATCAAGTTTCTTACTCGCCATAGCTGGCAAGGCCCCGTACTGGCGCATGCAATCAATGACCCCTTTCATTTGAGCGAGAGTAAGAGAGAAACCAACTCCGGAGCTATCCGCTGCGATCAGATTCCCCAAGTAGGATGGACCTACGCAACCACGTTTGCTTTCTCGGGTTTTACCTACGGTAGCGGGAAAATCCCGACTTCATACTAAGCCTATGTAGCACGAGCTTCAATCAAGTTGAAACAATGACGCTTGACCTGTAGCCTCTGAGGCTCTCCGCCAATACTTTCCTAATTCCCCGCTAGTAACCCATGGGCTCGGTATCGCTTACACGTCCTCGTGGTTGGCTGATCGGCTAAGGTTTCCAGTTCTGTACGAACACTGCACTGAGCTTCTTTGAGTAATCAGATTGATGGTTGACGCTGACGATTATGATGCCATCACGAGCCTATCTGCAACGTACCGAAGCGCCTCCTCGCATGATGCAGCCTGAAAGAATGGCAAATTTTTGGTCTTAGTAGTCTCAACTCGGTAGTTTCACAATGATTGGATGGCACTTACGGAGCATTGATTCATCGTTCATCAACAGAAGCCCCAAATCTCCTCCCAATGTCGCGTTCAACCGCTCCCGCCCCTTACGAGGATTGATCCCAGCCCATCTCCGCGCCCTGTGACTGGGTAGGTCAATATCGTCCTGGCGGTTTGTGTTCCGTTCATCTCAATGGAACTCCCAGAGACGGCCACTATCGAGTTGCGCGGAAGTGCGGTAGGGACTCATTTTGGCAGTCTGGTTGACACAGAATGTAAAGTGAGACGTTCCGTGAGGATCTTAACGTAAGGAAGTGAGATCTTTTCTGCTAACCTCAAGAAATAGCGGCTCTGGCCTTGTAGCTGGCAAGGTCCTGAGGTTAGAATTATCGGGCTCCACGCATGATCTTCCTCTCCTGCGCCGCATTGCCAAAACTGCGCCAGATGAAAGCTGTCAACATCACATAATTGCTAGACGAGGCCCAGGCTAGAATACGAGGAACATTGAGAAGGACGTAGTCTTTAGAAATCTACGTCCAAACAGCGGACGCAACCAACTGCTCATAGACATACCCGAGTCCAACGCCTGAAGGTATGATATCAGTCAACTTTGCTGTTTTATGACAGCGAAAAGCGTTCTTGACAATTCGCGTCAAGCTCTGAATTGCGCACGGAGACTCTAGCCAAGGAACATCATCTTCTCGTTAATGATGGATAGTCTCCACCTATCCACCACCCAGAACCTTTTCGGTTCCATTTATAGACAGTGAGTCCAGGTCTATCCTCGCAGTCAGGAGGCTGGACTACAGTAAAGATCGGCGGGGCTTCTCAAATGGCAGCTACACGCTGCACAATCACCTGCAGAATACCCGCAATACGACTATGGGAATTTCCGACATCCGTGAGGACATGTAATGATTTACTATTTGCTAACCATCACCAAAGCTCGCCACTTTGGATAGCTTGCTGGTTCATGGCCCCTCCGATGAGGACTACCACTCCTGAAGGCCTTGGTGCCCCAAAGCTGATTTCTTTTCGAGCAGGCCACAAAAGTCTACTTAGTCATCTGGCGCCTCAGCGACCACATGTGACGATAGAGGCTACGCTAAAAAGGCAGACGTCTATTGAAATAGGTAACAACCAGCTCTATCATGATGTCGTATCAACAGAGAACTCCATTACGCATCAAGGGCTCCCAATAATCGTCCTCATTCACCTTCCATTCATCAGTCAACTTCCTGACCTGATAGTTTGTGGCCCATCCCAGCTCCGTTTCGATGTCAGAGAGTAGCTTGAGGACCAACTCCTGCTCCGGTCGTTCGTGGAATGACTGCCCCGCAACAAATAATGGCTGCACGGAGTGGATACGGACGGCATCCGGGGGATCTGAAAGGCTGATCCCGCATATCTCCTTGCCGTGTCGGAGAACCTCCCTTTGGATGAGCCGGTATGACCTCAGACGCGCTGACACTGTCGAACGGATCGCTGTCGACTCTTGCGGCCGATTAACCAGTAGCAAAATGCAGGCCATATGATAGCTCTGCATTGTTGCTGCGCACATGGGTATGTCGTACCATATCATCTCCATATCCTTGACATTTTCTCCGCCCTCCGTCGACGTCGTGTACTTGGTTCTGGCACTCGGGGCAAAAGTTGGCGGGAGGCTTTCGTACCATCTTTGCAGCTCTATCTCAAGCTTCTCCCATCGCTGGAGCAGCAGCTCTTGTGTGACCCCAAGAGACATGCGTTGGCCCGCTGGTCTGGAGTAGTCTTCCGGTTTGATGCCGTCTCCCGAGGTAACGAAGTTTACAACCTTTCCGAGGAGCCAGAGGAGCTCGTTGCTTTTAGAGTCTTCGTCTACGTCGGTCGAGGCACGGATATCGGCGGTACAAAAGGGGCTGAAGGGGAGGAGGAGGCTATTTTCGTCTGTCGCTAGGCCAAAGTTCTGCCAGAGCCGAACGTGGTCGAGGTTCAGACGAGTTTGCGTCTCGCTGATGACTATTGTCAATCATTCGATTAGTTTTATGGTCCTTTGCATGAAGAAGAGACGCCACCAAAAGGACCTACACGCGCAGAGAAAGTCCTGCCTAGCCAAGCTCCAGAATATTGGCCCCTTGATTGGGGACTGTGGGATGGGTACTGGTGAGCAGCCAGTAAGGTTACTGTCTGACGCAGAATACAGGGGTAGAGCCGTCAGATGCGCCTTCCATGCGTTCCCCGGAGCATTCATCAGCTCGTACATGCACAGAATGGCAACTGCAGCGAAGGTATCGGTGTGTCGACCACCGTCCATATCTCGGGTATCATCGTATCCACCGAGAGCAATAGCATGCTTCAGGCAGCGGATCGCTTGGTGGTAGTATCGGACGGCGTGGTATTGCCAATCTGGTGTCCTGGAAGTCGGAGAGCTAAGTGATGCTCTAGCGCTGCGGGTAGATTGTTTCTCGCAGTTGTCGCTTTGAGTTCGTGATAGATGCTTCGCCGCTAGGGCGCAAATGGCTGATTTGAGCAGGGGCCGTGTAGTTGCTCGTATTGGTATCTTGCAAGAGAAGTGGGCACTTGTGTCGAAGAGATCCATCCTATTCGCACAAATTAGTCCATAACTATCTTCACTGAAGAGATTCGCTGTACCATTGCCCTGGACCTTCCCGGAAATGTCTAAGAAGTTGAAGCCCAAGGACACTTGTTTCTGGGTCGTTGATGTCTTCATCCACAGGAACATCATCGTCTGCTTCGAGTATCGGTGGTGTGTAGACAACAGAGCTTCGAGGGCCTCTCTCTATAGGAGGAGATACATTTCCGAAAGTTTCGATGTTACTGTCGTTCAACAAGATATCTGGTGTGTTTTGAACTTCTCGCGGAGGCTCTTGAGCGCAATCTATCCGAGACACCGCGTCAGGATCAAGCTGGCTTCCTGAATCTTGCGAGGGAGGCGTCGGTAAGGTGCTATCCCACCGGGCCGGCGGGATATCGTCGGAGCGAGTATAAGTAAGTCCATCACCTGCATGCCGCAATAGCAATTCGTCTTCGAAAGCCGTCGTGTCATCTTCGTATGGGTTTGCGATGTTGACAAACGTAACTGGGGGGTCAGTCAGCAACCTCTCCGTCCACTATAGAGTTGAAGCCAGAGTGTACTCACGGTCGCCGGGAATGTCAATCCAAACATGGTCTTTGGCAAAGAGCCCCTCAGTTACAGTACGCCCTGCTAATGTCTTCTCTTGTCCTTGCCCAAGCAGACCTTGGACGTCGAAATGGCGGAACTTCGTGTCTTGTGAAAAGATGCATTCTCTGTCAGATTTCGTACACTGTCCGCACGTAGGCTTGGCTTCGTCGCACTTGAGCTTTCGCTGTCGACATGTCAAGCTGCACAAGGTTAGTGCAAGCTGGCTTGCTGAGCAGTTGACAACGTGAGGGCCCACCATCCATGATGCGAGCGCATGTTGTCTAGAGCCCCAAACAGGGGGGCGTAAGCCAGGATGTCTCCTATTGGAAGACGTCGAAAAACTTGCCCGCACTAGACTGGAGTTGGAACGAACGCGGCATTTTGCGCGAGACAAGAGTCCGATACTTTCGAGACCGTGAATCAAAGTCCGGCCGGTTGTTCGGACACCGACATGAAGAGTTTGTGGAGAGGGAAACAGATACGAGAGTATGGGTTGTTATGCAGGACAGAAGCAGGAAATCGTTCCGGTGGAACACAAGAACACGTCAGTGCGGAGACTTAGGGAACTTCCAGAGCGTTGATGGTCTGGAACCTCAACAGTAGTGTAAGCGAATGGAATCCAATTCTCAAGTGATCCACAGGGTGTTTCAAGTCTTTCCAAGGGCGCGGATACTAGCTGCTTGGTGAATCGCATTAGTATAATCCCTTCAGCTGCACCTGCAGTTTGGCGAGAAGCCGGTCGACTTATTCTTCGCCGCTTAGGGTAAACCAACAGGACAAGTGCTTACAAGGTCCGTATTGTTGTTGGCTTAAATCATGCAGGTGATGATAGTTCACCATGTACCTTATGGGTCAATGGCATCGTATGATATGGAAGCGAAAAAGGCGTTTCCCAGTGTATCAAGAGCCCGGTGGACATGAAGCAACATGAAGTCGGCAATATTTCCTTTTTGGAGAGGCGACGGTCCCTGGGTACAGTCAGCAATAGTCAGACATGTGAGGCTTTCGGCAAATTTCCCTTTTCGAACTCAGGCGCTTATTCTGCCTAATCCGGTAGCGCAAGTGGCGCAATGTAATCCGGGTCACTCTCGGATTCGCTTTTCAATCTAGTAGCATCTTTGCCGAACTTACTCAGCACTGGGCAGCGATGCTGCAACTGATGCCAGCTGGAACAGTTGCCGGCCATTCCAAAGCTGGTAAATCCGACGATGTCTGGCGCCTTGTGAAAAGTGTGCGCACGAGGACCTTGAGAACTGGCAATCGAGCCGAGTCATTATCAACTACATGTCACAAGCACGTTTGCGGTGAAAGAGACCTTTTCACAAGCATGACCTTAAGAAACCCAATCATCGTGTCGTGTGCGGCTCTTATCGGGTTTTCTCCTTGTGGGAAGCCCGGTCGGCTCGATGCCTCATCGAGACACGATTAGAAATCTATGAGCAAAGCCAGACGCAGCCACCGGCTCAATATGCGGGCCCCAGAGATGTTTAAATTATTATGGACGGGCACAACCCACGGTCGCGCTGTCGGTAGCCAGTCTGTGTTATAGCAGAATTCTCATCTGATAACTCAAAGCTCGAATCTCCAAGAGAATGCAATTCACGAAGATGCCGGCGCTCTATGTCAGAGCGTCAATTGCCACGGGGGCCGTTATGATGTTATGGGGGTATGCTTCCTTCCTGATAATTGAGAAGAGTTTCAACTGATAAATGCTAGACTTGATACCGGTAGTATCGGCCCAATCACAGCAATGACAACCTTCACCGAGTCGTTTGGCGAGTTCTCGGCAACCGTACACGGAGCCATTGTCTCGACTCTTCTTATAACCGGAACGATCAGTGCCCTGCTTGCCGGCATGCTGGCAGACCAACTCGGCCGAATTGCCATGATTTCTACTGGCGCAGCCGTATTTGGAGTCGGAGCCGCCATCGAGTGTGGCGCTGTACACCTGGCAATGTTCATCGCTGGCCGAGCTATCAAGGGCTTGGGAACAGGATTATTCGTCAGCACCGTTGCCGTCCAGGTCTGCGAGATCACCCCGGCGAAGACGAGAGGATTCTGGGTCGCATTTTCCCAGTTCATGCTCACAGTCGGGCTTGCTTTGGGGTACTTCATGTGCTATGGCACAGGGCGCATTGCTGGGTCATCCGCTTCATGGCGAGTGCCCCTGGCTGTCGAGTCTATCCTTGGCTTTGGCTTTGCTGCAACAACTCTTCTCGTGCCGCCATCTCCCAGGTGGCTGATGGCAAAGGGCCGTGTCGAAAAGGCCCGCTTGGTCGTCTCGCAACTCGGGATCAGTCAGGAAGAGCAGCAAGAGATGTTAGCGCAAAAGGCTCAAGTCACTGCCCACTCTCCCAAATTGAGCATGCTTCAAAACATCCGAGAGACATTCAAGGACTTCCGCAAAGCTTTCTCTGGGCCGTACCGCTCCCGCACTGCCTTTGGGTGTCTCTTGCTGATCTTCCAACAAACAAGTGGGATTGACGGAGTGTTGTACTACGCCCCACTCATGTTTCGACAAGCAGGCATGGCCTCAGAGGAAGCAACCTTCCTCGCTTCTGGAGTATCAGCCTTGCTGATCATGGTGGTAACCATCCCGGCCACTATCTTCGCCGACAAATGGGGCCGACGTACGTCAACTCTTGTGGGAGGTATCGGCATCACCATCGTCATGTTCTTGATAGGATCGATGTACGCCGCGGACTTGGTCCATCCCGACGGCGGTGCTGGGAGATGGGTCGTCATCATTTCCATCTACATGTTCGCAATCGTCTTCAACATGACTTGGGCGATCTGCATGAAGGCGTTTTTAGTCGAGAGCCTCCCTCGTGAGACAAGATCAAGCGGCGCGGCGCTGGGGCAGTGTTCCAACTGGCTTGCCAACTTTGTCGTGGCACTGACCACGCCGCCATTCCTGGCTGCTTCATCCTACGGTCCCTACTTCTTCTTTGGAGGCTGCACGCTGCTCAGCGTGATCTTCTGCGCCATCTGGATGACTGAGACGAAGAATCAGAGTCTCGAAGCTATCGAAGCTGCTTATCTCCAGCGAAAGCTAGAGAAGACCGGGGGGAAGTCGCAGTGGAGTGTAAATGTTAATGAACAGACGACGGACACTTCGGAGAATTCTAGTGTCATCACCCCTCGCCGAGAGCGGGAGAGCTGGCTGGGTGTGGCGGCGGCAGCGGGACACGTCCATAGCAGCTAGGTTGCCGGCAAATTAAGTTACGAACAAAGAAGAGGCCTTTAAAGCACCTCTGTTGATAATCTGACGGATAGACAAAAAGATTGGGTCACATAGACAGGCATTTGAATAATAGATAGACGGATATGAAATTGCATTCTGCTTTCCCAGCTTCCATGTCCCCACATGAGTCTCGGCAGGTTAATCAGTTCTTTTCGACACTATGAAGCCGAGGTACAACATACAGCAAGGTACAGATATGGAAAAAGACCCAGCAACTCTAACAGACATAACCCAAGGAGACATCATGAAGCCTTGATTATTGAATCCACCAGGGGCAGACTCGCGAAAATTTCACTTTTTCGACATCCCGTCGGCTTGTCGGCTTGTGAATTTACCCCATGGGGTTCTCCTGGGATCTTGGAAACCAGTCCCACTTTACAGCGCCGCACCATCGCCATCAGTTTCTTACAGAGCGGCCAACGAATTCCCGGTTCTAAGTCATTATGATATAATTCATCTTATTAACTAATACGTGATACTTGTGAAAGGAGACACTTGCAGACCGTGAGTCCGTCGGAAAAATTGCCTTGGATCTGAATGGTAAGACCGGACGAACGGCAACCTACAGCCTCACCACCGAAGTAGAAAGGCACAAATCGATCAGTAAATCAAGTGTCATCTCTTTCAATCATACTTGCATGGCGATATTCCGGTCGGATACATATACGGTGCGTGCAGCTTCTCTATGTGATAGGGCTGCCGTATTGTTGCATTGTCGCCCTGAGTGTCAAGAGAAATTCTATTTGAGTTCACATTCAATTAGACACATGAGATTCTTCAACATACACATTCTTCAAGATACTCCATTTTGATCATTTGATTCGATAGGAATTCATCATGACACACGACGTTGACGTGCTAGTTATTGGCGCTGGCATGTCCGGCATCGGCTTAGCCATTCAGCTCATTCGTCAACACAAGACAAGAAGCTTTGAGTTGATCGAGAAGTCAGAGAGCGTTGCTGGGACGTGGTGGGTGAATTCATATCCAGGATGTGGATGCGATGTCAGTCAACCCGCAGCTGTAACGGGGTTCATACTCATGGGACAAACAGGTGCCATCTCACTTTTACTCATACTCTTTCGAGTTGAACCCGCACTGGTCTCAAAAGTATGCTTTGCAGCCTGAGATATATCAATACTTCACAGATGTGACTTCACAGATGTGGCAGAAAAATATGACATCCCGAAGCACGTCCGTTTTCGACAAGTTGTGGAGTCTGCCAAATGGGACAGCCCCTCGGGCACGTGGATCGTCACCATACGAGACTTGGAATCATCCCAGATCAGACAACGTCGCTGTAAGGTTCTAATCTCTGCAGTCGGAGCGTTGTCAATCCCGAAGAAGTGTGACATTCCTGGGGCATCTACCTTTCAGGGACGGATGTTCCATACCGCTGAATGGGACCAATCCTTTGACTGGAAAGGCAGAGATGTTGTAGTGATTGGTGGGTATGGTGCATCTGCCGTCTATAAGCACGTGCTAATGGTCCTCAGGAAATGGCTGCAGTGCCACGCAAGTCGTTCCTGCGATCAGCGAAGGCGATGAAGCTGCCAAGACAGTCACCCAGTTCAGTCGCCAATCCCACTGGCTGACAGAGAGACAGAACCCAAAGTACTCTAACTTGTTTAAGTGGACTATGAAATGGGTACCTTTTGCAATGCGCGCATATCGTGCGATGCTGTACTGGGAAAAGGAGAAGGGCTTCCAGGGCTTCAACACCGCCTCCGGCGCAGAGATCAGAAGAGGCTGGTCTGAGGAAGCCGCTGCTTACATTCGAGCCAACTCTCCGGCAAAATATCGAGACTTCCTGGTCCCGAAGACGGAGATTGGATGCAAACGCAGGGTCAATGACACGGGATATCTCGCCAGCCTGCACCGCGCGAATGTCGACCTGATCTACGATGACCCAATCACTGAGCTTACCAAAGATGGTGTTTGCACTTCGTCTGGCCGTCATGTTTCTGCCGATGCTATTGTGCTGGCAACCGGTTTTGAGACGCAGAAGGTCCTGTCGCCGATGGAGATCAATGGCAAGGACGGTGTGAGCATCAACGAACACGTAAGTCTATCAATATCTACTTCTACTACCATGATTTAACCCATTGTTAGTGGGACATAGTTAGCGACGGCTCGCCCTCGTCTTACTTCGGTACTTGCCTCTCCGGCTTTCCCAATTTCTTCATCATGATGGGACCAAACACCCTCAGCGGCCATCTCTCTGTCATTTACACTACTGAGTGTCAAATCAACTTCACCATGCGCGCGATAGCACCGATTCTGAAAGCCTTGCACAGCCGTAGGTCTTTGCTCCCTGCAATGGGCAAGCTCACGGATGTCATGGAGGTTACACCCGAGGCCGAGATGCGGGACATCAATGAGACTCAGGACAAGGCTAAGGGTCTTGTGTGGGGGACTGGGTGCACCTCGTGGTTCATTGACCCGAAGACGAACAGAAACACCATCATGTTCCCGGATTGGCAGTACAAGTTCTGGCTTCGAAGCGTTTTTGTTTCGTGGAATGACCTGAGATACACCACATCCGCAGCTGCTACGAAGGAAGAACAAGGCAGTAGACTGGGCTTGGGCTTACTTGCAACTGTTCTGGCGGCCGGATTGGTCGCAGTCGGCGCCTATTTGTTCAACTAATGTCTAGTATCAACAGAAGGATGCCTCTCCAGAATACAGAATAGAGTATGGTTGCACAATATGGTTGTCTATCAATAATATCATGATTACCAGTGGTGTCTGAATCTCGGCGTGGACTTGGCTCTGTATCTTGCAGCTTCCGACCTCGGTCTAGGCCAGCTGAAGGACTCGCTCCAGTGCACCCCTCTCACGTTCCTGGTGGCGTGCAGGTGGCAGCCCACTTCTGTCAGGGGAGATACATACAAGAGAAAGGCTAGAAGATGTACAGATCTACCTACCTAATACGGTCGAAAACCAACCGGTCGGAAAGCGATGCCATCTTCAGGTAACTTTCTCTTACTTCATCGGAAAGCGACACCTTCCAAACGAGATGTAGCCGGATGCATGTGGTCAGCGTGTTCATTTACTCAGGTACAGCGGACCAGCTCTGGTCAGTCTCGTAACCCTTGTTATGGCTTCATATGCCGTCAGTGGGTCATAGAATGAGGCGATCTGGTGCCTGACCTGGACCTTGATGGCGCTCTTTCATGTTTTATTGGGGCGTAAGGCGTGCCTAGCTGGGCGTGTTTGGTGGGTTCGACTAGCCCATGTCCGCAGTGGGGAGAGCTGGCAGCAGCACAATTATCAATGTAGAATGCTATGCCGGCAGCGAGTCTTTCAACTGTGATCTGCCCCTCTGTTCTACGTACTCCTGGTACTTGGCTAATTTCTTTTACCTGTGGTAGAGCACGTATCGGTCATAGATCACGGCTTGGAGTTCGTGATCGGGCGGCCCAGTTCAGTGGATGAATACGGGGATTGACTGTATGTACAGGGGGCATCATCGCTGGCCATGTGTCCGTGAGCGATAGACATCTCAACCTGAACTCAGCAGTTCAGCGTCCAATTCTGTCCAAGATAACCTCAGTGACCTGTTTACATCCATTCTCGAGGTCAAAGCACAGGGGCATCATCTTCTTGTCTGAACAGACAAATGATGTCAACTGACACAATCCTCAATGCCTTCAAGGTAGGTTGTGGGTGGAGATGAGCATTCAAGCTGCCAGATATGGTTAGCAACTAAAGTCAGGCTTAACACAGGCCACCAGCTTATCTCAGTTGCGCGTGGCACTAACCTACGCTTCCCATCCCTTCCCACATCCCCACGCTCTCTTCAGTCGGATCTTTTGTCCTCTGTTGACAATCATACAAGCGAACCAAACGCTGTGTTCTCCGGAAATGTATTCCTTCGTGACAAGCTTGGCGCGAGAGGCCCGGATAGCCGATCGGAGGCAAGTCTGGTACATTGCGGCATTTTTCATGTTATCTTAGCTACGGTCTACAAACCGAAAGTCACTGACGGCCACAACGGTTCCCCCTTCATTGAATCCTGGAGTCTCGACATCATGACGAGCTCCGATAACGTCTTTGATATTCATACTGTACAACCCAGTCAGTAACATCTCCTCTGTCCACCGCCATGTGCCCAAGCACCGCCGAATGTAACACTCGAGCAACCTTGCACCACCGACTCGCGCTCTTGTGCCTGGAACGCGCAGGAGCAGAGTGGTAGAGAACGGCCATGGGCATCCCACCCCCAGATTGTTGATACCACCTTGCGGGACGCACCTAGCACCAACGCCGGACCCCCCACACAGGCTCAAGATGGTAGGTCGGAAGGCCGCACGCAATCCGGACTCGAACTATTGGCCCCCGCCCGGGCTGCGCCGTCCCATCCGCCTCGTCCCAACAAGGAAGCTCGTGATACCCTTGGCAGCTCATCATCGATGACCCAACCTTCATCGGCATGCTTCCTCCGCGACGGCAGCTATATCCATGCGAAGAGGGGTCCCAAGCGGAAATTGCTTTCTGCTTGCTCAAGATAACCGCACCTTATTAGAACGCCAAGCCTGCACCTCTGTCGCTTCCCACCTGGCCATTCTCTGTCTTGGCTTGCATCGCCGAGCGACGCCTTGCAACTCTGCACTCTCCCCGCCATGAGACTATGTACGAACGCACCAAGGGTAGCTAGCTGCTTGCCACCAATGGCTCTATCCAATCGACATGATGTCGGATCCCCAGCATCACGTCTTTGGCCGGGGAGATGAGCTAGGTAGCTTCCTCGGCCTCATCTCGACCCTAGCTTCTTGCATGGCGAGTCGCTCACATGGGGCCATTGTCGTCTTTTGCCCAGAGGGGCTCCATACGCGCAGTCTGCTCAGCTCTCCGAGAGGGCATGAGGGTGGCTACTTAACTACCCAGGCTCCTCGCGATGCTTGGGGTTGAGCTCCATTCCGGTAGCTTTGCGCCCCGCGAATCTCCGTCGTCTGTCAGAAAGCCGGCAAGATGCGCATCTCGGCCACCGTCTCAGCTTTTGTCCTCGCCCTCCACCTCGGCGGCGCTGCGGCGCTCGTTCCTCGCCAGGAGGCCGGCGCCGACAATGAGGCCATCGCTTACGTAGCCAAGAGCTTCATCATTGAATATGCTCCTGTGAGTGCCCGCTGCGAGGGCTGCCGTCCTAGGTTGTAGTCCCCAGCTGACACTCACCGTCTTCTAGGGATCCAGTGCGCGTCGTCGTCGCCAGAACGTCGCTTCTACCGACGGTATCACGGTCGTCAAGGAGTTTGCCAGCGATGTGTTCTCCGGCGCCAGCATCGAGACTGAGACTTACACGCTCGACACTCTGGTTGAACTCCCTGACATCCTGAACGTCTGGCCTAATGAGCAGGTCAAGCTTGGACCTGTAGAGCCCCAGGCTGTCGCCGTTGAAGAGGCGCCAGCTTATACTACGCATAATGCCACTGGCGTGACCAAGCTTCATGCCCAGGGTATCTTCGGCAAAGGCGTCAAAGTTGGTGTCGTCGACACCGGTATTTACTATGACCACCCTGCGCTCGGTGGAGGCTTTGGTCCTGGTTTCAAGGTCGCAGCCGGTTATGACTTCGTCGGTGACGGTCTGTATCCACAGAGCGGACCCAAGGCTCCCGATGAAGATCCCAAGGATACTCGTGGCCACGGAACTCACGTTGCTGGTATCATCGCCGGCAAGAATGATCTGTGAGGGCTTCGTCGTATTACCTGATGTGAGCTGGGCTAACTTGCAACAGCTGGTCTGGCGTTGCCCCCGAAGCAACGCTTCACGCGTACAAGGTCTTCTCCAACGCAGCCTCTACGGATTCTGCCACTCTGATTGAATCTTTCCTCGCTGCCTACGACGACGGGGTTGATATCATCACCGCCAGTATCGGCGGTACCAACGGATGGTCTAACAACGCTTGGGCCGAGGTTGCTTCCCGTCTCGTTGATGAAGGTGTGGTAGTCACTATCTCTGCCGGCAACAGCGGATCTGCCGGTCCTTTCTATGGCAGCTCTGGCTCCTCTGGCAAGAATGTTGTCGCCGTCGCCTCCATCGACACTGAGGACTTCCCAGCGATCCCCTTCGAGGCCACTTTCGGCGACTCCGACACTCGCCGCATCGGCTACCTCCCAGCTGAGAGCTACTTCCCCAGCACCATCACCGACTGGCCCATCGTTGCTCTCAATACAAACACCGAGGACCCCGCTGACGGCTGCGAGCCCTATCCTGAGGGAAGCCCTGACTTGACGGGCAAGATCCCCTTGGTCCGCAGAGGAACATGCACGTTCCAGACCAAGCAAGAGAACCTGGCCGCTCTTGGTGCCAAGTACATCCTGATCTACAACAACGCCTCCCCCATGACTACACCTGGCACTAGCAACACCGACTCCGAGATTGCCCTGATCAGCGCCGATTCTGGAGTCTCTATTATCGAGGCTATTAAGGCCGGAACCAACGTCACTGCTGACTTCTCTAACAACCCTGAAGCCCCTGTTGCCCTGGACTACCCTGCCGGTAACCGTCCCAACACCTTCACCAGCTGGGGTCTTCTCTGGGACAACCAGCTGAAGCCCGACGTCGCCGCTCCCGGAGGTAACATCTTCTCCACCTACCTCGACGGCAGCTACGCTATTCTTAGCGGTACGTCGATGGCTTGTCCCTACGTTGCTGGAGTCGCCGCCCTCTACATCAGCCAACACGGCGGCCGCAGTGTTCAGGGTAAGGGTTTTGCTCGCGCCCTCTCCCGCCGCATCATCTCCAGTGGCTATGCTCTGCCCTGGTCTGACGGTACTGCTACCGACTACGGATACACTGCTCCTCCGGCCCAGGTCGGCAACGGTATGATCGACGCCTGGAAGGTCCTCCACTATGACACCCAGCTTGAGTTCGAGAAGATCCAGCTCAACGACACCCGCTACTTCAGCCGTTACCACGACGTTACCGTCACCAACAACGGTGACTCGGAAATTACCTACAAGTTCTCCGTCCAGCCTAACGCCGGCGTAGATGCCCTCGCCTGGATCCCCGCTTCTGGCGGTCTTCCCGGAACCAAGCGCGTCAAGACTTTCGCCCAACTCTCTCCCAAGACATACACTCCCGACATCAGCCTGCCCCGTGACTTCACCCTGAAGGCCGGCGAGACCAAGACCGTCTCTGTCAATTTCAACAACCCGGACAACCTCGGCTGGAACACCACTGGCCTGCCTCTGTACGGAGGCAAGGTCCTTATCCAGGGCAGCAACGGCGAGCAAGTGTCTGTTCCCTACGCCGGCGTTGGAGCTGATCTTCGCAACACCCTCGGTGGTGTACACGAGGCAGGATGGCCCATCTCCGTCTCCGCGACTGAGGAGATCGACATCAGCGAGAAGTCTTCGTACACCTTCGACCTTAGCACCGGCGCTCAGGATTTCCCCAAGATCTTCCAGAAGCTCCTCTGGGGATCCCGCCAGCTCCGTTGGGACATCTATGAGGCAGGCTGGACTGAGCGCCAGTGGAGCTACCCTCCCGTCGTCGGACAGAACGGCTACATCGGATCCGCAGCTTCCTGGGTTGGCTCTGGCGAGGTTGAGGTCTTCGATCCGGAGCAGTACGACCCCGATGAGACTTTCACCTACCCCATCACTGACATCTACCGCAACACGGCTGCGAGCTACCACGAGCATTGGTGGTTTGGCAAGCTGGGCAACGGTACGCAGATTGCTCCTGGCAACTACACCATCCGCTTTGCAGCGCTCCGGCCATTCGGTAACCCCACGCATGCGGACAACTGGGATGTCTTCAAGACTCCGCAGATCCAGGTTCTGGGGCAGTACTAGATTAGCGCGGGATGGGATGCAGGAGGACGTAATCGCGGATACATGGTATGATCTGGTAATAGCATAATGTAAACAGTCTATCCGATTATTCCATGTGTAGCCATGCCCGTAGGCAAGCTATCAGAATTGTCGGTGACATTGTCCTCGTCCGTGGAATCCCAGCCGACCAATCCGTGGATAGCCATGTGTCACCTCTATGTAGCGTTTGCAAACGTGTCATTTCGCATTGGATCTGGGAACGACACGATGCGCAAGTCGACCTCCAAAATCGCGCATCTCCTGAGGATGGAATGTGATGCATGACGCTACTTCAGCGATCTACGCAATGGAGCAATGATTCGCCTGCTTAGAGCTCAACCATGCATCGCTTCAGCAACGAGGTATCCACTTCGCGAACATGCGTGCATATATCGTACATATTGTTGCCCATAGGTAGTGAGCCCGGAACGGTCATAACCTGATCTCGGAGCGGGGAGAGGGGTCTCACGGCCCGCGCCGCAGCCATACGGGATGTAACTCGGGAAGCGAGGGGCCGGGGGTTGAATATGGGCTGAAGCATACGTCAGTCAGATCAAGCTGGTCTTACATGAATCCGATTCAATGCATGTGAAAACGCGAGAGGGGAACTTTCATTCGGTCTTGGAAATTGGACAGACCCTGCAATCAATGATGTTGGCGCAACCCTTCCATCTTACAAGTGTTTAAAAGACCCCTATGGGTCCTCCCAAATGATCATCGAACAAGCCCTAAGACGTCTTTTCCATTCAGCTTCATTGGCACCCAGAACTTTTCAATTGCCTGTGGCTTTGATGCTGTTCTAGCTCAAGAGAACCCATTCACTGTCAAAAATGACGATCGAAGAGCGACCTGACCAGTTCACCAACAACCGCAAAGCCGACTTCAACTCGATCTATATCCAAGAGCATACTTCAAGGCTCTGACTCCACTTCAGTATCAAATCCCACAACAAGCACTTCCGTTCGTGGAGCGAGTCCTCGAGCTCTCTTCGCCTTCGGAAGATGTTCAGCCTCGTAAAGTTCTCGACGTGTGCTGCTCGTACGGAATAAACGCCGCCCTGCTCCGCTACGACCTCACGCTCGATACGCTATCAGCCCATCTCGCATCTTCTCCCAAACTGTCTGGTCGGGACCAGATCATCTCCGACAAACGTTTCTTCGCATCCAAGCTCATCCACCCGGAGGTCGACGTCTTAGGTCTCGACATCGCTCCTGAAGCGATTGCCTACGCGGTAAAGACGGGCTTGATGAAAGATGGATGGGCAGAGAACCTCGAGACATCGGACCCATCGCTCTCACTGCGCGAGGGATTAAAGGACGTTGAGGTGGTAGTTTGCACTGGGGGAGTGGGCTATGTTGGCGCAAGCACCTTCTCCCGCATCGCTGACGCGGTTGAAGATTCTTCGAAGCTGTGGATTGTAACGTTCGTGCTCAGAGTCTTCTCGTTTGATGAGATTGCGGACGTCTTGGAGGAGAAACATGGACTTGTCACCGAAAAGATTCCCGGACACTTGTTCCGTCAGAGAAGATTCACAACAAGGGAGGAACAGAGTGCTGCTGTCGCTGACGTGAGAGCAAGAGGCTTGGATACAAAGGGGCTAGAAGAAGATGGATGGTTTTACGCGGAATGCTACGTGACGAGGCCGCGGGACGTTGCGATTCCGAGTTGGTGATGTACGGGGCCAGTTTTGGCACAATCGGATAGATGGGATGAATGTTGCATGTCAATAGATACTCTTAAGCATGAAAGTTGACTTGATATACACAGGTGCTATATGCTTTTCTAAAATATGTACTCAACAGTTGGGTAATATGTACCGGGTGAAGATGTCAAATTGATGAGGCCCAGCCTCTGTACCGCACGTCCTCAACTTACGCCACGATGGCGATGTCGATGCAGCTTTCGTAGGTCTGCTTGTTGGTCTCGGCGTACCAGAACCACTGGATAGCGCACTTGCCACCAACGTTGCAGGAGTCGGCCAGGGTATCGGGGATGGTGACGTTGAAATCGGCTACATCCTCAATTAGTACACTACATCACTGCCCGTGAGGGTTGATCCGACTTACTGTCAGCAAGGGGGTCGGGGTTCTCGGTCGGCCAGTCGTCCCAGGTGATAAGAGGCTCGCCGATGGCGGTGTTCGTCGCGAGGTCAATGACGGAGATGTTCTAAACTAGGTTAGTATTCCATCAAACATCAACTACTGTGCGGATACGTACGGCGTGGCCTGGTCTGTGGCCGGCGACAAGGTCGATGTGGAAGGGAATGACCTGTCCAGCAGTGACGTTCATGAGGAGGTCCACGTTATCCTCCCATTGGTATCCACGGCACATGAAGGCATTGCACTTGTAGTCGGCGTCGGCAACTGCCATGGCGTTCTCGATAGGTCCGGCAAGATCGCTGTCGAGCTTGTTGGTGACCGCAGTACCGCAGAGCTCCTCCTGCTTCGTTCCGGTCTGTAGATCAAAAGTCAGTTCGGAGCCGGTATGATACGGCGATCGGATCCGGGGCTTACCGTGCGAGGCTCCGGGGTCTGGACGACGCCGTGGCCCCAGACGCCGGTGACAAGAGCCGCAATGACAGCTTGAGTGAACAACATGTTGCAAGACTTTTGGGTTTCGGAAAGCGTGCCGATGAGTGACGATTGCGTAAAAGCAGAGTGCCGGTTTCCCGTCCCTGGGCAGAAAAAGAGGCGGTTTTAAAGAATCAGATGTAAAAACCTCCTAGCGCCCGATTGGGACGTGTTTCGCGGGTAGAGATTAAAGGCGGCAGATGGATCGACAGGAACTGTTCCTCCGCCGTTGTTTAATTCATCGCATACGCGTGGCACCCTCTATTCCCGGTGATTTCTCCACAAATGGCAGGGCAAGTGCCGCCAATTGAGCCCCTGATACAATTAACTTGCGGCACCACGGCTTGCGCTGTGAACAACCAAGAAACCCACCAAAGCCCCTGGCGGAACCGCAAAATGAAAAGAAAACATGCAACAATTGGTGGAGTTTTCGAGGCTCTGGGACCGATTGACTGGATCTCGAATGCAACCAAGCGAGAGACCAATTCAGATGGAAAAGGGGGTTGAAACTGGGATCATATTTCTTGACGCCAAGAAACCAGATACGGACGAACTGGCCAGGTGAATGCCTGCAGCTCCATACATGTGAGTGTAACGTATGAACGCTTCACTTGGACGACATTTAAAGCAGTTAAACCAGCTTGGAAAATTCATGGATGCGATAATGGTTTATAAGAATCCTGCGTTACGCAGTCTCGTGGATAGACCTTAGGGCAATCTTAAACTACCATAATATCAAAAGAAAAGGCCTGGACTCAAGATTCCATTTACGAGACAGGCGCACGGCGCTGTAGTGTGAGGTCACTTATTATTTTCACTGAAGGCCTTACCCACGTTGCGGGTACGCTATCCGGGGCCTGAACAGAAGTATGCCGATTTCATGGCCGCACCCTCGAGTCGCATTCATCACGCAGCCTAGGCCCCCCTACAGTGGATAAAACCTTAGAAAGACGTGGTGAGACCACTTCAAAAAGTGTGTCTTGTTCTTTCGTTGGGTCAACGGAGTGTAGAGATCTCGTTACACTGAGGAATGGTAGATCAGCCAGGGCGTGGCGGAAAGATCAGCGCTGAAGTACCTACCTGCCAGTGCATCATGATGAATAATCCCATCGTCAGACACGCCAGCCAAAGATGGAAGTTCAGATAAGATTGCTACTTTTTCCCCGCATCTGAACACCAATTCGTCAGCGCAGAGCATCAAACCAGCAAAGCATCAATCACGACGACTCTATGCCTGAAAGATCTGGGCAACCAACATGGCTGTTCCTATCCCACCTGAATCTCGGTTCATCCCGAACAACGTCGGAGAAGCAGAGTATCTCACGTTCTCGGGTGATCCAGAAGCTCTCATTCATGAAGCGCTAACGCATGTCCTCGTCGACACGCCGCCACTGGCTGAATACTCGAACGACCAATGTCGTGGTCTTTTTCGGGGCCCTACATCTCTCGCCTTTTTGTTACTTAAGCTCAGCGCCCAATATCCGTCGATGCAAGTACAAGATCAGTTGCTCAGCCATTGGGCAAGTCTCTATGCATCGGCGAAGCGTCCTGGAGAGAACTCCGCCCCTTGCGGTCTAGCTTGTGAGAGCGTTGCACTCTTGGCTGTTGAGACAATGATGGACGAGGCCAATGCTCACGCATTTTGTAGTGAGCTTGACCGACTAGTTGCTGAAGATCATCCCTTCGAGCTACTATTTGGTTACGTTGGACTACTGTACATGATCCGCGCGGTTGAATCATGGGTAAGTAAGTTCCGCACACGCTGAGTGCTTTCAACTGACCTTGAACCAGAGACCTGAAGTCGCATCCTCCCTGACTCTCGTCAAAGCCCGGATGGTGGAGAAGACTCTCGGCGCTGGGCCCGCGTGGGTCTTTCGGGGCAAGCGCTACATCGGCGCCGTGCACGGAGACATCGGCATTTTGACCCAGCTCCTGTTGACAGACCCGAAACTTGCTAGCAACTCGATGATCAAAAGTTCTCTGAGACGACTGCTAAGTCTCCAGCGGGAAGATGGCAACTGGACCACCAAAGATGACGATGATATTCGATACGAAGGTCTTGTTCAATTTTGTCACGGTGCTCCGGGGTTTGTCGACTCTCTATTGCACATCCGCCGCCTATTCCCGGATATGCACGACATCATGGATGAAGCCATTGAACGCGGACAACAGGCAGTATGGAATACGGGCTTGTTACGCAAGGACCCTTGCATTTGCCATGGGATTCTGGGCAATGCAATGTGAGTATCTCATCTTTCTGCCTTCACATCAAGATTATGCTGACCAAACCAGGGTGCTTCCTCCTGGGCCAAGGAGAAGCCATTTTCTGGCATGGGCCTTGCCGACGACTATTGAAGAGAAGCGACAAGAGGACGACACCTTGTTTGTCCCGGAAAGCCCCCAGAAGATGTCGGCGTGGTTTAACTACTGGCCTGGCGTGGCTTGGACGTGGTCTCAATACGCAAAAGAGATGCCCGGGGTAATTCTATATTCTGAAGTCTAGTGATAAGCCTTTCCATGCAATTAAAACATCACTACATGATTGTATTTGTTCGAAGCAATGACGCTGAACACATAGCGGGATCATTTCGAGACACCCTTCCTCGACTCAGACGGCCGAAGTGTCTTCGACAGCCGCGTCATGGTTCTTCTGTTGCGATGGAAGATTGACAATGAGAAGATACAGAACGTCCTGCTACAAGTGTTAGTGATGTGTTATTGGATTCCGCGATCGTTGTGCTGTAGCACTTACCTTTTGGAATAGACTCTTGATCATGTCATCGACAGTTTCAGCTGGCCCAGCCATCTTCTCTTCTTCAGCGGCTTTCTTAAGCCGTTTCTCTGCCACCTTCTTTTCCTTTTCTAAAGCCTTCTCATTCTTTATTCTTGTGCGCTTCTCCTCGTCTCTGATCTTCTTCTCCTCCTTTTTCTTTTTCCTTGCCTGTTCTTCTCGCCCCTTCTTTTCAATCTCAGCTGCCTTTTCCACTTCTTTCCGCCTTTTCTTTTCTTCTTTCTGCATGTCCTTCAGTGTGAGCGGCCCAATGAAGATATTCCCATTGTTCTCCGTTGATTCTTTTGACTCGTCAACATCATGCTGCTCTTGTTTTAACTGTGGTTGAAAATAAGCCCCCGATTCCGTTGTGCCCTTCGACGGTCCGTTCTCTGCGTCCGCAATCTTGATCTGCTTTTCATCTTCGATTTTGTTTTTGTTTTGTGTTGCATCCAACTCGAAATTTTCCTCAGAAACGGTCTGTTTCCGCTTGTACTGCCATCGCCCTCCAGTGACCAGGGCGACAACGTCTCCGCTGGCGGCTGGGTGAGTCGGATCAGCGTATCGTGATTTGAATGCAGCTTTAGGCAGCGCCTTGGCTGCCGAGAGTTCTGGATTCTCGTTTATCCATTCGACTTGAGCTCTCTTATCCATGTAATCGTCAAGCCAAATCTCCGCCCGATCAAGGCCATTGTTCTTCTTTTGTCCATCTCTGCCTTGTGCCAGTACAAGTTCGCTAGCTGCGGGAAACAGAAGGGGTGCTGGTTCGGACCAATCGAGGATGTGGTCATGGGATCTCAACCGTTCTCCTAGTAGTTTCTTAATGTGGCCCAACTTCTCGTTCTCAGATGAGCTTGCCTTCGGAGACACTTTGTCGCCTTTTGGGAATTCAACGGAAGGACGTTCACCAGCTGTCTTGTATTCGAATTCGACAGGCACCTCTCCGCAAATCTCGTCAGGTCTCCAAGTTGCAACAAAACACATGAGACCCCGCGGCCTAAAGAATTTCGCATTCATCCGGTCTAGAAACTTGTTGGATTTGAAGCGACTTTGACCTTCCATGACGCCTTCCACTGCGATGCCCAGCAAGACCCCAAAAGCTGTCAGAGCGGGGTCCGGTGTAATGATGTCGGCAAGCCCAGCGAGGTTGATGGCATAAAGGTAGGGATTCGGTATCAAGGACTTGTTGAGGGTGTCGATGAAGTCCAAGAATGCTTCTTCGTCGATACCCGCGGTAGCAAGAACCGGGGCATAGGCTCTTACAAACCCCCGAACTCTTGTCTTAGGTCGTCTTTGTGGCAAGACAACCGGCATCGTGATTCCGCTTTTGGTGCCAGTGCTGTCATCAGATTTGAGAGGATGCCTGTTGAGAAACGCAGTAGCTAGGTCGGTCGACTCTTTCACAGGCTTGGAGCCCCCGTCTTTGGTGTTGCCAGTATTGAAGTTAAGTTCTGTCCCAGAACCGACTTCGACCTCGTCAAGATCCCAAATGGCTGCATGCACACGTTCGCAGTGGGACTCTTGTCCTAGTTCTGGGGACCTCGAGTGTTCTTGTGAAGCCTCTGGGTGTTTGCGATCTCGTCGATAATGTGCGGCTTCCGACAAGAAGCCAATTCCAGAGGCTGAAGCTCTCGCAATGTCATCGACTATGTCATCTCGTTTGGGGATGGTGCCGCTCGTTCTGACAAATGCTTTGTCGCGCTCGCGAACGAGTTGTTCTACAACACCGGAGGTCGCCTTGGACCAAAGCTCCTTTCCATCCTTCAAAAGCCCGGAGCTCATCGTGCTTAATGTAATCCAATAGCATAGACGTAGAGAGGTTTCGACGCAAGTTGAAACGTTGAGTCCCAAGAGATCGTCCCCAATGGAAGAGGAGAGGGTCTGAATGATGGTTTTGTCTCGATTGTCTTTGGAAGAGCCGGTAAAGCGAATTCAGTGATGCAGAGGCTCACATGCAACGCATCATACCGATGGATGGTAGAGCATGTATATATAGAGGGGTCGTACTTTCAATCACGCACATCATGGCACATGCAGACTCTCGCACTCGCATCTGCTGCGCAAGCCTTTTGTGGCAAGGGTTCAGCTGTGCTTGGCATGTCAGCAGCCAAGCCGACCATGTAGTTCCGCGGAGAGCGAGATCTTGGCATGCATGTTGGTAACTAGCTCTGCACCTTGAGGAGCAAAGATCCAGCATTTTTTTTTATCTTACTTCACGGGAGACAAACAGACAAGGGCTGCTGTCGACCGGGCTATGAAGGGAAGCCCAGAAACACGATGTGGGCCCATAATGCAGCACACAGTAAGGTACGAAAATACGCACTTGATTCAAGGACCTGTTAGTGAGAATTCAAACCCAACACATCGATTCATCAGTGTTGAGCATGGGAGATTTGTATCGTATATAAACAGCAACTCACCATGGATTTTTCGGGCAGATATCTCCATCATTAAGGTGTAGAAATGAGCTTCGTTCCCTGTACAACGGGAGTCCAGTGTCAACCCAGGATCGAGTACGCCAATGTCGGCTGACTACAGCATCTCCACTCCCAGTAGCGATGTGCAACATGGATCATCCGGCGTTGTGGCAGAGTGGTCTAATGCGCAAGACTAGAAATCTTGTTCCTTCGGGAGCGTCTGTTCGAATCAGGCCAACGTCGAATTTCTTTTTGCATCTTTTACGACACAACCAGTGGTGGTCGTAGACATAATGACACTCTGTCCTTGGTCCACCATCAAAAAAGCACCCATGTCAAGGTGCCAGAGTGGTTAATGGGCTGCCCTGCTATGAACATCTGACTCCGGTTAGCATTCTAGTTGTCTAGGCAGTGGCTTCGGTCGCGCAGGTTCGAATCCTGTCCTTGACGTTTCATTTTTTGCATTTGCTTCTTGTTTGAATTACTGTGCTCTAGTTGGCTCTTGCGATTGAAAGATATGCTGGCGGGGCTAAATGTTTTGGATAAAGAGACAAAACCCCCACCGCTTTCAACGCACAAACTGATCAGCGAACGCCGCCCCAAGCCCGACCTCCTCATAATGCTTCTTCGCCTTGTTGAGCTTGCTGAAAACATCCTCCACACCGACAGGCACTCCATCTGGATCGACGTAAATGTACGCTCCCGTTACATGAAACATTGTAACCATTTCCTTCACATCGTCCGGCACTTCGAGCGTGTGAATATCTCCCGGAGGCTCATATGCGTAGCCTCCCTCAGTGGCCCACCATGGATGCTCAAGGTAGTGCCATCTGCCTTTCAAGACTGTTGCATGAACAGCGCCGGCGTGACGATGTCGAGAGAGGATGCCAGAGCGGCGGACGCGAAGAATGTTGACAAAGTAGCCCCCAGAGACGGAAAACAGGAGCGGACGGAACCAGACCCCCGGGGCCTGCGGAACCCAAAGACGTTCGTCACATTCGATGTCAAAAATGCCGGGAATGACCAGATCGTCAGGAACCGCAGGAAGACGAAGGCCGCGGTATGGTACAGCGGCTTGATCGGGGCGATCGTCTGCCTTAGGTTCTGTAGCGGTTTGTGTCGTGGTTTCCATGACCGTCGTTCTGGACAACAAGGGTTGAATGACGATATTGAAGAGGTGGACTTAAAAGGCTGAGACGAGATGATGTTTATGTGATGTTGGTGATGTGGTGTCTGACCTGGAGAAAGCTGCACAGAGGTGGCGTGCTTGAGACAGTGATAAATATCTTGCATATTGTGGCGAGCTAATTTGGCTAACCTAGAAGAAACGGGTCATAATGTAGTGTGTGATAAGACCAGCTTTGTCTACTAGATATCTCGTCGTATGCGTGGCGCTAACGGCGGTGGTGCTCTAAAACGGCGTCAACGGCGGCACAGTGACGCGATCTTAGAATTCATCGGGTTTGTTTCGGAGAGCCAGAGGACACTCTTGTCTCATGAGTTGATGCGATCGTCAGAAGCAAAGAAGGCAGATTGGATCGCATTCGTTTCAATAGGTATCATGTAATAGCTAGCTTCCATCCGCGATGCTCAACGATATCCAACCAGTCAACCTTGTCCTGGTCGGGACTCCGCGACCCCGAAGCCCGCAGTCTCCACACTTCATCAAGAACATCAACGCAAGCTTCAACATTCCGAAATCTACGCAGTTTCACAATCATTCCTAGTCTTTCTCGAATAGTCTCGACGTGTTCTGTGTCCCGCGCTTCCCCGCCAGCAATGAATAGTGGAAAGACAAGGGTGCACTCAGCCAAGCATCCTTCGGGCATTCTCCCCACAAGATCGCAGATCTCCTTCACACAGGTCTGGATCTTGGCTTCGAGGACCCCAGAATAGCCACGAACATGTCGCCTGATTGTTCGATACAGGTGTATCAGCGCCGCATGTCGGTAGGCCTCTCCTAGTTCAGTCAGAGGCGAGCCTTCATCTCCTGATGGACAGCTCCAACTCCGCAGTTCGCTTTCGAGAAGGCGAGCACGATCCGAGAATGATGATCGAGCGAATTCACTGCCATCGCCGCCAGCAGTTTCGGGAATAATCACGCCATCTTCTTCCATAGATGCTTGCTTCGCCCCCACGAAGTCGGCGTTTAGAACGCTGGTTTCTGAAATAAGAAATAAAACCCGCGAAGCGAATCCGAAGTAAGGGTCTGCGAGGGAATTGTCCTCGGACAGCCAATAGTCCCCAACTAAAAATGGCCGGCAGTCCATGGAGACACTCATCAACACGTCATGGTAGGCAAAGTTCCGAAGAAGCCATTTACCCTCAGGCGAAGATAGACATACGCCTTCGGCCTCAGGATCTAATCTTCCCCCACAAGGCGTAGTCTTCAACGCAGCTGCGGCACCAGCGAGATGGTGATACCAAGTATCTGTCGCATCTGATATCGACTCCATTGAGCATAGAACCATGGTCACGGCAAGACACATTTCCGGGGATAGCTCGGAGTCTCTCATCGCTGTGTTCAGTTTGCTCAGGGCAAGTCCCCGATGTCGCAAGGCGACATCCTTGAACTCACTTGACCGCAACGCCAAATGAGAGGAAGCCGAAGCCGCCAGGGCATACATCAGAGGTTGACACTCAAAAGCCATCGGCATGAGAACTAGTGATCGTCAGAGGTAATTACAACCCATAATCAGTAAGGCCACAAACCTGATAGAAAGCAGTTGTTCTCTAGATTGGTCGTAAGAAGAAATGCTAGAGTGACTGTGTAATATCGTAACATCGATCGCCTACTGGCAACGAGGTTGGTGGGCTCTACATTGCCGGAGACAGTAGACACAAGGTCTAGAGGTTTGCATAATTGTGCGATACGAACGATCTCCTTGTGTGAACGGCAGTGACAAATCACAGAAACATCTTCGGTGTCTGTGTTGCTTGGGTCTTTGGAGGGAGAAGAGGAGGGTTTCAGAGGCCGCGGTGTCTCTCTATTGCAAACCAGATTGAGGCGTGAACAGTGCCCACAAATCGGGTACACCTGGTCGCATTTCTTTTTCCTGGATCTCTGAGCATGAATGATCAGGACTTGAACAGCGGAACATTATCATACCTCTGTCGACATGTCACACACCCGCGTCTCTGGCGTGTGTACCCACCTCTCTTGTTCCCATCTCTTGGTTGTGGCATCGCGCGGATGCAGTAGTACCGGGGCAGTGACGGGCGGGCTGATGTTCGTCTCGCGTCGGTGATAAGAGTAAGAAGAAGGATGATCACGAAATTTGGCAGTTCTCGGCGCTATGGGCGGTGGTGATATGGGAGAGGTTGGAGGTGAGGGGGATTGATGAGCGCGTCGTCCTGATAAGGAGGGCGGATAACAGCATTATGCACGGCGCCAACGGCGGGGTGGGGCAGACAGGAGGCAAATTGGGGGTGTCAAAGTAATCAGGGGTATGCTAACTTTCAACTAGCTAGCAGGCAAAAGCTACGCCATTCAGTTCTTAGTCGAGCACTAGCTAATGTGCCAATTTATTGATAATAGTGATGGTTAAAGCTGATAGCGGTATTCTGCGTTGCGTTATCCGCGATGCTTGGGACAGAGCGTGCTTTTCAAGTATTTGCCCTAGTATAATTGATTTGATTATTTGCGCGCAGTTGTCCGAGTCACTTATGGACGAGCCTCCACGTCAAGATTCACACAGTAGCATATGGTCAACTCCTCAATGACGTCTCGTCAAAACAATATTAATGTGACGCCGGGAGACATGGAGGATAGAGAAATTATGTTATTTCAGAGACTCAGCTAACTCGTGCTGCCTTGGTATTGATACTATACGTAAGCTACAGACGAGGATGCTGAGATTCAAGGAAGTCCCGGCTGACATCTTCAATTGCACTTTTCAAAATCCTCACCATGCGCTGCAACTCCGTCTTAGTGACAATGTATGGCGGTGACATTATCACATGCTCCACATGAACCTCCCCAGTCGTGCCCAGGTTCCCCAGGACATTCAGCCCCAGCGCCAGAGCTCGGTCAACGACTCGGTTGCAGAACTTAGACTCGGGGGAGAAGGGAACTTTTCTCTCCTTGTCTCTCATGAACTCGACGGCCCAAAAGAGGCCACGTCCTCGAATGTTAGCAACCGGCTGGAGATCACCGAGTTCGGTTCTCAAGAGTGTTTCTAGCACTGCTCCCATGTCGGAAACATTTTGGAGCAGGTTTTCGTCTCGAATGATCCGCTGAACTTCGACCGCCGCGGCGCATGCAGCTGGGTGTGCCTACGAAGGCGGGAATGTCAGCCTGTATCCCAGGCGAAACCAGAAACACAAGACACAACGCTTACCTGGAAGGTGTGGCCATGGGCCAGTCCACCTGAACCTGAAGCTAGCGCTTCAAATATCTTTTCACGGAGAAAGACACCTGAAAGGGGAATGAAGCCTCCGCCGAGGGCTTTTCCGACCGTCTGAATGTCTGGGCCCGAGATCCCCTCCTGCTCCCAAGCGTGCATTGTTCCAGTTTTCCCCATGCCGCACATAATCTATGCAGGAACCTTGTCAATCTTCGAATTGAAAGCCGGCGAAAATATGATGCTTACCTCGTCTAGTATGAGCAGAATATCATACTTGTCACAAATCCCTCGCACAGCCCTGAAATAGCCCGGCACAGCAGGCAGACAACCAAGTGTTGTTCCGCTGACAGTTTCTGCGATGAATGCAGCAACGTTCTCGGATCCAACGCGAAGAATTTCGTTTTCCAATTGATTTGCAAGACGATGGACGTACTCGTCGTCAGTTTCTCCAATGCCTTTCAGACGATAGGCGTAGCACGGGTCGACAAAGCTGACGTTGTCAGAAAGCCACTCTCCATACATCGCTCGTCGCGACGAATGCCCAGATACACAAAGAGCACCAATAGTGTTTCCATGATAACTCTGTTTCCGCGCGATAACATGTTTCTTCTGGGGCAGTCCTTTCTCGTGCCAGTATTGCGTCGCAAGTTTGATCGCAGCGTCGGTTGCTTCGCTACCAGAATTAACGAGAATGGCTTTCGACAGGCCGCCAGGTCGATTTTCGAGAAGGATCGAGGCCAATTTCTCGGTCGCGTCGCAGGTTAATGGTGCGCCGGAGTAAAGGTAGGCTAGTTGACGAATCTGTTGCGCAACTACTTGAGCAACTTCATCGCGTCCGTGGCCAAGGCAGGAGACGGCTGGGCCGGCAGAGGCATCGAGAATCTGTTTTCCAGAGTCTAGAAAGAGAGTCACACCCGAGGCTGAGACGACTCTTTCCGGAAGTCCAGAAAAGCTGCGGTGCAAGACGTTGGAGTCAGTAACAAATGGATGAGCCATCTTGCAAGCTTGCTTCGTTGTTGTCGGCAGAGTGTCGTGGCGGTAGAAGCAAGTGAATGTAAAACTAAGATGCGAGAGTATCTGTTGGAAACCCAATGACGTCCTGATCGTGATTGTAATTACTTCCAGGCAGTAGGATTGTACGTTTTCATGATGGCAATTTGACCTCACCTGGGAATTCCTTATCTAAGCTTGATGCTTGTTCCAAGGTTCTAGGCGCGGCCGCCGTTAGCGCCCGCCAATTGCAACACTTGATTAAATGCTAATGCTTGACTCTGTGGGGTGCATCAGATAATGCGGAGAGATTGGAGATATGTCGGGGTTTTGGTCTGTCAGCGATAGGGATTGATGAAGATCAACTGGACCATGCTAGGATGGGACACGCAAGCCAAAACCGGAGTTCAGCGTAGTGAAATCCTCCCGCAGTCATAATCCAAGATGTCTTGATTGCCAGTCATGCAGGATAGCTCATGGGTAGTTCCAGCCTTTGCGGTTCTTGCCATAATTTGCACTGTCTGATATTAAGGACGGAGAAGTATGAAGGGCGTGGCTCCCTTTGATCAAAAGCCGCCACTATTAAGACCTATCTTATTCGTCTGGGTCAGTTTTGGTCTTACTTGACTTGTCACTCCAAGGAGGGATTCTTACATTAAAGTCTGTCATCCCACTGACGGCCCTTCGTTCTCAACTATCGTACTTGTATTATACCCGATGGGTTTCGGCTCTAGACGCATCCCGCGTTGATATTCACTGATACTTTCTCCTTCACTTTTATTCTGCCACTCCGCCTCATTCTCTGTTCCCTCGGAAAAAATGGAAACGTCGTTAGAGAAAGAACCCATCACGGCGCCCCTCGGAAGCAACGGCTCACTGCCTGAGAAACACGAAGAGACACTTAGAAGAGTTGAGAGCATCCAAGATGGCGCTCAAGAGCCCAAAAGAAACGAAGAAACCCATCGTGGTTTCAAGCCTCGCCACTCGCAAATGATCGCTATCGGTGGCGCTATCGGCACCTCCCTTTTCCTAGGCACAGGTCAGGTCTTACGTGCTGGCGGTCCAGGATTTCTCTTGGTCTCATACGGCATTCTCTCCATCTTGGTTTATGGTATTGTGACCGGAATCGCAGAGGTCGCAACCTACCTGCCTGTGCCTGGAGGAACCATGAGCTACTATGGGAACAAGTATGTCTCCCGTAGCCTGGGCTTTGCGATGGGTTATCTCTACTGGTACTCGCTCGGAATCTTGGTGCCCTACGAGCTTGTTGCCTCGACGCTCTTGATCGACTTCTGGAATTCTCCCGTCAACCCAGCTGTCTGGATTACAGTCATTCTTATTATCATTATCACCCTCAACTTTCTTCCGGTGCGCTTCTTCGGAGAAGCTGAGTTTTGGAGTGCTGGGATGAAGATCCTTCTAATCCTTGGTCTTATCTTCCTATCGATCGTCCTATTTTTCGGTGGAGGCCCAAATCATGACAGACTAGGGTTCAGGTATTGGAAAGATCCTGGTCCAGTGAACACCTACCTGGAGGAAGGCGATATCGGTCGTTTCGTTGCCCTACTCCAGTCCTTCGTTCTGGCTTCGTTCGCCTTCGTCCTAGCCCCGGAGCAGCTCATCGTCACAGCCGGTGAGATGCAGTCACCAAGACAGAACTTGCCTCGAGCTGCAAAACGTTATTTCTGGCGGCTGATCATCCTTTTCATGCCGACTGTGATAGGCATTGGAGTTGTATGTCCCTCCAACGATCCAAGGCTGAGCGCTTCCGGGACCGCAAGTTCTCCTTTCGTCACCGCAATTCGCAACGCCGGCATTCCTGTATTGGATAGCATTGTCAACGCGCTGATCCTTCTTTCGGCGTGTACCGCAGGTAACGCTTTCTTATACTCTGCATCCAGGAACCTCTACTCCCTGGCTATTGCCGGAAACGCCCCAGCCATATTCAAGAGATGCAACAACTACGGTCTACCCTATTTTGCCGTGGCAGCCAGCGCTAGTTTCAGTCCCCTCGCATACCTCAGTCTCTCGAGCACTAGTCTCACTGTCTTCAACTGGCTCATCAACATCACCAACTCCGCTGGCTTCATCAGCTGGATTTGTTGTGGGGCGATATACCTCAGGTATCAGAAGGCAGTCAAATTCCACGGAGTTGAATCTCCGTATCGATCGCGCTCGCAACCTTGGGGAATGTGGGCGGGGACGATTGGTGCATTAGTTTTGATGCTCATCAATGGATTTCAGGTGTTCCTCCCGGGGCAGTGGTCCGCGGGGGACTTTCTGACCGCCTACATTGGTATTCCGGTGTTTCTGGTCATATATTTGGGTCATCGGTCCTATTTTAGTCAAGATGCATGGTGCATGGAGGTTGATGAAATCGACATGACTGAGGGTTTGGATGAAGTCCTGGCTGCAGAGCGGCGGACCCCGGCCCGGGCCACGCCTTAATCGAATAGCGAACCCCTTCTGAGCCGTTGAATACAAAGAGCAGATAACACCCACGCATCGCTCTTCAATTTAGGATCACGACGTCGAGAGTTTTGGAAAGTGTTTTCTGCGCTTTAAATAGGCCATCTTGTATTTCCCATGGTCATGAAACTACAATCACCCTAGTGGATAACGCCAGTCCCGGTAGCTCTCAGTTCGGCTTGAGGATTAGCCTTCGGTACGTAACTAAAGGCATATCGTTGTTGTCCGTAACGGACAAGATCAGATGCATCGTCTGCCGCAAAATCTAGTCAGCTTGGTCTTTTTGGCTGGTTGCAATGATTTTCTTACCTGGTTGCGTTGAGGCTCAACGGCGACAACGCTGCCGTCGGAGTTCAGGCTGGTGATGTTGAGATTGTTGCTGACGAGTGGTATACTGAACCCTTCAAGACCCCTTGCACCGGCCTCGCGGTAGTGAAACCACTCATAGTGCAGCTCGTCATTGTCTGGGTCCCAGCTTTCGGAGGCGTCGAAGACGATTTGGTCGCCAAACTTGTAAAGCACTTCTGACGCCGCTGGCCCGCAAGATCCGTTCACGACGACAACAGGCTGATGGTTGTTATCATCAAAGTTGCCATTGATGGTCCATTGCATGCGCGCAGCAAAGTCATACTGGTACGCTTCTCTCCATCTCCAAATGGTCGCAAACCTGCTGGAGTATGCCTTGCCATCCGCGCCTTCCACGTAGTCCGCGGTATCTGAGTACACTGAGCGGTGAGCAGCAGTGGGTGCATCAACTTGTACGTAACGGCCGCCCCAGCTTCCCCACTCCGGGTGGTCAATATCACCCAATCCGTTCTGGACCAGAGTGAGGAAGGCAGGGGTGTCTCCCTCCATGATGAATGACCAGTTGAGATAATGCGCTCCAAGAGGACCAATCCGGATATGCTGTTGCAGCCATTCGTTGGAGACGATGGCCGAAATAGGGCCACCAACGTCGAAGTGCCGGTATTCCTCGCCAGAGATGCCGATCCAAGTTGGCTGGGTGTATTCACTCCATCCATGAAGCGACACAATGTAGAACAAGGCGGGGTATTGGGCTCGAATCCATGAACCGGCATCGTCTTGATCTGAGATGGAGTAAACCCTGAGCTTGCCGACGAAGGATTCTACCGCAGCTTCATCGCGGGTGTTGGAGACATGCTGAAGAGTCTCAGCCAGAACGGCAGCACCACCCCAGACAGAGACCCAAAGAGGGGCATCTGAATCGTCGGTCGCCTTCACGAGATTGGCAGCAGCGTCGCTGAGGTTGTTGGCCTTTAGAACCTCAAGTCCATATACCGGGTGAGCAGAAGAAATTTTCGAGAGGATTTCTTCAGTCGATGGATATGAAGCATCAGCGGGAGCGTTCGCACTGAGGTTATCAACGACTTGTCCATAGCCGTCTTGGACAACTTCGCGGATGGTGTCGGGGTCCGTACGACTTGGGAGCCATGTTGATGTGGTTGCAGCAATGCCTTGGATATCGAACTCATTGGCGTAGGTGAGGAAACGAACTAGACTCATTTGGTCGTCAGGCTCATTACTCATATCTGTAAGAACAAAAACACGAGGCTTGCTTCCATATCTGGAAGATTCACACTTCTTCTCCTGTGCCAGAGAAAGACCATAGACGAGGAAAAAGAGGGCCCAAAGAAGGGCTTTCGAAGTATGAGTCGCCATTTTCGACACAGAGCCTGGAAAAGACTTGTCAAAGTGTAGGCTTGCCTGGATTTCATGCCATTTCTATTCGTCTCTTATTTATGCTAGAACTGCCATCGGACTCAACACTTGGCGAGTTCTTCGAGTTGCCTCATTCACTCCAGATGGAATCATAAGGGATGCAACTGCCCAAAAGGAAGCCAAAAGATACGCGTAAAGCCCTACTTTCAAATCGGGGAGTCTCGGCCGCTGAATTGGTGAGCAAAGCGGTCACCACTCAGTGACTCGGGTGGTTAGAGCCCACAAATTAAGAACTGCCTGCAGTAGGGCTTGGAAAATCTGCAATTAATGGAGGGAATGGATCGGACTTTTCCGCTTGTTTCCCCGAACAAGACGTGGTTTGGATGCTTTCACGAGTTTCTCCACATCGATCTGCACTTCTCGTGTCCCGAATGATGACAATGTTGCATTTCCCCACGATGCGGTGTCCCCAAACAAGGTAACGTGCGGGGTACCCCGGGACAACAATTACGGAGACGGAAGAAAGGGCGGAAGAAAAGCGCTTAACATTGCCCATACTGGTCATGTCAAGGTAGCTTGAGCACACGAGAAAATCCCTCGCTGACCCCGCATGCTGCCGTGATGGCGACATGCGGTCGACGTTGTCTTTACTCCTTCTTCAAGCTCTGGCAGACGTAGATTTGGAGAGCTTGCCATCGTGAACCCGTTGCTTACCGACGTTTGAAATTGTGAACTGCCGGGTGATGAATTTCCACAAGCTAGTCACGTTCACAATGTTGAAACGCAAGACATATGGGTTCATTGCCAAGACAGACCCCTTTCTGTAGGGCTGGCTGAAGCATCACAAGTTTACTACGAGTGGCAGTTGACGCGTAATCGCTAAGGCCCTTGCCCACTAATTAGTGCTACTACTATGAGTATCGACTGATTGTGTTGAGGGTAGGTAGCCTCATCGCAGAACCCAGTCTGCCGGATATGACCTTTCCTCACTATTTGCATAGCCAGGAACTACCGCCTTAGAGTGCCGTTTAGCCGGACGGCAACGGCATCGATGGTATCTTGCTAATCTGTTGGGCGCAGAGAACATCCTCTTCCGCGTAACCCAGCCAATCGGCAATAGCGAATTTCCATGCTGGCTTCATGAGCCACAGTCAATCTTGCGGGGGTGGCGTGTGTCTGGTCGCAAAGCAATCAATTAAGCGACATTCGCTGTCCGACGCACAGTCGCGGGGTCTCACGATGGATCTTTAGCGCAGTCAGGGGCAGACCAGGAACTGTCTCAATAGCGTTGACCTAGTCGTGGTCGCTCGCGGAGCTGAAAACCAAGTTTCCTGATTGTAAAGCGGGGACTCTGGGTAAGCTTAAATGTTCCGAGAGCTCGGTAACGACAAGGACCGGCAGCCTTTGGCATATGTCATGCATGCACGTAGTTTCTAACTTCTCGGGCTGAGTTTTGGGTAGTAGATCCTTTTTGGCACTCTTACCGGAACAGATTGCAACCATTGGGGCATGACTGCTCACGAAAGGTGAAGTCGTCGTTGGTTGGGAATTCAGCACTTCGCTCTTTTGCCCTAATGTTGTTGCAATAGAGAAATATGGGCCAGACCCTATGATCATCACCGGCAGTGACAGACTTGACGTGTCGAGTTCTGGCCTCGCGTGGCACCAAAGCCGACATGGCGTTCAAAAACAACCTATTGTCTTGGCAAGTAAGCTTAACGCAGCTTGGCTCAAGTTGGTGGCTGCAGCTAGGCCCGAGATGGTTCAAGTCGTTGTTGGACACACGGCAGCCCACAGATTGCGTTCTTCGTGCATTGCCGTTGATTTCTTCGCGTGGAGATTAGGGGGCGTTTTGGCTAGCTCCACGGCCTCTCATCGCCTTGCTGGTGCCGCTGCCACTCGTGGTGACATTTTGGGCTGTGAGGGGGCTGCCCCAAAGAGGAAAGGCTTTCAACAAGGAACCAAGCCGGAACCAACGATGAATCTTCAAGCTACAGGGCGGGGAAGCTTCCAGGGACCTAAACCAAACACTTGGGATCCTTAGCGTCGAAATAGATTCCCATAATCCAAGAGGCAAATTGTTCCAGCCCAAGACACTCAGCACATGTGGGGGAACAATCCAGTCCAGGTGCTTCGGACAGGGAGTCAGGGCTGGAGACGGCTTCCAACCCAATAACAATTTCCTCTGAAATCATGTTACATCGGGATATTTAAGACGATCAGCATGTCCGATCTAGAATGACGAGATAACCACCACTCATCACCTCATCTACTCACCTTCTCACTACCACTCTCATTTCTCGAGTTGAATACTCGGACGTCGACTTTCGTTTTCACCATGTCTTTCGCTACCTTCTCCCGCATCGGCCTTATGGCCATGCCTCTGATGGCACCCCTGGTGTCTGCCGCTGCCGTCCAGGTCCAGCCCCGAGGACAGCTTCAAGCTCGAACCTTCGCCGACAAGGGTTGCTACTCAGAGCCTCCCAGAGACCACGGCCGTGCCCTCAAGGATGCGAGCTTCTCGTCTGACTCGATGAGCACTCAGATGTGCTCCGACTTCTGCAAGGATTACGTGTACTTCGCAACCGAGTACGGCAGGGAATGCTACTGCGGTGATGTCCTCACCGACTCTGCTCTCCCAGCTGATTCTGGCGACTGCAACATGCCTTGCAACGGCATGGACGATCACTCCAGATGCGGCGGCCCAGGTCGTCTCAACCTCTACCAAACCGACGGCTACAGCGGACCCTCCGTGAAGGATTTGTACAACCGCGGCTGGACGTATCTCTACTGCCACACTGAGGGCGATGGGGGTCGTGCCCTCAGAGAGGACGGGTACTCCTCTGACAACATGAAGGCTGAGGACTGTGGTCAGTACTGCTCCAACAAGGGATTCAACTTCGCTGGTGTGGAATACGGCCGCGAGTGCTACTGCGGCAGCACCATCCACGGAGGTAGCATCGCTGCCGAGGCCGACTGCCAGATGCGCTGCTCGGGAGATGCCAAGAGCTACTGTGGCTCCGGTGGACGTCTCAACATCTATGCTCGCACCGTGCCTGGACCTGTCAGAACCGATCCCCGAGCTACCTTCACTTACGCCGGTTGCGCAAAGGACACGCAGACTCTCCGCCTCCTTGAGACTGGTTCCAGACTCACCGCCGACGACATGGACGCCTACAAGTGCTGGTCTTACTGCTCCAACTACAAGTACTTCGGTGTCGAGAATGGCAACGAGTGCTACTGCGCCAACAGCTACTCCCTCAACCTCGAGCTAGTATCTGACTCCGAGTGCGGCACTCCCTGCTTCGGCAACGGAGTTTACACTTGCGGTGCCAAGGATCGCCTGAACCTCTACAACACTGGCAGAACTCTCGCTGTCTCCGTTTCCACCTCCCAGTACTCATACGTCAAGTGCGCCCAGGAGACTCCAGGCGGCCGTGCTTTGGATGGTGACCACTTCGCTGACGACAACAACATGACCGTCGAGATGTGCGCTGGTCTCTGCAACAACGGCAAGGGTGCTACGCACTTTGGTCTTGAGTTTGGCAAGGAGTGCTTCTGTGGTACCGGCGAGCCCGCGAACGCTGCCGATGAGAGCCAGTGCTACTACAAGTGCACCGGTAACTCTGGTGAACTGTGCGGTGCCCCGGACCGTCTTTCCGTATACAAGTACAACTAAGAAGTTGGAAAAGGCATTGATCAAAAAGAGAGACTACAGAAGCACAATATTCTGCAGTCAAGCATTGTCTAGAGACATGCTGGAAAACTTTTGTTTGGCTACTTCAATTCATTCAGTGGGGGACAGTTTTTTCATTGGCATCTATGCCTTGGTAGATATTTTACTTTTTCCGTTAGGTATTTAATTCATTGCGTTTCTCAAGCATCAAAAGTGCCTATATTTGGGGGGCTTTACCTTTCCACACAATTACGGCGTCTGCTGGAGCTAAATTTGCATGAACAGTGACTTCTGTTGAATGTGACATGTACCCACCGGCCCATGAACGACTTGAGGGACCACTTGGAGATTTGGTAGCCAGTACATCAAATTTGTCCCTGTTCAAGACAGCCAAAATTCTCCCCTTGGTAGTATAGATCACCTTACCGAATAGGCGGATGGCATGTATTGCATTTGTACGCCCCCAGTATCCCGATGCACTAGGGCGCTTGCGCTTGCGCTTACACTTCCGTCAAGTAGTTGACTCCACACGGGCTGTCATCGACCCACACGCTCTAGATTCGATCTCAAACTTGCTTTTCTTCATCTACCTGGCTTTCATCTGATCTCGAATGTTCCAAGACGGCTATTCGATCGATTTCTCTAATTGGTGAGTGATATTTTAGCATATTTGTAATCGCAAAACCAGAAGTATGACCCTGAGTCAACTTTTGTGATTCCGTTCTAGCGTTCGCCGGTGACGTCAAGCTTCGCTCGGCCCGATTTACCAGCTGGGCAACGACTACATTCGAGGCGAACAGTAAAGAAGGTTGAGCATTACTGCTGATTAATGGACCGAATCTCCTTTATGCAATCGATTGTAGGCTCTCCGATTTCCACATCTCTCGCAGGCTGCTGATAAATCCATCTCTCAGATGTGAAGTAAGGCCTGTGGTCGAAGCTCCAAGCTGAAGCTCAAATACGGTCATAAACCCCGCAAAGATGAGAGAAACCACAGCAACAACCTGAAGATTCCGTTCATTTTCATATCATAACCTCTGCAGCGCCCATCCTGACACTTGGTCCCGCGACTTCAACAATGGCGTCCCAGCAAGTCTTCCGCTTGCCCCAGCGCAACTCCATCCAGGACCTCCAACTTGGCACCGAGCCTATTACTTCTCCCTCGTCCTACGAAGTCCTCATCCGTATTCGCAGTGTTGCTCTCAACTTCCGCGACTTCGCGGTTGCGACCGGAAAGTACCCCTTCCCTGTCAAAGACAATGTTGTTCCTTGCTCCGACCTCGCCGCCGGCGCTGCCGTTAAAGCCAATAAATTAAATAACGCCAAGATTTGACTGATTTGATTGCCCCTACGCCAGTATTGGTTGATTTGCCCTGTTGGCCAATATAACAAAGCAAATCCATAGAACACGTGACTCAAAGCCGCCAAT